TTCATAACTTTACGTTATAATGATAACTAAATTACAATGATATGAAGGATATAAAATCCTTGATTAAAGTTCCAATATCCAAGGTGAAGTGATCCAATAATGTTCCGATGTTAAAGTGTTTATATGATCAATGATTGTCATCCGATAAGATTCCGAATGTTCAAATGTCCCGCAATTGATGTCATTTAGATTCACAGGCTGGTATCGAAAAAATTGTCCGCTGTGACGGAGCGTGCTATTTTGAATAGAAACACTAGAAAATCCACACAATTTATTTTTTACTCATATGTATCGCTATATCAAAGAAAATTACCTACACCATGCGATGGATATATCATTTGCCGGTAACTTTAACTTCTGTTTGAAGTCCAACAACACTAGGAGTAAAAGTTATTGAAAACGGCGCCCGAGTATCATACTCCAAAATGTACCGTTTCTTTTATTTCTTTTTAATGGTACAATATAATGACACAATAATATTTACATATGTTTTCAGCATAACTCTTTTTCAAAACATCGTAGATTTATCCACTCAGTCTTTTCTGTGGCTTTTAGCGGCCAAAATAATATCACAATGACGACATCTATTGAGTTCTTACATGAATATCATATTTTAACCTGTTGTAATAAATTCATATGAGATCACATTAGTGGTCCACACACGCAAACACCTGTTCTGTGTTACAATATAACATACACCTGAGACATAAATGCAATTTAAGGCAAAAGCCTCCAGCTCATGTCTTAAATATGTTTATGGCGCTAGGTGGCAGGCATCTTAAATAATACTTAGCTCCGCCCCTTCTAATCTCTGTCCTTCTAATCTTTGTTCACTTTCCTGAAGCTTCCAACAGGGAAACATCAAACTATCAACATAAACAAACTTCCCACCTCCTCCCCTATTCCATCCACAGAACTATCATGTATTAAGTTGTTTTATAGATTTTGTATGTACTATTGTTAATATTGGAAAACATATTTTGTTCGGTTTGGCTTTTAGCGGCCAAAATAATATCACAATGACGACATCTATTGAGTTCTTACATGAATATCATATTTTAACTTGTTGTAATAAATTCATATGAGATCACATTAGTGGTCCACACACGCAAACACCTGTTCTGTGTTACAATATAACATACACCTGAGACATAAATGCAATTTAAGGCAAAAGCCTCCAGCTCATGTCTTAAATATGTTTATGGCGCTAGGTGGCAGGCATCTTAAATAATACTTAGCTCCGCCCCTTCTAATCTCTGTCCTTCTAATCTTTGTTCACTTTCCTGAAGCTTCCAGCAGGGAAACATCAAACTATCAACATAAACAAACTTCCCACCTCCTCCCCTATTCCATCCACAGATCTATCACGTATTAAGTTGCTTTATAGATTTTGTATGTACTATTAATTGTTAATATTGGAAAACATATTTTGTTCGGTTTGGCTTTTAGCGGCCAAAATAATATCACAATGACGACATCTATTGAATTGTTCTTACATAAATATTATATTTTAACCTGTTGTAATAAATTCATATGAGATCATATTAGTGGTCCACACACGCAAACACCTGTTCTGTGTTACAATATAGCATACACCTGAGACATAAATGAGATCTAGATGTATTGGTTATTTCTAATTTTTAACGTATACATAAAAATATTGGGCGAGACTTGAGATAATGTATGCGGCGTCAGTCAAAATTGAAACTTCTGATTGGGTTCGAAGCCGAGATGCCCGGATATGACCGAGCAAAAGCCGGGGGCGGAGTTTAAGCGAGATTCAGTCGCGTCAATCACTGCATTGCTTATCGTTGACTCGTTTAAACTCCGCCTCTTTGACATTTAAGGAAAGTGACAGTCCGCTTATAACTCTGCCTTTTTGCCCTTAAATGGAGAATGCCATTTTCGAAGGGGTCCTTTTTAGGGGAGATTTTCATCGTTTTTTCCTACACCTTGAAAGTTTATGGAGTTATGGAGTTATTTCAACCATTCTTTGTCAGTGTACACCTCTCGCCAGTATTCATCTTAATTACCTGTTGCCGAGTAATTTATTTTTTTGATTTGACAAAAAATTCGATCAGAAACTGTATTACGAAAAACTTCAGTGATAGATTTAGCTAGGCTTGGTCCAAGGGGTCCGTCTTAAGTGCGTGTTGAATTAAATGTATGCTGTCGTAGTGATGAGTTTGAATTGTGTCGATTATTCGATTGTTATATATAAATAAACATCGATCTTCGGCGAAGATAAAATAAGAACAACTTATATATCCGAGAAACATGTTGGTAAGTACATTATTTCTATATTAAAGCTTTATTTCTTTACATTTTTACAGGCCTATGCCTGGGCTATGACTCTATAGGCCTAGACTAGATCTATAGGACTTAGACTAGCCTAAAGCTAGAGCCTTAGATCTAGCTCTTTCAGAGGCTGTGACTGATCTGTTAGAACAGCCTTTAGAGCCCCCTATCAACCGCTTCAAAATTGTGTTAGTGTCCTCCTTGCGAAAATCGTAAAAAATTAAAAGGTGTTTCTTTGCCGAACAGCAAATTCTCATTATACATTGAGTAGATACACTTTACAAAAAAACCAAAAATGGAAGTTTTGACGGAAAGACATGACGTACAAGTCAAAATCTCTGAATCTTGCTAGGTACATGACAGATAAAGATAATTTAAATCCTGATCTGGCAAAGAAGCGGCTAATAACTTACATATTTTCTCAACAAAAAGCACTGATGTAGGACACATTAGGAGATATAGTAAGCACTTGAAGTTGATTTCAGTAGATCAGTTACACCTGTAATGATTTCAAGCAAAGACACACCCGTCAAAAGAGAAAAGCTTACATAAATGCGAGCAAAATCTGCAGATTTATTATAGCTATTGACTTCCCGAATATGTTGAACGCACAACTCTAAACAATACTTGAAATTGAATAAAATTGACAAAATATGAGAAGACAGTCTAAAACCTAACTGGGAGAGCTGCCATTGTTTGCTCGGAAATCTTCAGAGATTTTGACTGGTACTTTGTGTCTTTCCATCAAAATTGCCATTTTGGTTTCTCGCTGGGTAATTCACAGATGAAGAGAAATCTTGATTGACAAAAATACAGCTGATAGCTAACAGCTTTTCTTAAACAGAAGATATAAAGGAAATTTAAAGTAAGCACTTGATTTCAGTAGTTTAGAACCTGTTATGATTTTGAAGCGGATGATAGCCGATAGGGGGCATGTTAAGGCTGTAAGTACAGGGTGTAGCAATAAATCTAACCCAAATAGAGTTTAACACATCTCAGTATAGGCAAAATTAAAATTCATTCAATGTTCTTTAAGATGAGAAAGTTTCATCACTTTAGCATGTGTACATTTGCTGGCCTTCTAATATTTTGCCAATAGATTTGTTAGGCTTGATTGCGAATTCTTATGAAATATATGAGTGTATGGTTTCAATGTACTGTACTCCCGATATTTTTCGCGTGCAATATAGTTTCGTGCTTTTCGCGATTGTGTGAAAATTAATAGTCGCGAATATCGCCAATTAAAGGCTGAGGTGCAACATGCCATTGACTAAGATCTAGAGATTGTAAATCTTATCCAAAGTATATGATATTGGGTAGGTGTAATTACTGTAGATAAGGTAAATTAATCTTGAGGATTCAGAGAATACTGTAAAACGGGTATTGTTAGCGAGGGGTAATTATTAGCTATTGTTAGCGATCGCTATAGTTTCCCTAAAAATCCAATTGCTAAAATAAACCGGGTTAAAATAAACCGGGCGCTAAAATTCGCAAATTCCCCAGAAACTACATGAATACTAGTATTTAAGGAGCTTTTCGTTCAGTGCTCGACTTCCGGTTTGTAATTTGAAAAAGGTAAATATTTTTAAATCGTATGTTTCTTTCAATATTTTAAATGCTACCGTGATTTTGTGATTAGTCAGATGAGATTACAGTAGTTTGGACCAATACCATGTGCGTTAGAAGTCTTACATTTTGATAATTCCTCTGTCATGTCCGTTATTCATGCTTCTGCCATAAATGATAAAATTTCTAATGCATTTCGCTAATTTGATTTTTTAAAGATTAATCTTCATTTCGCTAAAATTTCCCAAGCTAAAACCCCCTAAAATTGAAAAATCGCTAAAATTTCCCTGTGTCAAAATTACCCGTTTTACAGTAATGGAAGCTAAACCTTTGATATCCGCAAAATTTAATGGCCTCGAAATCGGTATTTCTCAAAATTCATGAAATTTAAACTCGCAAATTAACCGGTAGTACAGTATTTGCATGTGGAATAATTATGATATTGAGAGCATTGATGAAACAAATGCAATGAACTGATTTGATTGGCCAAGGGAGCATTGGAATTTGACCTGAAGTTGACAAGATTGTTGCCTTATGATTTTTTTGAATTCCAGTAATACTATTAATGTCTATTATACTTAGCATTGCATCTATGGACATTTGGCCCAACTTTTTTTAAATTGTCATAGAAAATTATTCAAATTACATAACTGTGTAAATCAAAGCTATTTTAGGAGAAAACATTCCACTGAATTCAAATATACCATTTAAAAGAAGGTAATGTAAGTCATTAGAGGTCTAATATGCAAGTCTCTTAAAATCTCACGAAAAACGAGATTTAGCGAGATTTCAAAAGCTATATGGAAACTATACTATTAAAAACATTCAGATTTAAACATGTTCTGATTTTGAGGTTTTTGCATCCGAAAGATTCTTGATTTTGAAAAAATATGAATGCATTTTCACTTAATATTACTAGCATTGTAGGCGTTATGATTTTTTGGAATTCCAGTAATACTACTGTAGATTGGGTTAATTTGGCGCCCGCTTTAATTTGGCGAATTTTGCGAAATTGAAAAATTCGCCAATATAAATCTTCGCCAAAATTTAGAATGAATCCCCGGGAATTATCTAGGGTATTTCGTCTCGTGTATTTAGGTCACCTCCGGTTTAGTTTTTTCCAAAAATATAAAAAAATGTCTCTCATAAATTGGCTCAGAACTGGTCAGTCACTCATTAATACTCAGGGAAAAACTAGAAAGGAAAAGCGCGGTATAGTAGCAGCATCGTTCGAGGTGCAAAATGAGGATGATCTCACAAAAATGTACAAACGTGGTGAATATCGCCAATGGTCCTCAAAAGAAAAAATGAACATAGCCAAACATGCCCATTTACATGGTAATTCGCAAACAGCGCGTAAGTTAATTTTAAATTTTTATTTTTTGCATATCCGCCAAATTAAATAGCCGCCAATATGCCAAAAATGGCAAAATCGCCAAATTAAGTAGCGCCAAATTAACCCAATCTACAGAATTATACTTATACAGTAATGTCTGTCTAATACTTATACAGTAATATCTGTCTAATCCAAATGCCACCACGACCAGTTAAAAATAAAAAAACATTCAGATTTGGAGGTGATCGGAGTTCGAGGTTTTTGCATCCGCAAGATTCTGCATTTTAAAAATATAAATGCATTTTCATTTCACTAAAAAGTATTAAAATTACTTTTGACCGCATAGCTTTATGACATTCCAAAATCCAAATCGAATGCTTGAAAGGCCTACCAATGTTTCTCCCGAATAGGCCCATGGGCCTTTCTTGGAAAGAGGAAACATCCCGGAAAAACAGAAGTGTGCAATCAGAGATGATAGATACTATTGCATGAGTATATGAAAGCCATGTGTCAACTTTTCGATTGATAATATGCCTCGAATTATATTAACACCCACTGGCTTGGGAAAGCTATTTTCCCTCTTAATAAATGCCTGTCCCCTTGGAAAAATGTTTTTAGTTTCCCTTTTAGTCTTAATAAAAGCCAATGGCATTTATTTTGAGTTCTTTCTAATAAAGGCCCTGTGCAAAATAAATGCTCAGTGGGCCTATATGTTCGTTGAATTTAAGATTTTTGAACAATTTTAAGAGAAACATTTTAATTTTTTGAATATGAGTGTTTAATGTTCAAACTTGGAGGTTCACCCAGTTTTTAACATAGGAGACATTGGGAGGAAAAGTGGGACCGTAATGAGTGTCTGGATTAGAAGGTGTTCAAATAAGTTAGGAGTTCAGATACAGTATACAGGTTTTACTGTATGTGCACCCATCGTTTTAAGTATAATGCACCGTAAAACACATTTGTTGAGAAGGATTATCTTCTTATTATAAAGCACTGCTGTTTGTCTGTCTCTCCATCAGGACATCTCATAGACAGTTTGACCTTAGATCATTATACTTGGTCACCATACTAAATGGGTCTATAGGCATTCTACAGAGGTCATGGTCATTCCAAGTCAAAGCTCAATATCTAGGTGTTTGGCTTTTTAAGACTCTTGGGTGGTGTTTTGACCCTTGACAACCCATGGATAGGTGAGCTGAGGTCAAGGTCAGCTTTATGGATCAAGGGTACTATAATCCAAGGTCAGTAGATAAGTATTTGGTGTTTTAGGTACTAGGGGCTATGCCCTTGGCAATCCATGATTAGGTGACTTAAGTTCAAGGTTCATGGGTCAAGGTGATCTTGAGGTCAAAGGTCAATTTCAAAGCTATTTTCATTTTAAGGCCTTTGGGAGCTGCTAAGGGAATGGCAATCCGTGATTAGGTAACAAGCAAATTTAGTCTTGCCTGAACCCGGGATCGAATCCGGGACTTATTGCGTAAGAGGTGCATGCGCTACCGCTGAGCTACACATCGTGTACCCGCATTAGAATTAAAAATGTATCAAAATAAAAGAAATTGGACAATTTTTATATATTTTTAATCGTGTAAAATGTCAAACATTTTCATGCTTGCTCACTGGTCAAACAATAGGAAAGTCGAACATATGGGACATTTGTAATGTCTCATGAATGTTGCTTTCTGAAGTATTTTCATTTAATTTATTAGTGCTGGCGACATTTAGCGCAATTTTTGACCGTGTCACGTTACACAGAAAGTATTACCCCATCAATTCAATACATGTTTTGTTGTTTAGTTAATGGTGGATGGTCAGATTGGGGCCAATATGGCCAAGATTGCACCGAAGACTGTTACTCGTCAAGGACACGAACTTGTAATAATCCACCACCGAGGAATGGTGGACAGTCGTGTCGATCCAACAGTAGACAGAGTGAAAAGTGCTATTCTCTCACGCCAAGCAGATGTAGAGGTAAATCATTCAATTAAAACTTTTTCTTATACTTTCAAGTGGTTTATTATTAGAGAAATATGCCTTTGAACAAAAGGAGTGGTATCGATATGGTGAACTTTTTGAACAGATGTTTCTCTTAAACCAGTCATAAAAAATCTAAAAATTTAACATATCGTCAATTTAATGGTCATCTTTTGAATGGTAACAATATAATTTGAAATATATATATATTATACTTTCATCTATATTGTTTTAGAAAACACATCAAACACTTGTTTTGTTCTTGGTATCGTGTTTCCAGAGTGAAATGAAACACTTTTCCGAACCTCATTGGAACAAAACGACATAAACACGACATATTTAGGTCTTTCAATACTGTAATTGTACAAATGAAATTTTGGTTGATTTCAAAAAAGTATCTTGTTAATGAAATAAAAAGGTTTATCTTGATTTTTATCTATTTTGGGGGATTTTGTTTTAATTTTGAATACTTTTTTAAAATCAACCAAAAATTCCTTTCCTATAATATTGAGAGCTCTAAAAACATTTTATTTTGTTCCAACAAGGTTGGGAAGACATTTTATTTCAAACCCAAGAATTGTTAGAAAGGAGCAAAACAATTGCACTAAAAAAAAAATGTTAACAAAAACAGTTATATAAAATATTTCTAAATGATTTTCGCATTAAATTTTTGTCAATCAGTCAACATTATATAAAATACCGTCTTTTTTAAAAGAATGTTATTGGTTTAAGAGAAAAACATTGTTGAATTCAGTTCATCATATCGATACCTATCCTTCACAAGAAACTTTAAAGAATACCTCTAGTAGAATTACTATCGTGTGTATCACGATAGCGAACCCGCGGTCCATTACCACGGGTAGTATCTCGAGCCCCGTTATAATTGAGAGGTCGCGAGCAAGTTCCCGCTGAAATCACGGGCAAAGTCATTTTTTTATTTGTTTCACCTTGAAATATGGACCAAAAAGCTAAGAATACCTATAACAGTTCTTTGATACTTCGGGTATAGTTTGTGAATAGGTATACATGTAGTTACGCGTCTTCTTTGGTCGTCTGCTCAGTTGTTTGTGGGTTTTCAACGTAACTCTATGATGCAATATGAAGATGTTTACTTTTATTCTGTTGTTGCATCGATGTTGCAGTTTGTAGTGCGGTAAGATTGGAATGAAAGTGTTGAAAGTCGAATGAAATTATTTTTTCCAATGTGGCGACTAGTCAACTGATCACGTGACATTTTCTTCCGGTATATTTTCTCACTTTTCAATCATCGTTTTCACCACGCTATGAATCAAAACAATGAAAAAAAATCTGTTTATTAAGATTAATAGGCGATCAATCGTTTCTGATATTTTTTCTGTAATATGAACTGATATATCGTTTAAAAAATAGGTGTAAAAATCCCCATGTTAAACCTAAGGGGAAACAAGGAAGTATGAATTTGTTCCTACGCGATCTGCATCATGGGAAATATTTTGACCTTATACACTTTTGAAGAGGGAACAACGAGTACGACAATTCCTTTTAGGAATCATAGACTAGACATGTGTTTTCTGACATCTCTCGACATGTTAGATATGCTTTTAGATCTCTTGAAATAATATGCGGCAGAACTGACTTCATTCTTGTGGCTTAGGCCGATGAGAACAGTTTATAATCCGCATTTAATAATGAAATTGGCCACCAGTTTTAAAGTTTTTTCTGATTTTATTCACTTTTGGTAGACAAGTTGTTATTTATTGTTTTTGTGTCTTTAGTTTTATTATATTAAAACTCAAGTTCAAATCTCATTTGTTTGCATCGACGTATCTGTTTGTGACAATCTGGAAATATTTACCGGAACTGTATTAGGAGAATTAAAGTGCTCGTATATTCAGTATGTTGTTATTCTATTCCAGAATATCCCATAGATAACTGCAACATAACCATGTGTGCTAATGTCAGAGACAAATGCAGTGCGGCGTGTGATAAATGTAACTATGACTATGGAACTCTTGGAAAAGCGTATGAAAAAATAAACAGAGGTCGTGCATGTGTAGGTAAGTGAAGTACGCGGGATAGTCATCAAGTGCCTTTATTTTTTATGACCTATTTTTGACCTACCAGGTGCTTGAAAATCAAGGATTGCAAGTCTCATACTGCACCGTTTTTCTTCAAACTTAAACCATTAAAAGCAAAACAAAATTGCCTTTCTGTCGGTGCATTACTTTATTGTAAAGAGTCCCTCGTTCTAGCAGCGTTTTGGTCCCCAGCTGTTAAAAGGCCTTCTTACAGCTGAAGACCAAAATGCCGCTGGACTCTGTTTAAGAGAATAAGGAACCATCAGAAAGGGATTTTTGTTATGCTTTGAATGGAACAAGTTTGAAGAAAAACGGTGCAGTATGAGACTCGTAATCCTTGATTTTCAAACACTCGGTAGGTCAAAAATTCAAATTAACGGTCGAAGTTAGGACCGCGTGATCACAGCGACGAAGAATTCACAGAATTCACAGCATTGAATCGCTCCCCACTTATACATGTAAGTGTAGTGCATGTACGGGTAAGTGAAAGTAATTTTTCTCCGCGGGATTTTGAGTTTTAACTGTTACACAAGTCTAGAATTTAACAAACAAATAGCAATGGATCAAACGAACAACTGGTAAAAATTACATATTAGAAAATCATGCTTCACCGAGTCTTATCCCAATAATCAGGTCCCAGCCTACATACAATATCTTGGTCATATCTAATTACCAGTATGAAAACAGTATCACAAAAAAGAAACCTATACTAACTTCTAATATCCAAAAAGTATTAAAGTTTAAAATACAGCAATTGTATATATTAAGTAAAATAGTTTATTTGATTCAATATGTAAAATGTATGTAGAAAACTTCTAAATTCAAACTACACATTTGTTGCTCCTGTGGCAAAAATTACAGATCGCTAAATAGACTGAAGAGGCTTATGACCCATCATCGAAAAAAATGTCCAGCTTGGGGAAGCATGCTATTTTTATAAAAAACACTAAAAATCTTAACAAATTATTTCTTAAATCGCATGTTTCGTTATACCAAAAGAAAATTAACTTCTATGCAATGAATGTATCATTTGCAGATAAATTTCACTTCTGTTTGAAGTCCAATAATGCTAGAAGTAAAATTTATTGAAAATGGCGTACTCTAAAATGTCCCATTTCTTTTTTAACGTTCTTTTTAATGGCACGATATAGTGACATGACAATATTTATATATGTTTTCAGTATAACTCTGAATGTATCGATAAGATCTATATGCATTGGGTCTTTTAATTTTTTTTATAAAAATATTCTTTTTAATTTTTTGTCCAGCTTGGGGGAGCAGTTTCAAATGTGTGATACAAAACTGCTCCCCCAAGCTGGACAAAAAATCAAACATAATTAATATGAAAATAATTAAAGAGACCCAACACATCTATATCTCATTTAATACCTTCAGAGTTATGCTGAAAACATTTATAAATATTATCATGTCACCATATGGTGCCCAGATAAACAAGAAATGGTACACTCCCCTCCATAAGTTTAGCAACCTTTTCTCCCCTATTGAACTACGTGTTAAAGCCTCTTTACGTTTGAATTTTTGTTTACTTAACTGGCGATGAAATAGCGTATAATATTGATGGAAACGTAACTTGACTTTATTTCCAATACTTTCAAAGGAGGAGGGAAGTTAGTGCAACAGATTTTGGACAGTCATATGTTTGATTTCGGCCATTTGTTACATTTCGTAACTGTTATCTCGGGATCTTGTGGTCCTTCGGTACTCGCAGGGTTCCTGACTACCTAATTGAACACGACTCCTTTGTTTTGTTTCTTAATTTTTATTTCAAATTCCAATTCTTCTTGAGATTGATCCGGCCGGCCGAGTTTCGGTAGATTCGCTTGTTATTGTTTCTCCTTTCATCAATTGTTGGGCATCGTAGTGAGTGAGTAAAACTTACTGAATCAACAGATCTTGCCGACTTCTTTATATACCAGGTAAAATACATTATTTTACCTGTCAAAATTGTGCAAATATAAGTAAGAATATTGCTGATTTCATGCTTATGTAAGCAAGATTCAAATCGTAATTCTGAGTTGTGATTGGTTGTTGGAAGTTTTAACTTGTCAGAATTCTTCTGATATATCTTTATTTTGGCTGAATATAGTAGCGTAGGGATTCCCCTGCACTAAAGCAAACTGAGGTCTAAATAGTAATTAATCATAAGAATACAGCAAGATCTTTACAATGTTGGAATATGCTGAATATAAATTGTTATTTTATATTAGATATAAATAATAAATAAATAATAAAGTAATTATATATAATTAAATATAATTACGTACTGACCGAATCATAACACATTGCTTGGGGATTTAAACAGGTGCATATGTTAGGCGAATGTTTTGCCTCCAGGAAAATCACTTCTAAAGATGATAAAATAATTTCGACTTTGAGACAGGGTAGATGCAAACAACCCACCCACATGTTTTTTCTGAAATGGTTTCCTGATTTTCAACCCCTTCCATCCTTGCTTTTTTAATTTTTCTTGCATCAATATGTTGCGTTTTGACACACAGTTAATCCCTTAAAAGGAATAAATAATTCCATTTAGATAAAGTGGAAAACAATATTTCCCATGTTATTTTCCCATAGGAAAAATCATTGCTTTCAGCTAAGTTTGGTCACCCATAATGGGTATCTTTAAAACCCCTGAAGAAATCACTTATTCCTTTAAAGTGGTTAACTATGTGTCAAAATGCAACATATTGATGCAAGAAAAATTAAAAAAGCAGGGATGGAAGGGGTCGAAAATTAGGAAAACATTTCAGAAAAATCATGTGGGTGGGTTGTTTGCATCTACCCTGTCTCAAAGTCGAAATTATTTTATCATCTCTAGAAGTGATTTTCCTGGAGGTAATGCATTGGCCTAACATATGCAATTGTTTAAATCCTCAGAAAAATGGCCAAAATCCAACATATGATTGTCCAAAATCTGTTGCGCTAATTTCCCTCCTCCCTTTCTCAATTTTTTTCCTCCGTAACAAGAGTTCAACGATTGATGATAAATTTGATGAATTTTTGAAAATCGTCATTCCCATGTAATCCAATGGGAAATGGAGGGTTCGGGGCAAATCAGAAATCAGGATATCTTTTCAGTAAAAGATTCAGCAAAAAATATTTTCATATAGAAAATTGATTTTTTTGTACACTAAGTGTTTGGTTTACTTGATGAATACTAAAGTTATAGCGCTTCAAAGTCATTTTTGAAAATAATTTTTCGCCTCCTGTGTTATTTCAATGGGAGAGCTTTTTTGAAAAACAATTTTGAATTTAAAGCCCTGTAACTTTGTTAAACCTGAAGAACCATATCAATCCAATTGCCTGCCTAACTCGTATTTTTTGCAATGACTCGGATGGATGGATATTCTGTCATATGACTTGGGGCAAACCTTCCATTTCCCATTGGATTACATGGGAATGACGATTTTCAAAAATTCATCAAATTTATCATTTATTTTCGACCAATTGTAATTGAGGAAAAAAAATTGAGAAAAATTGGAGGTATTGGAAATAAAGTCAAGTTACGTTTCCATCAATATTATACGCTATTCCATCGCCGGTTAAGTAAACAAAAATTCAAACATAAAGAGGCTTTAACACGTAGTTCAATGGGGGAGAAAAGTTTGCCAAACTTATGGAGGGGAGTGTACCATTTCTTGTTTATCTGGGCACCATATGGGGACATGATAATATTTATAAATGTTTTCAGCATAACTCTGAAGGTATTAAATGAGATATAGATGAATATAGATATAGATCAATATTATACGCTATTTCATCGCCGGTTAAGTAAATACAAATTCAAACGTAAAGAGGCTTTAACACGTAGTTCAATGGGGGAGAAAAGGTTGCCAAACTTATGGAGGGGAGTGTACATTTAAGAGAATAAAACTCTGGCGCCGTTTTCAATAGCTCCTACTCCAAGCGTTATTGGACTTGGAAGCAGAAGTGAGAGTTATCCGCAAATGATCATTAAATGGAGAAGTTAATTTTCTTTGGTATAACGAAACATGAGAGTTGAAAATAATTTTTTTAAAGTTTTTTTAGTGTTTTTTATGAAAATAGCATGCTCCAATACTATGTTTCAATGACAACCCGTGGTCATAGCTAATAAAGGTAGACATATGTTGTAGTGCATAGACATAACAGTGAAAGTTGTAGTGTCCCGTATATTTAATTTCCCACCATGTAGACCAGATCAAATCGCCGTTTGAAGTGATGACATAATTTTTTTGTCTGTATTTAATTCTCTGCATTTCAAGAATTGTGTTCATGGAGACGTAGATGGTGTTACCCGGGAAAATGTCAACCAGGCCCAAGCTGTACTTGTTCAACTGGATTTTCTGGATACAATTGCAACAACAGTGAGTATTCAAGCTAAAACACATATTTTGCATGATAATGAAAATCTTTAAACAAAACTAAAATTAATTACTCTAATAAACTCTTTACAAACTGTACCACTAGATAGCTTGAAAGCTTGAATTTTTGTCATTTTCGTTTTCATTTTCATTTAAGTTTTTTTCATTGCATGAATACTAAAGCCTGTTCTGCTTTGTGACCTTAATAAGGCTAAATCAAAGGTTTCAAAGTTTTCAAAGGAGCACGTACATTATCGCAAACAATTTCAGACGATTCTAATTTGAGTTATAAATATTTTCTGATTGTGAAAATGTGTGTATATTTTATCCTATGACCCCCATGTATCATAATTGGTTATATCTCGAATCGAAGTTGTTGAAAATTGTTGTATTACATATCATTTTGTTGCAAATTAAATTCAGTCTTCAAAATGATGTATCATAGTTGGTGCTTTTGTAAAAAATGAATATTTATCAGGAATATTGGCTAGGGGATGGTTTTTTGGCCCACCCTGTATGATGCATAAAAATTTCACTTTTCAAAAAATGTCTAAAATAGTTTTTCAAGTCATGAAAAGTTATATTTGAACGATTGAACGATAATAAACTCCACATGGGGCCTTTTAAATCTTTATACGGTTCAATATCTGAGCATCGAGATATTTATAAAAAATTGTTATCTACGAGCATGGTTTATCACCTTGATTATTAGAGTTTAACGATCTTTCGAATTTAGTGTTTGGCTATTTCCCGTCTGCCTCATTGCTATCACGTGACCACTGAAAAAAGGTCAAAAATTTCCACAGGTTGTGGGTACATTTTCTCCTCGGTACTATTTAAATAGATTATGATTTTTTCATGAAGCACACTTGTAAAATATCAAACTAAAATTAAAAAATTGTTTTATTAGTTGAACTAAAACCAGATTATCCGAAGTGCGAAGCGACATTAGTTATGGTTGAAAACGATAACAAAGTATTAACAGAATGCAATGATACTACACCTGTCTCACCTATATATACAAATCTGTTAAGGTAAGAAGAACACAGTATTATTGCTTCAAGTTCATGATCCCCACCCTGGATTTACCTGTGTATGTCAATTTTATACTGCACCGAGATACGTTTTCCTCTTCAAAACAAATGTGTATAATTTATTGTTTATGCGATCATGTGTTAATGTGTAGTTTATTTTACACCGATGCAAAACATAACTTATAATCAGCTTTACTTATATAAATTTGATCCACAGCATAAACAGAATCGACGTTTCATGGAAGACGATTTTTAAAATAGAGATAAATTCTCTCCCTGCGTTTCATAAAAACTTCAAAGAAGGAGCAAACTTAAAGCTGGGAATTATTTCATCATCAGGCCGTCTCATCTTAAAAAGAGGTAAGTTAATGAAGTTTACTTGAATTGTAAGGGTTACCGGAAAATAATTCCTTATCACCTCTATACTGTACATAATATGTAATCTTATTTTTCAAAACGTTCTTCAGCTACAGTATACTACGCGGAATTAAAATTATTCTAAAAAATGGTCGAAGTATGATGTATAAGTTGAACCACAGTTATGGTAATCGGCAGTCTCAAATAAATAACTAACACTGGGCGAAGTGACCAAATATAAACAATTTTAATCACAAATAATCAGTGAATAAATGATTATTATCTGGTTAAAACCTATTATCGAGACTATTATTGCTGGTTATCGCTGATTATCGAGACTTATTAATCAAAAATAACCAGTGTTTTCACTGGTTATTACGATAATCAATTCTTATTAATGTGTAGCCAATGACAAAAATTCCAACTGATTATTATGTCAAGTGATTATTCACCCAACTGGTTATCGCTTTGTTTTCATTAGCAATTAAGAACCGTCTGCCATTTATGCGTCTAGCGCTTCCAATTATTATCCGTTGAATAAACAAATTATAGCTTTTGTCCAGCTAAAGAATATGAGTTTTTGCGAAATTGAATTTTTCATTCAAATATCTTTTTTTAATTCATTATCAACCAAACAAAACATAAAAGAAACACATTTTTAGAATTTCATTTAATGTTAGATTTTATTTAGCTGTCCAACTTCAATTACCAGGATTCGAGATTTTTCATCAGCAATTATAATGCAGCAGATTTCTGCAATTCAATCAATAGTTTATACTAATTAGTAGTAATTAAAGAATATCACCAAGAAAATATTTTATCATCGTGTAGAAAGTCCAATCCAAAATCTGGTAAATGTGTTGCATTTATAGAAGCAATAACATTGTGATACCACTGTAAAACTATAATTAAAATGTTTGATATGAAATCCGATTGTCGGGAATAAGAAATACACATCAATACTTTTACATAATATCCAGTGTATTGAAATAAGATGTTATAACAAAGGCAATTGAAAAACTTCAATCTCAGTGAAACTAGTAGTGAAACTCCCTAAATCTGTTAAAGGGAAGCCTTCATTCAAGCACTGAAAATTAAGTTTAAGAGGAAGAATTCAGTATCCCGTGTGTTCACTACCCCCTCCCATCCCCAATTATTTAACTACATGTATGCTCCAATGTGTTTCATTTCTGTGTTTAATAAATGCAATCAATATGATAGTTCTATATTACTCATTATTACCTTAGAGCAAATGTGCGCAAGGTTAAATTTTAATCTTATTGAATTATGTTAATTAGTTGCTTGGATGGTAGATTGTTTGTTTGCTTGTTTATTAGCACGATTGATTGCTTGATTGGCCGTTTACTTGCTAACATTCTTTCTTTGTTGCTTTGCTGCTTCCTTGGTTTCTTGCATTAGAGTTTAATTAGCTACTTGCTTGGTTGGTTTGTCGGTTGTTTGCTTGCTTTATTTGTAAGTTGCATGGTTTGCTTTTTTACTTGCTTAGTTTCCTGCTTGCTTGGATGGTCGTTTGCTTGGTTGGTTACTTGCGTGGTTGGTTGCCGAGTTATTGATTTGAACCTTTCTAAATATCCATAGGCGTAGCCAAGGAGGAGGGGGGGGGGTTGCGAAAACCAATAAAGATTAAAAACCCTGAGAAAGAGGACTCAAAGAGCTTTTAAATGCTTTTTATTTGAAGCTTCTAGCTTACTTTGGAAGGAACTTGCATCCAGTTTTTGTAAAATTCAATATTAAAATCATTTTTGGCTTGTTTATGTCATAATCGCACCCCCTTGTTTATGTCACAATCGCACCCCCCCCCCCCCCCCGACCGAAAACCGAAATATTTTTGGCAATCACACTCCCCCCTGACTGAAAGAAGGCTACGCCCCTGATATCTGACTGTTATTGTGTTATAACAATAAACTACATTTATATTGTGAGCATTTATGGGTTTTGATAACACTAGGCTTTATACGTGTATAATTAATCAAATTTCATATTGTATCATGTTGGCTAAATCGTTTCAAGTGAAGAATTAAGAACTGTAATCGGGGTTTGCTTAGTTTGAGCCAGGGAACAAAATTTAATCAGACGGACGGATTAATTAATATTTGTTTTGATAAATGAGTATTATAGCTTATAGGCAGTATCATGGGAACCAAGTAATCGTGTATAGGATTATTTTTTGTTTACTTCAGAATTGAGTGAACCATCTGTAGTTTTAAAAACAAGGATCAATAAATACATCTGATCAAGATCAAATATTAGAAATCTTTTTTTGACTGGACAAATTCTTGTTCTCGAATGTCAAACAGAACCTTCATTATCTTTATTCATTTTTGAACTTTGATTTGAATTATTTCAATCAAACGTGTGTTGATGCTCCGAGCTAATACTATCAATTGAAAAAATGTTGCAATAGGGGGGGGGCATTATTGTCTTTATTACATTACTTTTGTACATTATTACATACACAGTAAACGCGACCCGATCGGGGGGGGGGGGGGATTCGGGTTGTGCACAGTGCACAATTTGTTATCTCTTTATGCATGTTTTATTGCCAAATTAATATAAAAACAAGCTGGAGAAACATAAGTATTTATTTTGTATTTTGTTACCACACGTCAAAAGGCGCATTTGAAGTTCAGAAAATGTAAGAAGACTTGGCTAGACATTATGTACTTATATATTTATATGTTACGTATTTATTTTGTATTCAATTCGAATTCTGTTCACTCACACTCCTTGAACCACCCCCACCCCTTGGCTACGGGTATACGTACTCTCGGCACACGGAGAGAATAACATTAGACTCCTGCAATGCAACTACATGTAATGAGAGAGACCTAAAATGAAAATAATGTAATGTAAGAATATACAATTGTAGCCCATCACAAAGTTCATTTATTTCATAAAAGCGTCAAGGGACAATGCCTCTAAACACTAAGATAACAAATTAACTTCCGTAGAAACATCCTGTTGTGGAAAAGACAAATGGCTTTTCATAACGTATTAAAATAGCCAGTCTGTCTAATTGTATAATATATTTATTTAGATACATTTTAAATTCCTTTATACTTCTTATCACAGACAGGTTGATCATTTTATTTAGACAAGAGATTGTATTCCAGCAGTGTCATTTGTAATTAGCCCTTTGAAGTTTAATCAATCACGATAATCAGTTGGTCGGTTATTCAGTAAAGAAAAAAGTGATTATCGCCAGGCCATGCCTGTTGCCATTGTATCTAGCCTTTAGAAGTTATAATTAGGTCAGGATCAGACTGTGTCTGGTTATTAATGATTATTCTAAAAAATTAATCGCTGATTATTATGTGTTAATTCCAACCTGTTTGTCTAGTGTAATAGAAAATGTTTAAAAAATGCTTGAGGTCTACATCTTTGGGAATTTTTTAAACATTCTCGCAGATGAGAAAAAAAAGTTTTCACATCCGTTAGCTTCATCAAAATCAGCACTAATATACTCGTATTTTATGTGAATATGTAACATGCATGCTGATTAAGCACGTGAGAGATTAATCAATAAAATGTATTATAAGTTTAGAAGTGATTTTTGCTATTTTTTGCTCGAATAAATGCTGTAAATCCTAGGTGGAGTGACACGTCAACCGATTGCAATGACGTGCGAAGCTGGGTCGAGAGATTCACCAAGCCAAGATACTGTTGTTTGTAACTCAACAAAGAAATTGCCTTGGGGGAAATTCAAGCACAATGACAGGTATTGTTAACCCGATATTTTCCTCTTTCTTGAAGATACATGTAATCGCTGTTTACATTTCTGTAATACATGGAAATGTTTTTGATTTGACTCTGCGGATCATGGATTTTGACACTGTGTGTACTTACGTTGTTCCAAATATGGAATTATATTTCAAAATGACATGTACAGGGCGTATAAAAAAACGCAACATGTAGCTATCTCGTAAAATCACAAAACTAGTGATGACTACATCAATTTCATTCAATGTACCATAAAGCCACGTCTCTCCTCTTTGCAATGATATGTCATTTATTCACAAGTGGTCATGGTTGGGTGAGAGATCCTTCCATTTGCACAGTGGGTCAAAATCGGCTCTGGACCAAATTTCAAATATTGCAAAAATCAATGCAATGGCTAAGTGCAAATGGAACTTCTCCTGACTTGAGTACTTGTGACTTTTTCTTTTGGAGCTATCCCAGAGGCATCTGTGCTCACAATTCCTCCACCAAAATTATCCGTGGGCTGCTGTTCTCCGATTTAACCCACAAATGACTCAGGGCTGGACCATGCATGACGTGGAGAGATGAGCGCATCTTTATGTGCAAAGAAGTGGTGGCAATTTGGAGGGGTATATTTTATTTTATTTTTTTTTTTTTTTTTTTTTTTTTTTTTTTTTTTATTTCCTATTTTGGTACATTCATACATTGTTTATAATGATTACAAATAATGTAATGCATAAAATATAAACAAAAAGAGACGTAATGATACATTCATACAAAGTCAATTACATTTCTAATACACATTTGGTTATCCATTTTGATAGTATTACATCTTTTGTCATATTAAAAATTTGAGAATAATAAAACGCATTTTTGATAAATGCATTTGTTATGTCGAAAATTTTCCAGTTTTCTTTTTCTTCCGAATATTTACACCAGTTATTGTATATAGTCAATCCTGCAATTGTTAAAATTATGTTTCTATATTTAGTTATAGTGTTTCCGAATGGATAACCAATTACAATATGTTTATATTGAATATCACATTTTAACACTCTTCCAATTTTATTCCACAAGGGTTTAACCTTATGGCATTCAAATATCATGTGCTTAATATTGTGCAATTGATTACATATTAAACAATTTTTTGAGACATTGTTATTCCATTTTGATACAAGAGATCCACATGCCAATAAGTTGTTTAAGAGTTTAAAATTAAACTCTGAAAAATATGTATAGCTCATATTCATTAATTTTTGATCATATATATTTTTCCAAAGGTGTTGTTCTATAATATTAAAACAAGCATTCCAGTGAGTCTCTTGAATATTTCTTTCAAATTTAAGATTTCGCAGGATGTTGTAGAAAAATTTTGCTTTTTTACCGTCTAATTCAACAAAGTGGTTTTCTAATAAAAATTTAGTTTTATCCCTTATATTGATAAAAGGTAAAATATTTTTATCAACATTTGAACAAACACTCATGATGGTTCTTTTGAGAATATACAACTCTATCATCCAGTTCTTTTTTCTTTGCAATGCTTGAATAAAAGTTTGGCTACTTTTAAAAGAGCCATTTGGATTAAAGAAATCTCCTACGTAAACAAAACCAGACTGAATCCAGTTTTTATAAAATAAAACACTTCTTCCATTTAAAAATCGTTTGTTCAACCATAACACTTCCCTGAATATATCGTCATTTTTCATTTTGTCATTTGTTACATAAGTTTTACAAGTGTTAAATGAGCAAAGTATTTCCTTATAAAAAGGAGTAAATATGTTCAGATCATTTATTGATTGTTTATCAAAATTACAGTTCAAAAGTGTTTCTACTTTAAGACCTGTTTTCTTTATCAAGTGTAAAGGAAATAATCTCCATGATGTTTTGCTTGTTAATAATCTACTAATCCACCCACACTGCAGGCTTTGTATTTTAAGTTGGAGGGGTATATGATGTATTCTTGCAAGAGTATAGTATGAACACTTTACTGTGTATGCCACACCTGTCACACCTTCTTCCAATAGCCAATATGCCTCATGCATGTCTTTTGCAATGTTTAAAACTTGGGTTCCAAGCTGAATTTTGCACCACTTTGCGAAATGAATGATTATTCGGCCAGAGATGACTCCCTGTGAATGAATGATATTCCATTAAAAAGAGGAGTGATTTGGCTTTTTGGAATGAAAAGGATGCAGTCATTATTGGTTTTATGTTTTCTTCCAATATTGTATTGGGCCCCGTACACTGACTTTCGCGATGTTTATAACTTGGTCCCAAGCTAATGTTGGCCCACTTTGCAAAAGGAATGATTACTCGCCCAAGCGTGACACAATATCAACGAATGATATATACCATTGTAAAGAGGAGACACGTGACTTTATGGTACATTGAACAAAATCAATAGTGTTATCACTGGTTTTGTGCTTTTCCGAGATAACAACCTGTTGCGTTTTTTGATATGCACTGTACATCAGTTGAAAAGGTTGGTGAATGCAAGATGCTTTGTTTTAAGAACATTATTTTGTCATAATACGGAAAAGGTTGTTTATTATATGTTCAATCAACACCTTGCCAATTATTGAGAGAACATAGTAATTTGGATTGTATACAATATAAAAGAATTCAACTATGCGTTTCTTAATACTATAGCACAAATGATCTACCTAGCGTTATAATTGTGTATTTAAATGCTTTTAATGTATTCTCTTTTTGGTAATTTGAGTTAAGCTTGGTTCAAAATTATTCGTATCATATAACATCATTATTCAATAATAAGGACCCGATTTATATCTGAATTCATACTTAATCTTTCTTTAACATAAGTATTAATGAACCAATGCTTTTTATAACCAGGTTAGAATTCACAGCTTCTGCGACAAATGGCGGCTACCTCGAGTTTTACAATCCTGAACAAATGATGAATCAAACAGAATATTACAGGGGTAGCTTAAGGAACCACGATGCCTTGTTTATATTCGATGCTGTCAATCCTTATCATTGTTCAAGTACATCATCTTGTAGCCATGCCTTAATGGAATTTGGCAAGGACATAAGAAAGGTAACGATTATGTAGTTTATAGAAATAAAGTATCATTCTATTTGGAAATTTGGAAGCATGCTCTCGAGTAGGCCTACATGAAACTCATCCGCATAATTATTTAAAAATTGGTTATTATAAACACATTTGCTTTAAATTCAAATATGATGTCACCCCTCAAATCAAAATTGGTACAACCTAGTTCTTCATAAAACGATGATGTACAGTGTTTATAAAGTGTCACACCTTTACTTAGAATCGCATTACCCGTTTCTTTATGAAATAAAAATACACACAATTGCAAGCTGCTTCATATGTGTAACTCTCCGGTAACTCAACTCATTTATCACAATGTGATCATCAAAGCTGGTGGACTGTTACCTTTTTGAATCATAATTCATGAATAGTGACTATACTAAACCTCTTAAATATTCCTTTTAATTTGATTATCTAGGTCGGTATTAACATTAGCTGGGATGGATGGCTGGACGATCATTCTGGAATAAGGGAGTATGATATTGATATATATTTGACCTCAAAAAACCACAGTGGTCTCAGAGAAAGCCATCCAGCCATGAAAACGTTTCAGAAGTGGAAATCTGGAGATCCAATTCCAAGTTTTACACCACAAATAGCTGGTACATACTCAATTGTTCTCACAGCAGTAGATAACACAGGTCATGCCGGATCTAGTGGTAATGTACAGACAGCTAGACGATTGTTCATATATGACAACAACTCTGTTGTAGATATAGAACAACTTAAACCATTACTACCCATATCTGCATCTCTGAATTTTTCATCGGGTAATTCTACATCAAATAAAATGTGCCACTGGCAGCATAATTTACAGGATGCACGTGGAAAAGGTGAGAGTGTAGTGTTTAAATGGACTGATAGATTTATTAACCGTTACCACCATATGAATAAGATTCTCGGAGCAGTAGATGATTATCAGGAAAGAGAAATTCTGCCTGGATACGATGACATTGATGAAGGTGAGAGAACACGCTCGGCAATTCCAAACGCCAATGCGTTAGTAAGATTTGACTACACTTTCCTCAAAGACCATAGTGGCGGTAGAACCATAACGACAATGCCTGAAGACAACTGGAATCCTACAGACAATGTGCTCGATCAAGGCCAACGGTTAGACATACCGAGAGAAGATGGTGACACAGTACGATTCTGGGTAAGAGCCATAGATGTTATGGGAACTTATGTTAACGATAGCGTTTGTGTTCATTTTGACTCGTCACCACCAGTCATAGAGGACATCTGGCTTGTTAATAATGGCAGAGAACAACTTGCAGTCCACAATGTGAGAGATCTTTATGAGATGCGGTAAGTATGTCATATAGATTATTGAAGGGTTTGGATAGGGAGTGATTCTGAAATATTAAGAATAAGATAATATCTGGATTTTAAATATTAACTGTCTTTCTTTGGATCACAATACCAGTTTTGAATTTGCTTCACACTTGATTTTCCTTTTAATCTCTAATTTGACACCTGATTCGTAATTAACCTAAATTAACGATACTACATTTATGCATTACGTAAGCTGTGGGCAACTATGTTTTAGATTCCGATTCAAAGCATTTGATATACACAGCGGGCTGCACACAGTTCATTGGAAACTATATGACAACTATACCGATACTGAAGAGACACTAGGAGAGGGACATACACATGTAATAAAGATAGACAACACTACACAGGATGCATCAAGTTATTGTGTACCAGCAGGGCAGTGCTATGGAATACAGTATGATATCAAACCAGACCGTATGGACTTTCCCAAGCCTAGAGGCACACATGAACACGACTACTTTCTGATAATAACGGTCACCAATGTTGCTCGATTAGTCTCAACTCTTACTCTAAAAGTGAGTTTTAATTCTTAATCCTCAATGCATATTACGTTAGTATTGTTTTCCTGATTATGATTATTTACTCTTATATTCAGATAACAATTGATACATCTCCACCCCACCCTGGTGTTGTACAAGATGGACATTCTGGTAGTGCGGAAGTTGATTTCCAGCAGGATTATACATTACATGCACATTGGTCTCAGTTCTTCGACAGAGAAAGTGGCATCATGTTTTACAGATATGGGTTTAGTAATAGCTGCCTTGAAGCAGATGCCTTCACTGGCATCAATCAAACATCAATGGTAAGTATGTTTAAAAAGCTATGTATGAGCATGAGCATACTTCCATTCATGTCAATGAAGACTTTGAATTGTTTTATTCCATGTGTCCCTTTAAACAGGTAGAGAATACAACTTTAACTGAAGTTAGTACAACTGCTCCTGGACCTGGAAAATATTTTTGCACTGTGGTTGCCTTCAATGGTGCAATGGAACCTTCCGAACCTGTTTGCTCAGATGGTGTCACGATAGACATTACTCCTCCATATGTGCATTCAATTATCGTTGATCACATAAACACTAGACCCGGTGTAGTAACACATGATAATTCTACATGGCTCATAACAAGGCACGGCTACAAACAACGATTGAATGAATCAGCATGCAGGTAATACTTCACTGAAACACTTCTGATTGACTAGGTACTATGGATGCTTAAATATGTTGATGATATAAATAGATGGAGGTATTATTTGTATATTGTTCATCGCATCTTGCCTCAGTTTGATCATATTCAGGGGTCCGTATTGATGATAGATTCGTAAATGCTGACCTGCGTGTCTTCATAGTTTTAGAGGAGTAGAGGTACCTGACATCAGTGTATTCGCTGAGACCAAATATAATGCAGATAGTTTAGGGTGCAAGATTGGTGCCTTTAGCAATCGACTGTATCTGACACAGGAAAGACAGGTTAGCTATTCCATCGAACTTTAAACTGAAAAACCCATCTATCATACATGTCATATAAAAGTGATGATAGTGTAGTCAATTTATTTATCAATACATTTTCTCATTTTATTGCAATTTTTATGCAATCTTTACATATGTTTGAACCATACTTTGTGTTTATAAATGCAGCTACGTGTGAACTGGACAGGATTTGACGTTGAATCAGAAATATTCGACTTTGAGCTAGGTTTAAGCAGCACAAATTCTCCACTTGCTCCTGATGTAATGCCATTTAAATCGACGAACCAGAGACCTTCATGGAACCTCTATCATCCACGACTATCTGAGGGCCAGCTCATCTATATAATCATTAAAGCCACCAACAGGGCCAGGATGACAAATTCAAAGGTAAGGCTTGTATAACTTCGGATCATTCTAATATGGAACAGTCAAGTTTCTTCTGTTGTATTAGAAAACATGCGAAATAATGTATAATAAATTTTATAGGTATATGGCCCTTTGATCATAGATGTCACTGCACCCAAATTTGAAAGTGAAATTAAAGTGAGTGAAGAAGGGGAATATTTGCGAGTGGATTGGGATTCATCAAAAGTATATGATGCAGAAGATACAGAAAAATTGCAGTATTTGATCGCCATTGGTAATACCATATTTTTCTTTGAAACTTTTACTTAGGACATTTGAAAGCAATACTTGATCAGACAATAATCTCATACTATGTGCATACCCCCTTTGTTTATTTATATAGTCAATCATCCATGTTGTTATTATCGTTGCAGGACAAGACAATTACCACAGAGACATGCTTGACTTCTCTCCACTTATGTCCGGAGGTTCTTGTAATGTTTCTTACCATAACTGCACAGCAGTTCTTCTTACTAAGTTAAATATTCACCCTGTCCATCCGCAAACACTGATAGCGTCCATTAAAGTAACAAATGCAGCTGGTTTGTCAACAATTGCCTCATCCAAACCATATGTACATTACACAACTTTACCATATGTTGGGATTGTAAAAGATATTTTGCCATATGCAGAGGTTGAGAATGAGGTATTCAGTCAATAATGTTATGTAACGTACTACCACTAACAGTTCAATTTATAGTGAATGAAGATTGCATTTTTCATAACATAAAAATCATAGTTTTGTATAGCTGGTGCCCATTTATTTTAGATGATGAACGATTACGACATCGATTATCAATTGACCTCTTCATCTATTCGGGGAAAATGGAGTGGATTTATCCACCCGCATCTCAAAGTAACATATAAGATGGGGATAGGTACAGTAAAAGGAGAAGATGACGTCTTTGCATTTACAGATGTGGATGGGACGCAGTATGAATCAACACAACTTGACTTAAAAACACACGAGGTATGTTGAATTATCAGCCAAGAATTGGTCTGGAATTGGTCTGGAACCATTGGCACTTACAACTTTTTAAATGAATAAATAGCATTAGATTATTAGTAGTGATCATTTGTATTTGCAGACGTATTACATCACGGTGATCGCGCAGTCATCAACTGGTAGCGTAAATTCCACGTCAGATGGTGTGACAATTGTAGCACAGAATAGAACAATCAATGTTGATATCCATGATGGATTGGGATGTCCTGACATGGGCAACACCAATCTGAAGGTGCGCTGTATATTTTGATGTTATATTTTGGATGTTTGCCGATTTCATGATGGACGGGAGCCTCATTAAATCTAGCATAATTTGAATGGATGTTGTACGATGGTTGACTGCTTAAAATTAAAGTTTACAACTTACAAGCTACAGATTATATTGAATATCCGAGATATATACAGGGTGTCAAATAAGTCCCGTCCCCCCTGCTACAGCTAAAACCTTAACAGAAGGTACCTAGTGTGATATACCATTAGAAAGATCATCCAAAGTTATGTTAACTCACCAACTCTCAAGTATTTTGGATGAAATTTACCTATATTTTTATGATGTCTTTTAAAATTAACGTGCCCTCCTTTAAGTAGCTTTTTTGAGTCAAAATGACAAGGATATGACCTCAGAAATACATCAAAAAGTTAATCTTTTTCACATTCCACTTGTTACAAAAAGGTTTTCACCATTTTCCTTGCACCTCTATTTTCTACACATCTAACACTATCCAGAAATAGGTTCAATTCATCGCCATAAGCATATTTAGTCATATTTTGGTCCTGTGACCTTTCTTATACATGATTCTTAAAACCGTGCCAAATACGCCAAATTGCCATGTTTCTAGGCATATGGTCACCTCAATTGATACAATGTAAAAATTTCTGAGATTGATTGACATGTGTCAGATATATGCCAATCAACGTAACTTTGGAAGACCTTTCCAATGATATATCATACTTGGTACCAAATATCTTGGTTTTGGCTGTAGAGGGGGGACGGGACTTATTTGACACCCTGTAATTTGTTTTAGTTCCCATGCAGAAATGATATTCAGTTCCAATCCAGCGTTACAGATCTCGCTGCACATTGGAAGATTCCAGAGACATATAAGCCGTTCATAAGTCATGGATTCTACAGAATCGAGCAGTATAATGAAGGTGAGAGGGGAGCCCTCATTTTAAAGACATTTATGTTAGTTATGGTATGTATTGGTTGGTTATCAAGGTGGTGCTATCCTTCCTGACCCGACTTCTTGATACTCCAATCATCCATATTAACTATAACATTTTTGTTGTAGATACAATGGCATGGATACCAGAGTGTCCATATACTGAAATTCTTCCTATTGGTGAAAACATCACTTTGACCAACTTAGAGTTGTCATCTGGATCCACATACAGAACTGTTGTTAAGTTTTGTACACCTGCATCATGCTTTCTCCCACGTTCAAGTAATGGTGTAACAATACATAATCAGCCACCAATAACTGGTGCAATGAATATAAATAGTTCCAAAGAAGGAAGCAACATTACCATTGTATTTGATGAATTTCAGTCCATTTTATCAAATGGTCAATCTGTTGTGGACTTTTACGAATGGACACTATCTTTAGATACCAATGCCAATGGTATCGAAAAGCCTTGGGAAAGAGTCCAAGCTTATCCAATAAATGGTTCCATTACATTTAACTTGGAAAATTCTCTGCTGAACCCAAATGAATTGAATAAGTGTTGGCACATCTGTGTTCGTGGATGGACCTTTGCTGGGTTATCATCAACAATATGCAAGGAAATTGTGGCTTGCAGTGACATTACTACAAATAAAATACATAAAACAATTGTGTTCGATGTCAAAGGTAAATCATACATAAATTGAACTTGACATCTCAAAAAGGCGATGCAATATTATCTAAATTAAAGTCGTATATACAGTCATGTAGATTTCAAAGGTCATTATGTAAGTCTTACGTATGTCTCAAAATTGTCTCCGTCACCGCTTCCGAGAAATATAGAGATATTCCACATATCCTGTCAAAAATCCTTCTCACTATCTGTACATGTAATAACAGGACCTGTCACGTGGATCAAAAACCAGCGTCTTGAACATGATGATGTCGATTATTCATCTAGTAGAGATACAATATCAGCAGTGTGGCCCTCCTTACGCCATGGGAAATATAGCTGGGCAGTTGTACAACCACCAACGGGAACATTAGATGTTGAAGCTATTCCAATCAAACTATGTGAAATGCGTGATGCTATAACATGTGGAGAAACAGAAGACGAGTATGTTAATGCCAATAACCTGACTGTAACCCACGGGAAAACTTACTTTGTTTGTATATTTGCAAATGAGACTGTTCTTAATCACGAACGATTTAAGGAACATCATCCTGAAATTAAGACATGTAGCGATGGTGTCAAGATAGACTGGACTCCACCTGACCCTGGAATCGTAGATATACACGCCTACACGCATCCACTTGGTACACAGGGATACCAGGTATTTATTTTAGTTTTAATTTTACAATACAACAATAACAATACAATATTTTTAATCCTGTATCTATTTACATTTTTACGGACAGTATTTAATGGCTATGGAATTATCTTAAGCATCTGAATTGAAAAACATCGGGAAATTAGTTCACTTTGGGACAATTGCTTATTCCGAATGGAACTCCCCAAATGTTGTCTTTTAGCAAACAGGGGACAACAATATGTCATATTTTGCTGAAAACATTGTCAGATTTGTTTTTCTTTTTTAGACTTCCAGAAGTCAAATATCTGTTTCCTGGTCACAATTCTCAGATACAGATGATGTAACATCTTCCACTGACGAACGGCATACGGGAATTAAATACTACCAGTTTGCAGTTGGTCAGTATAGGCAATACAAAACTATAAACAATTGCTATCCATATCCAATAACATCATTTTGCTAATGACCACTTTATATACTAATAATGTTTCAGGTGGGCACTCGTATGGAGTCGATGTAGTCGGATTTACAAGAATCGGAATTGGAAATCGCCATATTATCACTGGACTTAATCTTACAAATGGTCATGAATATTTTGTGACAATAAAAGGTAGGATCTTAATTTAATGTATATCTATATAATTATATTAATATCATGACATGAATCATGAAGACATTGTGCATTTTAACTACTCGGCGAAGTTCTTTTTTATCTTTAATGTTGGTTAAGCTCTAGACTTCATGTCATTTTCTGGTTTCTTTCAGCTACAAACTACGTCGATCTATCAAGTGATGTTTGTAGTTCGCCTGTCATAGTTGATTTCACTCCACCACGGTTGACGCAAAAAGCTCATGTTCGACTCAGAAATCTGGTTGGACAAACCAATAAAGAACTCCTTGCAGAGTAAGTTTATTCAGCCCATGCTTATGATAACTGCATCTATTCATTTACATTAAATGATCCTGACATTTAATGGATTATCTTTTTTACATACATTAATGAGATATTGTTCGATTTAGTTGGTTTGGCGTGTTTGCTGACGAGGAAAGTGGAATTATTCATTACACTTGGTCCATCGGATCTGAACCTGGGTTTGCCGATATCAGTGGTCCACATCAGACAAAATATACATCGACTATGTCTGATCCAACTTCCCAAAATCTTGACCTTTTGGACGGACATGTGTACTTTGTTACAGTCAAAGTATGTCAAAGTATAACAGTATAGTATAGCACCAAATCTTTATCAGGAATAAAAGTACATGTACAATGGTGTTTCACATGCTATTTTATACTCTTCGTATATGTTGTGTTTGCAATTACAGAAACATCAAAGTATTATTTTTAACAATTCTTTTACATTATCAAGGCGTACAATAGGGTCGGGCTGCATACAACTACAAGTTCACACGCTTTCATAGTAGATGCATCTCCTCCCATCGTTGGCCACATATACGATGGCACAATCGAAGAGACGGATATCTACAATCGAGATATTGACTACCAGACCAATGCTACCAGACTGTGCTCCCATTGGGAAGGATTTTCAGATCCACATACTGAACTTATTGAACATCTTTGGAAAGCAGGAAGCTGCCCTACCTGTGATGACATTATACCAGAACATGCTGTTGGTCTAAAAGAAGGTAATGCTTTCATCTGCTGCATCCTCAAAACACGGGAACTTCACTTTCTTGGGAGTTTCGTCAAGTAAAGCTTTACCCTTTGCATATATATTTCTTTCAGAAGAATGTATGGATTCACTAAAGCTTGCACAAGGAAAGAAATATTATTCAACCATCACTGTATGTAACCAGGCTGGTCTATGTGTATCTAGTTCAACAGATGGTGTCACGATAGATAGCTCTCCACCGATTGCTGGCGTCGTTGAGGACGGAACTGTATCGGAAGACATCCAGTTTCAAGCATCGAAGTGAGAAATGTTACCCCCATCGATGTAATATCAAATACATTACTTCTACACAGTCTACAGTAAAAAAAACACATAAAAAATGATATAAATACACGGATCATAACAATTTTGTTTCAGAGATGTACTCTCTGCTCATTGGATTGGGTTTCACGATGCTCATAGTGGACTATCTAGATATGAAATGCGCGTTGGTACCATCGTAGGAGCAGATGACATCATCTCACCAACACAAGTGCATCTTACTGAGTCTATATTCAAACCTCTAAGCACTCCTTTGCCTGTGAATAAAACGATCTACGTAACAATAAGGGCATACAATTTTGCAGGTAACTATCTTCAAAACATTATCTGGCACCATGAAATGCAACCTAACTCACTCAACAGGAAAGTACCATTTGGCTGTAGTTGTAAACACATTGGGGAGATTAGAACTTGTAACATTATGCCTGTCGGACGGAAATTATTGTATACTCTCAAGCGGTTAATATGAAGACTTAATTACATATATTTTCCTTACACCTTCATGCTTATTTGACAGTAAAGCAACGACTGAAAAAATATTATTATTAAAACTGGATTAGTGTTTTATATATCTACACAAAATATTGATTATTTATATGAAAATCACTATGAAATAGGATTGTATGCAGAAGCTTCTAGTAATGGATTCACAGTGGATACGACACCACCGACTGTTATTGAACCAGCCACAGTAAATCTAAATCATGGATCAATTCAAGAAAATATGCAGGTATTTTAGAATCATCTTCAAAACGCACGACGATCAGCATTTCACTTCTGTGTGAATGTATTTGATTTCTATGATCGATCATTTTCCGCCACTAATTTTTCAAAAATAGTTAATTTTGTTATGATATCCCTTTTCTTAACAGAAAAAGTTAAAATTGGATCAATTATAACAGTTTTGCACTTTTTATAAACTCACAAAACACATGTGCACATGTACAATTAGGTCTGGAGGAGCTCGCTGGCTGTCACATGGAAGTTTGATGACAATATATCTGCAATTGAAAGACAATATGTCAGCATATTTGCACACATGGATGGTGATCTGGATATTCCTACTGTTGAGGTATTGAATTGTCTTGATTTCATTAGATCATAGTCAATTTATAAAGTAAGCAGCAAATACAACAATAGAACTAAAGATTGACATCGTTTTTTCCCACCCAGGAATCATTCACAAGATACCAGAACAATGAAGGTCATTGTGTGAATTGGTGATCGAGAGCTTTAATTATAGATAATGCAATAGTTCACTTAAATTGAAGTACCATTTGTTTTGCGTTGATCTTTTTATGTACTGTTCGATATCTTTCCGGTTTTACTTCAATTACTTTTGCATTTGAATTGCAAGTATATTTCTAATTTAGGTGGGAACTCGTGACAAATATACCTTTAGCAACCTGACACTTCGAGATGGTACAGAATATTACGTAACAGTCATCGCTTGCAATAAAGCGCAACTGTGCTCTAGTAGCACGTCACAGCATTTACTGGTTAGTGCGTCAATATTTATAGGATATCCTATGATTTTGAGGAATATCATTTTATCTACGAGGTGAAATTGATATCTGCACGAGAGAACAAAGCGAACGAGTGCAGATATCAATATCACCGAGTAGATTAAAATGATATTCTGAAAAAAATCATAGGATGTTCTTATTATCCTACACTTACAAGGATTGTACTAAATGTATATACCATTGCAAAATGAATTTCATGCCAAATAGAGTCAATTTGGCGGGAAATCAACAAGCGGAGTATATCGTCACAATATCCTACGCATATTGGGTTTTCCGGAGTATATCGTCACGATATCCTCCGCCCGGAGTATATCATCACGATATCCTCCTGTTATTCATTTTGCCAATAAATATCAAATTTATTTTTTAATGTTATTATACATTTAGTACACTAAGTGTAGGATAATTCATTGTTCAGGCTAAAACTTAAAATTGCTATAGCAATTTTATAAAACATATTTGTTCAATGTCTATCACTATAGTTGGATGAAACCAAAAGACATTGGGATTGTAATTTCTACATGTATGATGCACGATCAGTCTATGATTCAGTTATGGAATAAGAATATGAAACTACGTACTAAGAGCACATTTCACTGTTAAAGCTAAATCTGTTAAAATTGCTAAAATTGTACTTTATAAATGCGTAACACTATATGTGGATGCAACCTGTAGATGCCGAGATTTTAATTTCTATAAGTATAATTCAACGATCAGTAGAGAGATTTTGCACATAAGTGAAAGTACAACTTATACGTATACGTATAGTTTAAAGGGTCATGTCGAACTATTATATTTACTAAAATCAATTTTAAATTGTACTTAATGGAACATAACTATTCCCGTTATAGAAAAGCTCCATCAACTAGAGACTGTGAATGCACTGTCATCTGCACGTGTAGATTATGCACATTATGATTAAATGCTTGCTTCCGTGTCCTTGTAGTTGTAGTGTATTATAAACACGATCCTTTAAAGTGAGTCATGATTCTTTAAAGTGAGTCATTACATAAACAAGTTGATTATTTCAATGTTTTCATGATCAGTATAAGTTCAATGAACTTACAAAACGGTATATTTACGTAGATGATAACGTATACAGTTGGATCTCCGTTGCCTACACGTGTGTGGAACAATTGACCGCAAGCATTTTTTTTAAATTAATTGGCCGAGTGGGAACAGTATCCAATCAAATACTTTAACCATCAATTTGAAACACCAATCAAACCAGTAGGTTCTAGCAATTCCTGGAAACAGTAAATTCAGTAGCTCAACATATGACATACAGGGTGTTTCATAACGAGCATCTCCAAAAAGTCAATTTGAGAAGAGATGGGTCTATAACATATGTACTATATATGAGCCTATTTTATTCTAGACAAAGACATTTGGATCAACTAAACATGCTTCAATTCAAGAAAGTACAAATGGCATCCCTTTGACCTGTATTTATTACAGTCCGAGAAGATCTTTCCTGACGAAAAGCCCACATTATGAAACACCTTGTACGTTTACCTATAAGTATAAGTATACGTTATAAGTTGTACTTTCACTAGGTGCGAAATCTCTCTAGTTTATGATTCAAACTTATATGTATACACGTATAGGAATCCTCCTTAATTCTACTAGTCAACAACTTTACTGGTGACTGTTGTTGTTCAGTGAAATGACCACTGAGTTGTGCCTTTTTAAGGTTGACTCATCGAGACCAAGCGTCGGAACCTTTGCTAGTTGGACAAACCATGCTGCAAATGTTGGCAGATATGAAGATGGATTCATGACTTGGAATGGAGCTGATATTTCGTTGCATTGGCTAGGGTTCGAGGACCACCACTCTGGAATATCACATTATTTAGTTACAGTCGGGGAGACGTTTGCTGGACATGAGTATACTCCTGTATGTCACTCTAAATTACTGTATATTACATATTAAGTGGTATTTAATCCGAGTGGTTAATTTTCCGAATGGTCAAATTTCATTATTTTCCTAATTTTTATTTTCCTAATGACAAGAAACCTCCCATTTCCTACATTTAATTTCCCCAACCTGACAAAAATTAGGAAATAGGCAAATTAAATGATTAGGCAAAATTACCACTTAGTATAACCTACACTAAGGCCTCCGCGGTTACGTCTTCAGTGCTGCATTGCGTTCTGCATAAGGCGTTTGAAATAGACATTTATTGAAATCATAGATGATTGGTACATATCTCCACCAATATTTGTACAATACCACTGCTGCTTTTACTTCCGAGTATCATTCACATGAAACGTGGTAGCATGAAACGTGAAAATATCGTAAGTAAAATAATTATATAATTTTTATAATAATGATTTGCATCTGAAACAGGATGGTCCTATTATGATAACCCACAATACATCTGGACAGAGACAAAAGGAAGGCGTGATACAAACTGCTGATATCACACTGGGCAGAACGCTGGTTGATTCCAAGAAGATCTTTGTAAAAATATGGGCGGTTAATGGGGTAGATATAACGTTTCGGCATTAATATCAATTATTTATTGTGTTTCGATGTGACAAAATAGCCATTCATTCATCATTACCCAGTTTCAAAAATTCTACCGCATTTCATTATTGCTGGCTAAAATCTGCTTCTATGATATATGAATATTATTTTAGGTTGGGTTGCCAAGTTTAGTCGCTCATAATTCATTTGACGTTATTGTAAACTCACCTGGTAAGGGTGTGCTTGTCCTGACCCGCCGCTGCATTACACATAGTTGTGAGGGACATTGTATATGTGCTCCTCAGAATCAACGATGCGACCTCAATATCAACAAGACATGCACAGAAGCAAAACATGGTATTGCATTGCAAAACATTACTTGATTTATTTTAGACTTGTAAAGAAAACATATGCATGACTTTGATTGGCTCGCTTCGAACTTTACACCCTCTGTCAGTCTGTATATTTATTACAGATTTTTATTACAGGTTTTTATTACCTGTAGAGTTGATCAGTTATTGGTTAAGATTAAGAATACTACTACTAATTAAGAGCATATTTTGATTATTTATATTAGGTGATAACGCCATGATAGTTGTAAACGATACACAGTCCATTGGTTACTTTGAGAAGTCCGATCATATACTCGAAGACATTGACTTCACCCATTCTGATTGCTTTTTGGCTGCAGGATGGTCACTATCAGAAGGAAATGGAAAGACGCCAGTTCGGTACTCACTATTTTTGCTCCTCTGTAATAATGATATTTCATTATGGTACGTTCACACCAACGGCGCTTTGATGGCGCTTTAAAGCGGCTTGTAAAGCGGCACCAAAGCGTAACAAAGCTTAATTAAAGCGTCGGGGTCGTAATAGGTCGTAGAAAAGCTCGGGAGTAAAGCGGGATATTCGGCAAGAGCGCTAAAAAATTTAAACTGTTTAAGCGTTCGCACCAACGGCGCTTTGATGGCGCTTTAAAGCGGATTGTAAAGCGGCACCAAAGCGTAACAAAGCTTGATTAAAGCGTCGGGATCGTAATAGGTCGTAGAAAAGTTCGGAGTAAAGCGGGATATTCGGCAAGAGCGCCAAAAAATGTTGAACTGTTTAAAAATTTTGAGCGCTCTGTTACGAATTGATTGAAGCGCCGAGAGCGTATCAAAGCTTAACAAACCGTAACAAAGCTCAACAAAGCTTGACTCAAAGCGTAGGAAAGCTTAACACAGCTTGGTTCAAAGCGGGGACCCCAGTCTATTCACGGTCTGTTACCACTTGACACGCTTCGTTAAGATGTCTCAAGATTTGCTACGATCTGGCATGAAGATCTGACACGAGGTCAGACGCTTTCATCAATATCTGACACTCTTTGTTACACTTTCCTGAGGGACTCTCAAGCTTTCCAACGAATTGAGACGCTTCAATCAAGGATTGAAACGCTTTGCTAGGCTTTGTTACGCTTGAAAGTTTTCACACGCTATATCACGCCGTGCGACAAACGTCATGTCTTCTTCAGATAGGTCATGCTCTGGTCCATCTGGAATTTCTGGATCTCGTTGTTCTGCCATCGTGTTCTCGAGTCAAAGATGCAATGGTTTTATGGATCTACTGCATCTTTATATAGTCATTGGATCAAAAGCGGCATGGAATCGGCGATCTCGACATTTTCCAATGCGTGACAGAGCTTAACAGAGCGTAACAATGCACAACAGAGTTTTGCAATCGTATCAGAGCCTGATTTAAAGCTTCATAATCGCATCAAAGCGTAATAATGCTTATCAAAGCTTTTCAAAGCGTGATTTCAAGCGTAACAAAGCCTGATCAAAGCGGGATCAAAGCGTGAGGAACCTTTTAGAGCTATGTTAAGCTTTCCTACGCTTTGGATCAAGTTTTTCTGAGCTTTGTTACGGTTTGTTAAGCTTTGATACGCTCTCGGCGCTTAATCGATTCGTAACAGAGCGCCCAAAAATTTTTAAGAGTTTAAAATTTTTTGGCGCTCTTGCCGAATATCCCGTTTTACTCTGAGCTTTTCTACGACCTATTACGACCCCGACGCTTTAATCAAACTTTGTTACGCTTTGGTGCCGCTTTACAAGCCGCTTTAAAGCGCCATCAAAGCGCCGTTGGTATGAAGAAAAATGACAAAAATGACGGCGCTTTGCTCGCCGATTTAAAGCGTGGCATTCGCCGTTGGTGTGAACGTACCTTTAGCAATTGATGTAAGATCCATATACATGATGTAACGGTGATAAATACTATGGATTTATGGTCAGTTAAATATCCCCCTAATACACAATAACCGAAATGCTTCGAACATGTCGAAGATGCTCCAAAACTAGTACACATCATCAATTGTCCTCCTTTCTGCTAGCTTAAATATGAAACCCGCTCTTGTAGATACGAATATACAGCAGGGTTAGATGGATCTGATGTTGGAAGTGGTGTATTCGATGATGTAGCTCGTGACCGGATTTGGTTTGAAACTGGATTTTACAACCATGCAGTTATAACTCCCACCTTAAGTATGTACATACATATTATTCATTTAAATAATGCTACTGATACGTTTATAAACGTTAATAGATAGGTTTAACTGATGCCAGATTGAGGGTCTTTTTGGTTTCAGGTCGACTTTATCAAGGACAAAAGTACATATTCTATGTACGAGCGTGGTACAATGACTCCACATATACCGTGTTCCAATCTGATGGGATAACAATTGATATTACACCACCTATGGTTTCACGTATAAGACACGTATGTTAATTTTCATATAAATCACATATAAGACATGAATGTTGTTTTATGTACGTATTAAAGCGTAGTATCAAAATATACAAATAAAATGAAATTGGCATTGTTAATAAGTCACTTCAAACACTACTTCTTGAATAGCGTGTTGCCACCAATGGCTCAAAAGTCTCTGTTCGCAAAATATTTTTGTTAATACAAACTGGGAGTAAAATAACTAAATGAGGTTGGATTATGTTTGCAACTTTAGTTCGACTAGTTTTGGTTTTATTTTATTGAAAAAAACATGTATTATCATGGTTGGTTCAAGGTTGAGGAAAGTGATGATGCGATTGTTAGGTTTGACAAAGACTTCACGAGCAATGTTGATAGCATCGGTGTTAGTTGGACTGGTGTGTTTTCTGATGAGGAATCTGGCATATCTCATTACCTGTTGGGAATCGGAACTGCTTTACAAGGTAAGGTATAATATCACTCCCCTTAAACTGGTGATTTCAGTTTACAGTTAGCTTCATGAATTATTTTTCTCCTAAAGGAATTGATCTTCTAGATCTTCTATAGCCCATTCTCCGGCTCTCGTCGATTTTTTTTACATGTTTAACAATGGGATTGTGTTGCCCGGGGTTGTGTTTGAATATATTAACCACTGTTGTATGCCCATATATTTCCCCTTTGGCCATATTTTATCTATTAACGGAGTGATCATTGATTTTAGATGACGATACCTTTAAGTTTAAAATACAGACTAAAACCAGTGCCCGGTTGACTGGGTTGTCTTTGACGCCTGGTCAGAAGTACTACACAACGGTAATCGCAGTGTCAAACACTGGATTAGAAACGTCTAAGGTCTCAGACGGATTCGTTGTAGATATAGAGCCACCAGTACCTGGAATAGTTCTTGATGGCAGATGTACGTAGATTTAAGTTATTGATATTAAATAATTATACTAGATACGATAATACGTTGTTGTAACCTGAAATTACTTAAATCTATTTATTTAAGTAGCATGGTAAAGTGACGCAATTGTCTTTGACATTACGAAGGGCATGGGGTATTGCCATCTTGAAGAACACTTAATCGAAGAAAGAATGTATGATTTTCTTAGTCAATTGACACTCTCCCGTAATCCACATTTTTCAATAATTTAGAACAATTGTGTTGATATACATAATTCTGAACGGATCAAATTATGAAACTTGAAATAAAAAGTTTTGTATACGGATACATAAAAAATCATGATTTGTTCCATTCAAAATATATGGGGTATTTTTGTAACGAGAACATGGCGCTAATTTCAGTTCTACACGATGATGACTACACCAACGAGACGACAGTACTTCACGCACAATGGCATGGCTTCTATGACCGTCACAGTGGGATTGACCACTATACTTGTTGTATAGGGACTGAACCAGACACTCCAACATGTGATGTGGTTCCATCTCATAATGTTGGACTACAGACCGCTGTGTCGATAACAACCAACAGTCCTTTGAAGTCTGGTAATGTGATTTTACCTTACTTTGATTAACAATTGTAGAATTTTCGTATCGTTGTTTTTTCGTTTTAAATCTTTTGACTCTTAATTTGATTTTTCTCGCATTAGGTAAATACTACACAAAAGTGCAGGCAATGGATGCTGGAGGACATCGTTCAACTCTAGTATCATCTGATGGGGTAACTGTTGATACAACCCCACCCGACATAATGCATGTAGCAACGACCGGCGCAAACTTACTTCAAAATCCGTCCTTTGAGGAAGACGAATCGAAGTTTGATATCCATGATCATCCACTGTGGTTCAACTCAACCAACTCAGCTCCCCGTCATTGGAAAATAACGCCGGGAACTAAGGTTGTTGTCGTGAACAGCAAGGATGGCGAAGCGAGAGATGACAACAATGCGTGTCTTTTGTTGGGTGGTATCTTTCAAAATATAGCGACAGATATAGGAAGTGTATACGCAGTTCAGTTCTCCGTGAGTCACCCACCAAACCCTCCGATAAAACATATGATGCAAACTGGCAAAATTATCATTCCTGGCGCAGAGGAAACATTCCACATCTTCCCACGTCAAGACGTCACTAAAAATAACAACGGCCATCCAAATTTGAAATCGAAAGAATTCTCCCAAATAGCTTGGCATAAACATCTGTACACATTTGTTGCGAAAAATGATACATCCACGATAGGAATAGAAACAGTGGGGCGAAATGCTGGGTTATTAGTCGATGCCGTTAGAGTTGAACTGATGAATCACGTATCGACAGGTGGGGAGATAGAAGTTACCCATCAGCAAGCTGGGGAATGGTCCTCAATACATGCTCATTGGCAGGTGTTAGATTATGAAAGTCATATCGATGATGTATCATGGGCTATAGGTTTGTGGCAATTAATTAATTAACGAAGTTGTTCAGTTTTGAAAATAATACACGATCTTAATCCCCTATTCTCACTACCAAATATGAGGTTGGATCAGAATGTTTTCTAGCTTTACAAGTAAAAACACATACTTATCGTTTTTCGGCCTCCGAATGTATAACCATGTATATTTTAGCTTTTTTAACATGAAGGCCAAGTCAGCACTGATCTAATGTAAAAAATGAAATCATCAAGTGCATTATATATTAAAGGTCTCGTACAAGGCGGAACCCAGCTGCAATCATATATCAGTGTTGGGCGGAAATCATATGGGATAAACACGAATCTCCATCTTGTTCATGGCATGGTGGTTCACGTGACTCTGTTGGTGCGCAATAACGCAGGCTTGGCTAGCGTCATATATGCTGATCCAATTGTTATTGACCACACGCCCCCTGTCATCAAACACGTATGGCATAGTCAAGATCAAGGTGATATCATTTTAAAATGTTATTTTATGCGACTTATGCCCTATAGATGTAGTCTAACAAGTGATGTATGTACTCATACCGCCATGTTACTAAATATGTTTTTGATTCAATGTTTTAGAAATTCGATATCAGAAAGGACACAACTTAACTGCCAAGTGGGAAGTTGAAGATACTGAAACAGGAACAAGCCATTGCAAAGTCGCATTTGGTAATTATATTGCATTAAGTGTTGCCAGACTAGCCTTGTGTAGGTGGTCCTTTACGGACTCAACTTTTTAGTGATACCAACATCAGGTTCATACGAGTTATGGACAAGCAGTAAAGTGGGGAAAATTCGAAATTCTCAAGGCTTGTATTTCAAAGACCAAACCTTATTTAAGTTATGAACTTATTTCAAAGTCTCTCAGAGTGTCCATATTGTTTGAATTATCTGGTTGTCCCACAGATATAGGAACTGTATAAAAATAAAGCGTTATAGATCTAAGAATATATTGATGATGGATGTCCATTTGTTTGATATAAGAGGGGCTTCTTGCGTGGTAAGATGTTTGAAACCTCTCCTTTGATGTTTATAACTGTTTCATAATTCTTATTTTAAATTAGGAAACATGCCTGGTTCAGACAATGTGGTTGGTTATACACATGTTGCATTTGTCGGAAATCCAATGGTGTTTACATTTTCCAACCATGTTATGATCGAACATGGGTCAACGATCTATGCAACCGTTCGTTGCTTCAACGCCCACGGCCTGTGGAGCGAGGCCTCGTCTTCTGGAGTAAAATTAGTTCACCAGCCCCCTGATGTCTCAACTGCATTGATTGAAACATTGCCCAACAAAAACTCACACTTTACGTGTAAAGATGGAATACAAAATGACATTGATATGATTCGAATCAAATGGGATGGATTCCGGAAGCATCGTGATTCTATTCATCATTATACGGTACATCAATCTGTTTCAACTCCTAGAAGTGTTAGATATGACTGGCCTAGCTGTATAATAACATTTAGAAATTAATTTAATATTTAATATATATATATTCCACCAAAAATAGTGCCAAGTGTTCGTAATTTCAAGTATTTATTTCTTCTTTGTCGATATATTTCAGTTAAACATTGGGTCGACAAGTGCAAACCAACTGAATTCCTCATATGAACTTGGGGTTAATGGACGACAGCAAGTCACAATGAAACCTATTGCTTTCAAACAAAACCAACAATACAAGGTAATCGATCAGAGGATCATTCACATAAATTTCCTAAAATTTAAGTCCATTGTCCACTCGTTAATTATGTCCATGGCAACGATAATTTTTTATTTAGGAATAATTCTGAAGTTTCTGTTATAAAAAACAAACAAATCGTATCTAGAGAATACCAATAAAATACTGAATGCGAAAGTGATACCAACGCCATAGGATATTCACCATATCCAAGCCACCTGATACTGAATACCGAATATGAATGTTTTTGGGAATCTCGATCAATAACTATTCTAGGGAATTGTTCTTTGGAAAATGAAATTACCTTTTTGGAATAGCCTACTTAATTGAAGATAAATTTTACTGATAGAATCTATACTCGATTTGTTCAAATTTTAAAACATGTATAGATACGATTGATGGGCATTATTTAGTCTATATACACCAATGATAATGCAGAACTGATGTTATACATATAGGCGATGATCCAGGCTGTTGATATGGTTGGAGGTATCAGTGACGGTGTTCAAGTATTCTTTACTACAGAAACACTTCCACCTAATATAACAGGTAACAGTGTGCAGACGTATCAAATCTTTTTACCACTTTTATTACGTACTTCAGAGTGCGCGTGGACCTGGGGGGTTTCGTTTTGCATTTTATTTGAGTGTAAATATAATTCAAAATCGAGGGAGATAATTTCCCCGCTTGTTTTGTTCCAGATGTTAAAATGACAACTGCTTGGTTGGATGAAACTACAGTACTGTTGTCATGGGCAGGTGTATTCATATCCGACAGCGACCTCTATTATGAACTTACTATTGGAACAAATCCTGGCGGAAGTGACATCATGAAATGGGTTGAAACAAAAGAAACAGCTTTCACACTTTATGCTGTTGATAATTCACTTGGCCATTATTTGACAGTGACTGCTATAAATTCGGCTGGGTTTTATACCTCGAGTATTCTATCATTTAGTTACGAGAAATGAAGGGCTGTAAATTGCCCCGAACAAGACAATGCTGCTTGCACCAATACAGGAACAGACTGTCTGGCCCTATTATATTAACTGTCTATTATCAGACTTATAGCTTTACACACTGAACCATTTCTTTCATAATAACTTACAACTTTGCGTTCTCACATTTTAGAACAGAAACTGATTTTTCCATAATTTTGCATCTAAGCCTAATACAAAGGACAGAAAAAGAAATGATTCTTCGAACACTTACAATCATGGTACAATTTATGGTGTTATAAACTTTTAAAATGGTTCTAGCTTCTACAATCATTTGTTAAAAAGATAGTATAAGCATGTAAATAAAGTACTCTAAAACCATTTTTCAAAAAGGCATATATGTGTAGCCACGCTTGTTATTTCAATTTGCCTATTACTCTATTAACATATGAGAAATATAAATACTCGTATTATGCAACTGTATGTTTTAGGCTGTATTTTCGTATACACGCGGGTGCAATACACTCGCACAGCATTTGATGAGCCTTATCATGAAAACGATCAATGGACCCCATATATATATATATATCACCCGCTCACTTCAGATATCAATTATATTCCTGCATGTTATTCACCTATATACTTTAGTATGGAATAATAAGATTTATCACACTTCAATTGAACAACATTTTGATTTAAACTTTTTTTTATTGGTTCCAGAATGTTCTTAAGTTTTTATCAATTAAAACGAATATGTAAGACAAACACTTTTTTAAATATTCTATAGTGTACATATCAGATCATCAGCATAGAGTATATCAGTAATTATAAGCTCTATATAGTAATGATGAACTCTATATAAAACAAATACAAAAATAAATATTCATGTTTTTAAAAAATGCAAAGCCATCTGTACTACCAATTCAAAAAAATAGTCTCTTCAGATTTATCAAATATGAAGTAATAATTTTCGTTGATTCAGTGTTCTTAGAATTTCAGTGTGAAAAGTACAATTATTGTATACCTTACTTTTGGTATATAACTCGATTACATACTTGATTAAAAAAGAGTAAATGTACTTTTCAATACATAACCATACTAGAATGACCTCAATTACAATTTCCAAAATAATCACACTGTTGATTCATTCGGAATGAAACAAAACTATGAATTGGTAAGAAACATAATATTATAAATTACCATATCAACACATTTGGATTAAAACATACCATTATGAAATACTGGATCAATACATTTGGTATGACACATAAAACTATAAGTTACCAAAAATCAATACATTTGGTATTAAACATAAAATTATAAATTACCATAATCAAAACATTTGGTATGGCACATAAAATTATAAAATATCATATTCATTACATTTGATATGACACATAAAACTATAGATTACCATAATCAATACATTTGAAATGCTACATAAAACTATAAATTACCATAATCAATACATTTCGTATGAAACATAATATTGTGAATTACTATGATCAATACATTTAGTATGACACATAAAACTATAAATTACCATATTCGATACATTTGATATGACACATAAAACTATAAATTACCATAATCAATACATTTGAAATGCTACATAAAACTATAAATTACCATAATCAATACATTTCGTATGAAACATAATATTGTGAATTACTATGATCAATACATTTAGTATGACACATAAAGCTATACATTACCATATTCAATACATTTGATATGACACATAAAACTATAAATTACCATAATCAATACATTTCGTATGACACATAAATGTATAAATTAACATCCCTGCCTTTATACGATAGAAGTGTACTTTTGCATGAGAAATACACATGTCCTAAAAATAACAGGAAGCAAATGTACTTTTAGGTTTGGTATTACACATAAAATTATAAATTACCATTATCAATACATTTGGTATGAAACATAATATTATGATTTACTATGATCAATAAATTTGGTATGGCACATAAAACTATAAATTATCATATTCAATTCAGCAAACGTACTCTTAGTTTCTGGACAACATGTACGAACATAATTTATAAAACATAAAATCATAATCAAACATCGGTACAGTTAGTATTGAACATGCATTAACTTGAATATAATTGGTCTACAAAACATAAACTCACTTGCATGGCATGAAAACTATACTCTAATATGCCGAGATGAAGTGATGCTGATAGATGGCAAACTTGAGCTAGAATATGATGTTGGCAATAACCATAGGGACTAGGTTGACAGATGGGACGGTAATGATCTATCTTTTTAAATCTTCTCTTTACGAACAGACACTTTACAATAATCAACAATATTGCCACCATGTAAACCTTCATCTGTAGTCTTAAGGAGAACAAACCAGATAAGGAAAACTGTCAATAAATGTCAAAGACCAATAACCATCTCTTCTTTTTGTATGTCAAAAGTAAATACTGTGCTTATCTAATTACACTTCTAGTTGACATAGCGTTTTCACACTATCGATGATCACACATACTTTTAAGAATGAAACTATGCGCCCTATCACAGTCTTTCTCTTACTATCTATTAGAAACTTGCTCATTCTATATCTCTGCTATACTAATGATACAATGTACATCTCACAGTCTGCTCATTATAGAAAGTCTTTGTCTCTTATTTATTTCTAACACATCACATACCCTTCCTAGCTTTATTATGCCACTTTTTATGCCTATGCATACTTTTCTGATAATCTGAACTATACGAGCAATGCCTGCATGTTAGTCCTCGCTGCACTCTATGATGTAAGGTATGTCTTCGGAAGTACCCTGTGAATCTCGTGAAATATGGGCACGCAGTACATATGAATATATTCATTCCTTCGCACTCAGAATCAACAGTTGACTCATAATCCATTGGAAAATCCTCTGCTACAATCTCAGGTTGATCACTATCATTAGCATTTCTCTCGTCATCAGTAACCTTTCTCTTTTTGCACATTCTGGCTATTTCTCTATCAATTCGTGGTAGTCTGACCATGCAAGTTTTTGTGTTCACTAGATGAATTTGGTTATTTTGAGATTGCTGGACAATTTCTTTAGTGAATTCATCACAATTTTCATTTGGTAGTTTCCTCTTGAGAGGGTTTTCACTTTTTATATTGTTTTCACATACAGACTGATATGTTTCACTATCATCGAATTGAGAAGCCCGAGGATTTTGCTGGACTGCATTATTTTCAACATGTAGAATGCCATTAATATGAGCATCTCTGTTGTTATCTATCACCTCCGTTTTCGTTACTTTGTGATCACGTGTTTGATGTTGTCTAACCCGTGATGATTGGAATGAAGAAAAGTTACAATGTTCACAAACAAAGCAACCAGCCTGAGGGGAATGGAATCTCGTGTGTTTTTCTAACCATCCACTTTTTGAAGAGCTATACTGACAAATCGGGCAATTGTATGAAGTACACGTACCTCTAATTGTTGGACTTGATATAGGCCTATCAGGCTCTTGTTCCACTCGATTCTGTATGTTGGATTGTGGTGTCACTATAGAATCCACAGATAACGTTTGGCTTTTCAGTCTGCAAGTTTGTTTATGTTTTTGTAATTTTTTAAACTGATTTGTTTTCAAATCACACTGATTACATCTGTAAATATGGGATGAATCTTTTCTGGATTTGTGCATTGGAGCCAATCCACGTTTTCTCATGAAATGGTTATGTTTCAACTGTTTCACTCCATGGAGGGCCATATGCTGTTTTAATCCTTTTACGGTCGGTGATCCATATTCACAAATACTACAGGAGCATGAATGCGACCCCTCATGACCCTTGATGTGTTGATTATACAAGTCTAATGAGTAAGTTGAATAGGGACATCGTTTTATTTTACAATGTTGTAATGTTAAGATTTCACTATCTTGATGTAACCTCAGGTGGTTTTTCAGCTTGGACTTCATACTGTACGACATATCACAATGTGGACACTGAAATACGTCATCTTCGTCAATCTGTATAGGAAATATGGCTCTCCTCTTGCCATTAGCATGTACTGACTTTTCTAATTGCTTTACTTGCCCGATGCTTTGTTCCACATCTTTCATATTACAAATCTTTTTCATTGTTTGGGAAGATTTTTCCTCTTGGTGGTCATTAATCTTTTGATCATGTGTCAGTCTTCTGGCATCTTTATTTGTCTCCGTGTCATTTATTTGATCTTTATGGATAGATGTATTTTCTTCATTTGTACTTAGTAAGCCTCTCTTGTGAAAATTCTTTTTCAATGAATGGTCATTAGTTTCAATATTTGCTGTGGCCATCGTTGAAAGCGTTCTTATATTAGTACTCCTTGTAGACCTTTTGACAGTGTAATTTTCTGTGCAATCTTTTTGCTCATTTTGGGCACTTTGAATGTTGGTAACACATGCAGAAATAATGTCTTTGATATTAAAGCCTCTATGCTCTTCCACATGCCTTTTCCTTTCAGCATCCACTTCAGTGCAACCTTTTTGAGAATATGGATGGTCAAAAAGAACTGAATTTTCTATATCAGGTTTTACGAAATCATAATGGTTTACTAGAGACTCCAAGTTTACAATCTTGGTTTTAAGAGAGGGAAAAGCCATATTTTCTGTTTTATTGGGGTTCTCAGATCCAAAATATAAGACCTCGTTTACATCAGGAGTATGCTGCATTGTTTCATGTGTAGCTTGTCCGACATAAGAAGCTGGGCTTTCATTTACTACACATTGCATAACAGGTTCTTTGTATCTCAAAGGGAGGTGTTTCTTAAAACCTGTGCAGTCATTGTTCACATTTTGTACAGTTTCATCTTCAGTGTTCTTAATAGAATGCAATTCTTTGGAAATACTGTAATTTTCAAGCTCTGATTCAATCATATCACACAGAATTGTTTCGATACAAAAATCAACAGTAATTGAGATCTTAGCATTGAGTAAACCTGCTTCTTTGCTTACTTCTAGATGAACTTTCCCTTCTTCATCCAATGGCTTCTCCTCTACACCAAACTCCACTTCGCTTTTGGGACTACATGCAATCTTATTTGTTCCACCATCTGGCCTGTCACGATATACTGTGTCATCCAATACTCTATCCTGTAAACCAGACCTCACTTGGTTTTCATGAACACGTGGTATCTTAGTTGTTCCATCATCTGGCCTCTGAACATGTACTGCATCGGTCAAACATGTTTCCACTATAATAGGGTCAACCTTTACTCCTTTTGATCTGTGACATGGTGTTTCATTATCTAACTTGTCTCCTGCTTCATTGATATGATTGACTGAACCGTTTTTAGTAATACCATTGGGAGGTCTCCCACTTGCAATTGTTTTGATTGAATCTGTTTGGCTTTGAGGTGTTGAATTGATTCCTGGATTAATTTGCCTAGTAATATTGATCTCGTTTGATGCCTCACTCATATCATCATCACTTGAATCAGAAGTTTCTTCATAATCAGACGCTAATTGTATATGATATGATAAGTCCTGATTCATAATAATAGCATCTTTAGTATTATTGGCAGTGGCTATTGTTGGAGTGTGAATGTTTTCAATATTGTTGGAATCTTCGGTATTGTTTTCACTAATAGTCTTCTGGTACGTTGTATAACATATGCTGTTACTTGTAGCAGTAAATGGATTTGCATTGGTATTCTTGGAATGTTGCACATCCAGTCCTCCTGATAGGTCAGTGCAAGAGACATTATTGACATGTGATAGACATGTCGTACCGGAAATAACAGGTTCAACATCACTATTGGATGCTATCTCGCTGGTCTGTCCATTGTTGGTGATTTTGTTTATATTTTGAACTCCGATACGATCTGAGCTCCTATCAATGTTTAACATATTGATATGAAACATTTAATCTATCGTTGAATTAGCTTTAAGTTTATCTATCTCCTGGACGATGTTATCATTGTCCACCTGAGTGATGATTGCTGTGGATACTGCACCTGTTTGGTCATTCTCTGCAGACAATGATGCACCAGTATATGATTCCACTGCTAGGATATCAGATGATACTCCTTGAGCTGTGATATTGGTATTTTGATTTAGACTTTGCAGGGTTGAGTCTTTGCGCTTTTTATTAACCACCTTACTTGCAATATAGGAATGGTCCATAAGTGCCTGATTTGCCATACTCTTATGGTGCATCTGAATGTGTCTAATTACATATTCACTAAACACAGAAGAATATGTGCATTCATTGCATTTAAACTTTCCATTGCCCTCATCATGGCATTTCTTATGCACATGAAAACTTTTAATAGTTGGCGCTGAATATTCGCATTTGTCACATTTATACTTTGCATGTGTTGTTGACATTGTTGTAGTCATGGGCCCTTTATTTAGGTGGTAATGTTTGTGATTTTCAATGACATTGGAACTACTACTCGAATAACTGCACAATTCACATTTATATTTCAACGATCTCTCATGACCAGTCAGATGCTTTTGAAATGTGTGATGTGAGTTTGAGAAAAATTGACAAAGAGGGCATTCATACCTTTTACAACTTTGCATATAATATCTCCATGATCCAGGTTTCATGGACACTTCGTGATCTTGTAATTCATGAACGTACACTTTTGATTTGCTGGAAGAGTAGCTGCATTTTGAACAAGTTACTTTTGAAACACTAGAATGTCTAGTTTTATGCAATTCAAACTCGTGTTGCAATAGTGTGGCGTAGTCACATTCATCACAACGTTTAAGCATGGAATAATGTTCCAAATCGTTGTGTTCCTTCAATTTTTGTTTGACATTAGTTTTAAAGTCGCATACATCACATGAAAGAATCTGATACTTCGGTTTTTGCTTGTGCGATGATAAATGACTCCTAAGAGATGGAGAGGATTCAAGGCAGGCTCCACAATGAGGACAAACAAACCTCTTTTGAACAGAATCAAAGTATTTCTCTGGGGTTTCCATATCAGGTGCAATACTTTCTTTACATTCACCTATTGACAGAATTTCTTTTTCATGCAATTTGTTCTCATGGCTTCTTGTAGACATTAAGCTAGCAGAGTAGCTGCACCACCTGCATTTGTATGCAGAAGGTAATTTATGATGAAGTTTGTGTTTTTCTAATGCAAGGGAATATGTTGCACAAAAATTGCAGTCACTACATTTAAAACTAGATGTAGGTTTAGGTTTATATATGTTCTTTTCAGTTTCTATGACTGAACTTTCTGATATAATTGTTTTGGGTTCGGTTGAAACGATCACCATTCTAGGTTTACTATGGTCCTCTGCTTCATGTGAAACAACAGATTTTTTAGTTCCAGAAAAGCTACATATTGAGCATTTTACTTTGGATCTGATACTGTGTTGCAATCTATGCTTCATTATCTCCATTTCAGTTGCTGCACAATGATCACATTCACTGCAGCTAAACATATCAATATTACAAACAGCGGTCCCTTCTTTAATTTTTCCAGATCCAACTGTTTCATCTGTATTGTGATTTTCAACATTTGAACTGTCACCTTTCTTATTTATGTCATTCTTCACAGCATCTGGTTGTTCATCATTTGGACATTCACCCAAATCATTCTCTGCATTAGAAACAGTTGTTTGTTTGCCATTGTGACTTACATTTGTATCATTTATCATAGCATCATTTGGCTGTTCACCCATATCATTCTCCACATTAAAAACAGTTGGTTGTTTGCCATTGTCACTTGATTTTGTATCAATCTTCATAGCAACAGGATGTTGTTCATCATTTGGCTGTTCAGCTGTATAATTCTCCACATTAAAAACAGTTGGTTGTTTGCCATTGTGACTTACATTTATATCATTCTTCACAGCATCTGGATGTTCATCATTTGGCAGTTCACCAATACCATTTTCCACACTAAATACAGTTGGTTGTTTGCCATTGTGACTTACATTTATATCATTCTTCACAGCATCTGGATGTTCATCATTTGGCAGTTCACCAATACCATTTTCCACACTAAATACAGTTGGTTGTTTGCCATTGTGACTTACATTTATATCATTCTTTAAAGCATCTGGATGTTTATCATTTACCAGTGAACTATCACCAATGTTTGTATCCACAGCATCTGGATGTTTATCATTTACCAGTGAACTATCACCAATGTTTGTATCTACAGAATCTGAATGTTCATCATTTACAAGTGAACTAACACCAATGTTTGTATCCACAGCATCTGGATGTTTATCATTTACCAGTGAACTATCACCAATGTTTGTATCCACAGCATCTGGATGTTTATCATTTACCAGTGAACTAACACCAATGTTTGTATCCACAGCATCTGGATGTTTATCATTTACCAGTGAACTATCACCAATGTTTGTATCTACAGAATCTGGATGTTCATCATTTACCAGTGAACTATCACCAATGTTTGTATCAACAGCATTTGGATGTTCATCATTTACCAGTGAACTATCACCAATGTTTGCATCTACAGCATCTGAATGTTCATCATTTACCGGTGAACTATCACAAATGTTTGTATCTACACCATCTGAATGTTCATTATTTACAAGTGAACTATCACCGATGTTGGTATTTACAGTATCTGGATGTTCATCATTTACCAGTGAACTTCCACCAATGTTTGCATCTAAAGCATCTGGATGTTCATCATTTACAAGTGAACCATCACCAATGTTTGCATCTACAGCATCTGTATGTTCATCATTTACCAGTGAACTATCACCAATGTTTGTATCTACAGCATCTGTATGTTCATCATTTACCAGTGAACTATCACAAATGTTTGTATCTACAGCATCTGAATGTTCATCATTTACCAGTGAACTATCACCAATGTTTGCATCTAAAGCATTTGGATGTTCATCATTTACAAGTGAACTATCACCAATGTTTGTATCTACAGCATTTGAATGTTCATCATTTACCAGTGAACTATCACCAATGTTTGCATCTAAAGCATTTGGATGTTCATCATTTACAAGTGAACTATCACCAATGTTTGTATCTACAGCATCTGGATGTTCATCATTTACAAGTGAACCATCACCAATGTTTGCATCTACAGCATCTGGATGTTCATCATTTACCAGTGAACTATCACCAATGTTTGTATCTACAGCATCTGTATGTTCATCATTTACCAGTGAACTATCACCAATGTTTGTATCTACAGCATCTGGATGTTCATCATTTACCAGTGAACTATCACAAATGTTTGTATCTACAGCATCTGAATGTTCATCATTTACAAGTGAACTATCACCATTGTTTGTATCTACAGCATCTGAATGTTCATCATTTACCAGTGAACTATCACAAATGTTTGTATCTACAGCATCTGAATGTTCATCATTTACCAGTGAACTATCACCAATGTTTGCATCTAAAGCATTTGGATGTTCATCATTTACAAGTGAACTATCACCAATGTTTGTATCTACAGCATCTGAAAGATCATCATTTACAAGTGAACTATCACCAATGTTTGTATCTACAGCATCTGAATGTTCATCATTTACCAGTGAACTATCACAAATGTTTGTATCTACAGCATCTGAATGTTCATCATTTACCAGTGAACTATCACCAATGTTTGCATCTAAAGCATTTGGATGTTCATCATTTACAAGTGAACTATCACCAATGTTTGTATCTACAGCATTTGGATGTTCATCATTTACAAGTGAACTATCACCAATGTTTGTATCTACAGCATCTGAAAGATCATCATTTACAAGTGAACTATCACCAATGTTTGCATCTACAGCATCTGGATGTTCATCATTTACCAGTGAACTATCACAAATGTTTGTATCTACACCATCTGAATGTTCATCATTTACCACTGAACTATCACCAATGTTGGTATCCACAGCATCTGGATGTTTATCATTTACCAGTGAACCATCACCAATGTTGGTATCTACACCATCTGAATGTTCATCATTTACCACTGAACTATCACCAATGTTTGTATCTACAGTATCCGGGTGTTCATCATTTACCAGTGAACTTACACCAATATTTGTATCTCCAGCATCTGGATATTTATCATTTACCAGTGAACTATCACCAATGTTGGTTTTTTCAGACTCTCTATTGCTAACGGTAACACTAAAATTATTTTGTGACGGAGCAATTGACCTTTTCATTGACTTAGAATATGAGTGATACCTTGGGGTTTCTGATGATATACCATGATGTTCACCTCTCTGATACCTATTACTCTCCCTTGACATGCAATAATCTCCATCTAATGTACTATGCTTAAAATGTTTCATACTACCAGATACTGTTTGTCTTTCCTTGCGAGGCAGTCCCGAACATGATTGATTACGAGACTCATTCTGATGCAGATGAATTCTTCCTGGCTGCTGATAATACATTTGTTGGGATGTCCTTTGTTGTTTTACATGTTTCTCAAACATTGTTCGGTGATTTTTCTGCAGTTGAGGATTCTGCCATTGATTTTGATAAACATATTGTTGATTTTGGTGCATTTGAGGAACTCTGCATTGATTTTGTTGCATTTGGCACCACAAATAGTCATTTTGACGCATTAGATGAGAATGCATCTGCTGGACACTTTGTATATTACGATGCCTGTATTGACTGTTTGTACGATAAAATCTCTGTTGCTCACGAAATTCCATGTTTGATCAGTTTTTATAGAATGAATATTCACAGTCAATGGACAGTTCTGTATTTGGTGATAGAGTTGTTGATCCCTGAAATGACAAGATTGCATCTTTAGTTTGCTAAATGCACATAAATTAAGAAATAAAGACCAAGATTTTATGATTTATGGCGTAACATATGACCGAAAATTGTATTCTGTTCATTGTTAAAAGACCGAAATCGCGTAGCAATTGCGGTCTTTGGCAATGGCCAGAATAAAATTAGAGGTCATATATTTGACATAAATCATAAAATCGAGGTCTTTGTTATGATTCTAATATGATAAACAGACAAGAAACATAACTACTTGCATTTATGAATTTAATCGGTCATACATACTCCAATATAGACCTGTTTAACAATTGTTCTAGCTATTGTGACGTCACGTATCATATTAGAATTAAGCTTATAGCCCTAATTAATCATGAATTAATGTATTTCATCATGTCCAGGTTGTTTAATAAGTTTATTTTTATCTTATTTATAGACACTTATTTCTGACTAATTTTTCTTCTGTATTTTACTTACTGAGAAATGTTCTACTGATGTCATGTAAAAGTGTCAGAAGTCTATTACCACTGGAAAATGTTAGTAGCTTAGGCTCAAATTGGTTGGTCGTGACCTGGGGCCTGGGTATATAGTTATTAATAAAAAATCTTATTCTTATACATGTAAGTACTGTATTCTCTAGTAAAAGATATGAAGGACCCACGGTCCTGTGCTCACACAGTTTGGAACCTTCAGAGGAATGTATTATACTGACTTTCAAACAAAAATATTGATTTGGATTTGTAGTCTCTAACTTTGAGAAACTTAAATAGCACAGTTGTGTGACCTAGTTTGATGACCTTTGACCTTGAAAATTTTACTAATTCAGAGCTCAGTAAGGTCTTTTTTGATGAAGCTGACCAAAATTTACATCCAAAAATCAATTTGAAAAATCAACTTTTTTGACCTTTCGAAGGTCACTGAAGGTGAAGTAAGGGTCAAATCCTAAAACTAATGTCAGATTTGAACTCCTGGCAACTTGTAGATGATTTTCAAAAAAAAAATTGTCAAATTGAAGCAAGTTGAAAAATAACTTATTTTTACTGTTTTTTGACGTCAAATATCTCGTAAACAGTAAAAATTTGATGCTGACATACATCAATATGTAATATAATATACAGGGTGGGCCAAAAAAACCCACCCCCCCTAGCCATTATTCCTGATAAATATTTATTTTCTAACATGTACACCAAAAATGATATATCATTTTAAAGATAATTTAATTTGCAACAAAATGATATATAATAGCACCATTTTCAACAACCCCAGATGGATACATAGCCAATTATGTGACATGGGGGTCAAAAAACACCTTTTCAATTTTCATCGATTTTGCGAACAATAGCCTATTTCTACCAAATTCTACTGTTCATTTAAAAATTGAAACATTGTCATGGGTCTTTCATAATTGGATATTATATTTTGTTTTCATTCAGTTTTTGAACCATGTATGCTCAAAAAAACATGTGTATGCTTATAAAACAAATTAATTTCTTCTTCCGTCTGTTCAAATATGACTCAATAGACCCACCCCCAGACCCATCCTCTGATTGGATTATTCACTTAAGACGCGTAAGCCATTGGTTGATGGCATAATTGATGGATGTATGCGGAAGTACCATTCAACTGCTAGTTATTCTTTCTTTTAGTTCCTCTACATCCCTGATAGGATGGGTATCTTTAAATACCAACTGTTCTAGATGCCCCCAGGAATGGTAATCAACATTATTGGCATCTGGAGTGTCAGTAAGCCATTTGTCCGGGCGAGAGATGGTGTCATTTCGAATCTCCAAAAACTCATTGGACCTGTTTGATGAAGCTCTTTCCTATCAGATAATGAAATTTCTTTCAGATGTTTTTTATATCCTTGAGGAGTCCTTTTTAACACCTCATGTCATTAACATTCAGAGTATATTTTTGCTCCTGGTTCAACAAAAACAGGGCCTGTACAGTCTTTCCCTTTTGGACACCACTACCCTTTCAGAAAAATGTCATCTCGATTTGAGTAGCCTTTTATCGCAAATGTCCCTATTCTTGCTTACTGATATAGAGGGTCTATCCTGTTGATTACTTGTATAGTACCTTGGGCATTTAGAACAGTTGGTCTATGAAGATCACTAGCCTATCAGGGATGAAGACAAACTGAAAGAATAAATAATTAGGAGTTCGATGGTACCTTCGCAGAGATCCATCAATTATACCAATGGCTTTCGAGTCTTTAGCGAATAATCCGATCAGAGGATGGGTCGGGGGGTGGGTCTATTGAGCCATATTTGGACAGACTGAAGAAGAAATTAATTTGTTTTATCAGCATACACATGTTTATTGAGCAAGCATGGTTCAAAAACTGAATGAAAACAATATATAATATCAAATTATGAAAGACTCATGACAATGTTGCAATTTTTAACTGAACAGTAAAATTTGGTAGAAATAGCCTATTGTTCGCAAAATCGATGAAAATTGAAAAGGTGTTTTTTGACCCCCGTGTCACATAAATGGTTATATCTCGAGCCAGGGATGTTGAAAATTGTTCTATTATATATCATTTTGTTGCAAATTAAATTATCTTTCAAATGATATATCATTGTTGGTGTACATGTTAAGAAATGAATATTTATCAGGAATAATGGCTAGGGGGGTGGTTTTTTTTGGCCCACCCTGTATAATACTATAATAAATATACAGCAATATGTAGGGAATGCTTAAATCTAGTAATGATGTAATTCATTGCAAGAAATGATCAAGTATAAGGCAAACTTTGAGAAACTTGTCAATCACAAAACCTGCCATTGACTTTATACATGAGAAAGTTTCTTGAAAATGACAAGTCCTACTTTTTGTCAAATTTTATAGAGTAAAAACCAAACACTGTACTTCCAAGAGCTTTGAAATCTTCAGAGGACATAAGTTGCATATACAGCAACTACTGAAAGCTATTTGAAAGTTCTACTTCAACAAAGTGTCTAGTATTTATAGAAAATTTGACTTTTTGACGTCAAAATCCGCAATTTCTCGGAAACCGGGCGAACTTGGGAAATGGCGATGATAGGTCAAATAGGCATTATGGATATGCATAAAATGAATGTGGATATGACTCAATCTGAATAGCAGTTTAAATTTGTGCGGCCAATGTTGACGGACGGACGGACCAACGGGCGGACAGACAGACCAACGGACGGACAGACGCCTGGTCGATCCCATAGGCTCACTGTGTGAGCCAATAAATACACCACACATTACCAACTCAGTACACTAGGGGACTTTTTAAACATTTTTAATGTATTCTTGGGCCTCAGGTTGTGACTTTGGTTGGCATCAAAGACTTCTGAAACTTTTACAGTAAAGTACATGTACCCCCAAACCATTGACAATGTACAGTGACAAAATATACGGGTGTACACTTTAGCTGTATGTTGTCATATGTTGATATCGTAATGATCTGAAGCAAAAACTGTGATGGCGGTTTTTAAGAAAATCTGAGGAATGTGATGAAATATTCCATGTTTAATTTTATGTGCATGCTCTTGGAAAGACTTTTAACTTTCTAATTACATTAACAGATTCTCAATCAGTCCTTGAGTTTTTTAGGTAATTCAACCCACATAAAACAACAAAGAATATAAACCTCATAAAATATTACAATTCAAAAAAGAAAAGCCAAAACTCAGTTTGATAATTTTAGTTTTAAAGAACTGTACTTAACTTACACATTACCCTCTACTTAAACAACAAAACTCGAAGTCTGAAAAGTTCTGACAGTATATTAAATCATAAAACGTACCTTTTCCTGGTATATCCATGAAATATACAGCTGTAAACTTCTTGTCCTGTTATGGCTAGGGTACAACAATCAAGCTGTTATGGATAGAGCACAGCAATCAAGCTGTTATGGATAGAGCACAGTTATCAATCTGGTCCCTGGAAATAAAAACAGCATGTAGTAACCAGCGGCATAGCCAGGATGGAAAGTGACAAAAATATTTCCAAGGTCATATTTAAACATCAAGACCATCTGAAAAGTCAGAGGTCAATAATGGGTCAGGTAGAAGTTATGGCTGGTTAAGGTTATTTATTCTATATCTTTATATTTTTTGGTCAAATACTATACATGGAACTTCAGAAATCTAACAATATTACATTGGCATAAAAAGTATGGAGTTTGAAATGTTTTGGAAGCAATATTTTCACATGGCAAGGCCTGTCAACTGTCCTGTAATTTGCATATTTTCCACATATTTGCTGAAGAAATTGAAGTCACAGGGAAAAACAAGCTATGTGCTTGTGCAGGTCAAATGTTAAGTGTTGCATAGTTTTCATGGTGATAATCCATGATACCAACTGACACAAACAGAAGTGACAAATTGACCCTTGCAAAAAGTTTACTTGAAAATATATTGTTTTAGGTCATTTTATATATTTTTAGTAATATTGTATAAAATATTTTGCAATGTGTGAAAATAATTTAAGCCCAATACTCAATGCACTGTGGAATGACCATCCCTTTCAGGCTTTGTTTCCTAAAATTAACACTCATGCAAAGGAGGATGGAAATTATCGCAACAGATTTCGGACAGTCATATGTTGGATTTTGGCTATTTTCTGACGATTTAAACAGGTGCATATGCTAGATCAATATATTACCTTCAGGAAAAGTACTCTAGAGATGATAAAATAATTTCAACTTTGAGACAGGGAAGATCCAAACAACCCACCCGCATGTTTTTTCTGAAATGTTGTCCTGATTTTCAACCCCTTCATCTACCCCTGCTTTTTCAATTTTTGTAGCACCAATATGTTGCGTTTTGACACACAGTTAACCACTTTGAAGGAATAAGTAATTTCTTCAGGGGTTTTAAAGACATCCATTATGGGTGACCAAAATTAAGCTTAAAGTAATGGATCGCATGAGTTTCACCTATGGGAAAATAAAATGGAAAATATTGTTTTCCACTTTATCTAAAAACAAAACAGACAAAATCCAACATATGACTGTCTGAAATCTTTTGTGATACTTTCGTGCTCCTTTTGGAGAGCAACACCTTCAAGAAATGGTCATTCCACATTGCACTGAGTCCAGGGATTAAATCCTTAATAATCTTTCAATGATCTCTAACAATGCAGCATGTGTGCACTGCAATCAATCAATTAAAGCTCATCAGAATGAAATGAATACTCACATGCTTGTGTAGTGTCGACTCTGTACATATAAATGTAGCTCAGTTATACAAATCATTTGTTTTAGCCATCAATGGATTATACAGTACATCAATATCACTGTACTCATTCAATGATCCAGAAGTATTCAGTATCTAAAAAATAATAAGTTACTTTTAAAGAGCATCCCTATAATAATCATGTATAATTTGATGGTGAGGTTGTACATCTTCTATGAGTTAAAGAAACATTGCCAATTTTGAAATGGTACTTAACCTATCATTACATATGGGCTTGGTGAATCTGCCCCCCCCCCCCCCGGTAGGTATAATTTTTCAATCTTGAGCCTATTTTTAAGAAATTGGGCCCAAATATTTTGGGTGGAAATTTTTGCCCCCCCCCCCCTTCTTGATATTCAGATCCACCCCTGGGTACTGTAGTAATATCTCCATTAGCCAAAATTTGCCTTGCCTATTTCTTTCTATATGCCTCATCCTAAGCTACTGTCGGCCTCTTACACTCCAAGGGCTTTGAGAGTTTAATTGTTTCTAAACTCTTGTCTTTTACCTGATAGTCTACAGAAAAGGAATCAAATGTGATCAGTAACCACACTGAGTAGTAATCACCCATCCCCCTGCACTACATGTATATATTATAAAGTATTATAATTTAGAGAAAAGTTGATTTTCTATATTGAATTGCCCCATACTTAAAAAATACTGGAAATTCTGAAAAAATGGCCAATATTTTACATTTACTGTAAAAGCCCAAATTTTCGCGAACAAAAAAAAATTCACTATATTGTCAATCTGAAATATTTCGTGGTCATTAAATTCCACTGTCTGAAGAATTATCCAATTGAATTAAATGTTAAATCAAATTTTCACTGTGCCTTTAATTTCACGGTCTAGCCTCTTCAGCGAAAATAGTGCAAATTAGGGCACCCTGAAAATTTGGGCTTTTACAGTATTGGTCCATATAAGTTGGAATTTCTTATTCTAAAAATGCAGCAGAATGCTTTAAATGCAATCTCATTTTCAAATTTTCTTGGAGGAGAACCCCACCCCAAACCCCCCTCAAAGCTTGTCCGCTTCACTATTTCATGAAGTACAATCACAAAATAAATACTATGCATGTAGCTACACAACTATCATGTTTTTCTTTTATATGTACAGTGTAGTAATACACAGGTGTACACAGGGGGGGGTGCACCGTGCATTGGGTGCGAACGCAGAAAATGAAGTAAAATTGTGTTCTCTTGAAAGCCCATGGTTAGGAGCCGGGCAAATACATGTATTCCAAAGTCTGTCAAAAAACATAATTAAGGCCAAACAAAAATATATGTCCGTTTCCGGAACCCCGACCGACCCTAGTTTGAACCCCCGACCCTAAGACATTTTTTAGTACACTGAAAAATAAAATATTCTATCTCTGGCCTTACTCGATTGAAACAATACATTTCCTTCTGAAATGTTTTACTCACATCAGGCCCAGGTGTCCATATTGCTCATACCCTTGAACATTTGCAGTAATATTATCGTTAGGGGCCCCAAAACACTTGAAACACAGGAAATATTGTTTATTTTCTTGAAAAGTTCGCCATTTTTGCTCTTCAAAATAGAGGCCCGCAATCAACTCCCAGAGGGGTCTAGCAATTGCTAGGGAGACATCTATAACACTAAGTACTAACTTGGTTTCGGGTTTCACCCCCTTCAATAAAATTTGCAATTCCCATTTTACCATGCAGATTTGAAATAAGAAAAATAAAATCTTGGGGAGGGAAACCCGAAAACACAACAGCTATTTGCATAAATCAGCCTGACCTTTCACCTAGGAATGTTTATAGTGGGAAATTTGAATTTGAATGTTTAGACCACATGATTGGTCTATTATAGTTTGATCTGATCACATGACTTATCATCATCATTATCAAGTTTAGGAGGGGTGGAGGCTTTATACCCTTTAATGTTCTCCCATCTGATCTATTAAAATTAAAACTGAATTTAGGGAAGGGGACTGATTATTGCTCACTAGTGGCTATTTGTAAAGATCTGAGTACCATGCCTTGTCCAGGAGGGTTTTGAAGTGGGAAACTGACGTGGCATCAATGATACTCTGGGAGAGGGAATTCCAATGTACCAGATGAAAATGTTATGTTCTCACAGAGACAAGTTTTCTCTGAATTGTTTGAATTAGAAATATTCTTCTAAGGTCTTCTAAAGCTGATTCTGTTTATTTTTGAGTCAGAAAAATTATATTTTTGAGGCATATGTTAATATGATGACAACTTTGTAACCTCTGCTGATCCAGTGCTAAATATACTGATATTTGATTTCCATGAAGGCCTTTATCCAGAAGTTTCGAATGTTATGGTGGAATAAAATTGATAATAGATCAACAGATCAATAGACTTGTTTATTATTATATAGGCCTATTGTAAAGGAAAACTTTGTCTTATCGCGATAATAACAATTTCAAGCGATAATAACAACTACCTTACTTTGGTATTTAGTTACCTAGAAAAAATCTTACGTAACAATTTTCAATACCAGGTGAGAAAGTTAAGTTCGAACCCTGACCAAGTTGTTTATTTAGTTCAATATCTGAAGGTTTTAAGTAAGTACGGATCAAATGATTATAGATTGCATGATGAATTAAGGTCTCATGGCAGTTAAGAGCAAATGACAAAATGAAGAGATGACAAAAAACATAAGATAAAATATTTTTCTGACTGACCTACCCTAAAAAAAAATGAGTAAAATTTTAATGAAAAATAAAATAATCCTCCTACCTACCTACCCTAATCTGAAAATACATGGAGCAGGAAACAGACATATATTTTTGTTTGGCCTAATTACATTTTGGGGGAGGGGGTAAGATGCCAGACATTGATTTTTAGTTTCCCTGCGTTACATGTACGTTTTTTGTACTTTTGTTTGAAGGGGCTAGGGGGAGGGGATCCTGGGTAAGGCAGAGACTATTTATATGTCTCTGGGTGAGGGGTAAGACAGGCACCGGGGTAAGACCTACATGTACATGTAACTAAATTAATGGGCATTTAAATATTGACTCGGTCCCTAAGTATACTTGAACGCCGCAAAACAGACAAATGTGATTAGAAGAACAAACCCTAGCTATACAGTGACTGGGGGGGGGGGATTTAAATCTTCCTAAAAACATGTGATCAAGAAGGAAGAGACTCGGAACTGTACAGTGAGGCATAATCTAGATTTAACGCTTGAAATGTAAAGAATGTATAATAACGATTTATATATAAATACGTACCGCATTGTCTTAACGTCAAAGTGTACAGGTATTGTCGAGTTAAATGTGAAAGAAAGAGCAGAAAATGTTTACAAATCTTTTTGCAATTTAAAGGTTCACTGAACGAAACAAACAACACTGGACGAAAAATTCGATTGAAACCGGGGAATCCATTAACTTTAGACGTTTTCTCATTTGAAAAGTTTCAGTGTCACTTCAAATTAATCTTGACCCTGCATCAATAGCAATTTTTGAGAAAAATCCAGTAATAACTCCTGGGAGATAATTTATACATGCCATTTGGCGAACAAATTTGGTGATGTGGTTTGGTGATTGCTAACTCGTTCGGTATTTTAACGCATCAGCACTGTACAGGTGCGCGTGACGTCACTACTAGGTAACCAAATAAACAAGATGGCAGGTGAAGAAGCAGAAAAATCACAGGTGAGATATCGATTCAAATATGCTCACGGGCTTAACTAATGATATTTAAATCCAATGGTTGTTATTCAGTAAGTAGTCTTTGAAGTGTGTGTTAACTGTCAATTAAAACTGTTAAGTCAATGAAAAGTTATAGGCATATATGTACCTTTCTCATTGATGACAAATTCTTGACCCTTGTCTTACTGTACATGTACATGTAGCCCTTATAAATGATATTTGCTTACATCACAGGAAGTTGTATCAAGTCCTTTGTGGTCCTTTAGGGGGGTTTCTATGTGTGGTCCTCACATTCATATTATCACTGGCGTACATGTAGCATGGGCATTTTGTGACTGTACGCCACAGTGCAAGCAGAGCAAATTTGCTTTGAGGGAGGTTGGGGTTCTCCTCTCAATCATAGCATTCCGGGGTGGAAACAAAATTCTGACTTATACGAGCTAATAAAATGTAGATTATTTTAATTTTTGTCCATTTACTATACATATTCACAAGATGTGGTGCAATTCAATTTAAAAAATTAACTTTGCTCTCAATTTTGAGAGTACACCATGGCGTTTTATCCGTATATGATGCTACGGCAGTGTTAAGACTAGTCTTAGACTGCACTACTTTTTGACTGAAATCACGACTTACATTATACATACATGTATATGCACATATGTTTATGAAACATTCACATGTACCTGTAATGTGTCTTTTATATTATATGAACTGTTCCACTGAAAAGAATCTATAGGATTAGTAGCCTTCAAGATTATATATGTCATTTCCTTTCAAAGCCACCCTAGTGCACTTTAGTCTCCTAATCTTTCTTTTTTCAACAATAGGATCAATTTGTACTTAGTTTCCTTTATTTGCTTAGAAACTTATTGATCTTCACTTCAAATGATAATTATCTCAATTACTTATTAATTAATCCAGTCCATTTATGTTAATAATAAGCCTAAACAGATTTCAATCAAATGCATTTTATTTGCATTTAGAATAGTCCATACATTGTATTTACAGCAGCTGGCTACATAAACATGGTATTAAGCACCAAAAAGGTCAAATCAGAACATATAAATATATTTAAGGATGTAAGGAAATAAAATGGTGTATCTTAGGTCTATCATATATAATGAATGACAAAAAGACCAGTTAGTCCATGAAATATCATGGATTTTGATTTGAATTAAAAATCTCATTGTTGTTGTTTGTTGTATAGCCTGATGACCATATGGCAGAGAATGGGAAGACAGCTGAAAAGACTGGAGAAAAGAAAAAGTCTGAAATGAAGAGAGAGAAAACCTGTACCACTATTAAGTAAGTACTCCTTTTGACTCGGAGGTGAAAAAAAGAATATTCAAGAAAGACCCACATGTAGCTTGGCTGTCTCCTTATCTAAATGGAGGAAGAAGTAAGGAAAAAAATTATAAACTTACAATGCAACTTCAAGTGTATGAAAAAAGGCTTCAAGACCAAATACTTCATTCAATTGGTAGAATGGAAGTGCGAAATATTTTGGGCACTTCACTGCAATGTTTGTTATATTCATCATGGGGTTTGTTTACAATCGGGGGAAATGCCTATATGGTTGTATGCACATCATGGATTATATGTAATTCTCAGGTTAAAACAATAATTAGGCATCAAATAATTGTTGACAAAGTGTCAATTATATCACGTTGCTATATGCCTTGTTATGTTTGCTATATACAGTTATAAATATGCTCCCATGTACATCCATTCCATTAAAAGGCATTCACATATTTCCATAGGAGTCAAGCACCATATAGTTCATTACCATTTTTGAAAACTTAAAATTACGATCCTTTATTGATTAATATGCTGTCTTTCAATTTCAGTGCAGGATTTCGACGGACACCCGAAGAACAGGATCTAGCATATGAACTCAAAGCACAGATGATGAGAAATCTCGATATACAAAATGCAAAATTGAAAACTGAATTAACCCTACATCAAAGACTAGAGGAATCTAAATTACTGTACAAAAGGAATAGGAAACTGCAAGATGAGTCCAATATGTCAAGGGTTAATGCAATTAAACTCATGAAGATGTATGAGAGGAAGGCCAACATAGGTAAGAGTAACATACAATTTTGTAATGGCACAATCTACTCTTGTTCTCTCATTACATTCATTTTTTTAATTATTCATTTTGATATTAGTTTATCAATTTATATATTGTCACTGATTGTCACGAATTGTCACTACTGATTTTGGGGTATAAAACATAAACTCATACATTCTTCCATTTACTAAAAATTACAAAATCATTCATTAAATTCAACTTAAAAAGATACAACCAGATATTAAAATTCACTAAATGATTAGCCTAAGTAAAATAAAATTCTTAACAATCAAAGCAAATGGCCGACCTATAGAAAGTAAAATGTAAATGAAATTGAATGTCATAAAATAAAAGAACAAAGTACAGTTCAACCTGTATATTCGAACACCTGACTTATTTGAACACCTTCCATCAGAACACTTTTTCTGATCCTGTTTTTCCCTCCCATTGACTCTGATGTTAAGAAAACCTTGAACTCTGAATACCTACTACTGAGAGCAGTGAACACTTGTATTTGAAATATTATTATGCATAATCAAATCAACACCAAAATATCACATTCATGTATTTCCTATGAAATTGGTCAAATAGAGTAAAACTTGTCTTAGTGAACACCTCTCTCTAGTGAACACCTGGGTTAAGTGAACACCACTTCAAGACACATTCTACATTGACTATAAAATCCCCTCTCTGTAATGAACATCTACCTTCATTTATCTATTCAGGAATTATTTTTTACCATTCAACTGGCCATTTGGGCTTGGCATAAAATAAAGGGAGAATCATATCCATCGGATGTGTCAAAATTGCAAGCAACATGTACAGTTGACCAACAAATATATCCCTTACAATCTAAAATATAATATCTCCCAAAAGACCAATGATATGTTATAAATTGGTGAAGTTGTTAAGGATTCAAAGTGCCAAAATGGGGGAAAATTTTTATTCTCTCAAATAAAGATTTGGTAACCATAAAAATAGAAAAAATAATACACTATGGATGTATTGTTGTAAAAACCTTTAGTTTTCCTCACTTGGTATAAACATGTAGGTGAGACAAATTTGGGTTAAAGATTATTATATTATTTATTATCAGACTTAATTTTCACAATTTTAATTGAATAAAAAACACTAGAATTTAATATTATTCTCTTAACTTTGAGATGCCTTCCTCATGTTCATGTATGCCTGGCTACAAATGTGCAGTTATTTGCACTGGTTATGTCACATCCTGTTTCAGGAGCCATGACAAACATTTGGAGAACTTAAAGTAGAATCAGCAAGAGTTCTTGTAAACAACTTGAATTGAATGTTTGAGCTTAGAATTAAAAGTGTAATACTAAAAGGGCTTCATTGTGATACCCACTGAACAGTTTATAGTTCATAATGGATTATCAGATTACTGAATTAAACTACACTATCAATATAATCCTATTTTAGTACTTTGTTATTTAAATATACTGGGCAAAGAGTATTTCAGTATAGTACTTATTGCAATGATATGATTAATAAATCCATTTTGTATAAAGTGACCTATGGATCAAGTCTTTCAGTTATATGATAATTTGATGAGAAATATGAATGGAGAAATGATACCAAAAGAATCAAATAAATGCATTTATATCTTTTAAGGGATTCAAATATTACAATTGTTTGTATTATTTTATACTTATTATCATGCATGTAGTACATGTTAATATGAATTTAGCTGTTTTGGCATTCCAGAACATGTGTTCATAAATTCAATTAATATCAATACTTATGGTATTTATTTTCAGCATATAACAAACTAGATGATCTTGAGAAAGAGATGGTCCGTACTCAAGAACTGGCCACCAGGGTGAGCCATGAGCTAGAGGCAAGCCAGGCTGGGCAAGAACAGAGATCCTCACCACGAAACGAGAAGTCAGAAGGAAAGAAAACACCACCCTCTACCTCTCCACATCATAAACACACTACTCCAATAAGACCCGAAGATGTCAAAAGAAAAAATGAGGTATGTAAAATATTCAACTCTTTCAGATGAAGGGCCAATAACACGATCAATGTTGTTAGAATTATTTTTAAATTCAAAGTTCACCATGAGGAAACTGAACTATCCAATATTTTATTCCCCATCTTGCTTCAATAAATAACATGTGTTGTAAAACATGCAAAATGTTTGAAAAAATAAACTCTCTACATTGATCATTTTTCTATATTTTTTCATTTCTTTGACATCCTTTCATTTAGTAGTCAGTGTAAGTCATATATAGTAGTTTTCTTAAAAATCACTAAATTAAAGAATGCTGTATTTTTAGATTTTACTAGCTGATAATGATAAACTACGAATTGAAATTCAAAGATTAAAGAGAGATAATGCTGAACTAATCAAGAAAGCCAAACATGCACAATCTGATAGAGACCAAGCCTTGGTGAGTTGTTTGTTTCTTTGTTTGTTTTTTTGTTTACTTGATTGTTCTTAGTGTTTTTTGGGAGACTATTGAAGGAGAAAATATTTCAGATTTTGATTTTGAAATACAATTGCATCAGTATTAATAATTCATGACTGAGAAAGGCAGTTTAAGGAAAAATGAATATTATTTTGAATTTAATTTATGATTAGGCCTATTATAATTATCCCAGGCCTCCTTTCCATAACACATAGATACCTCATAAATTTAGAATTTAAAATTATAATCACTATGTTAACCCCCTCATATCTGAAGTGCACAATACAAATTACATTATTAACTTATTTGGGTCTATTATTTCTACAGCATGCTCTGGGCACAAGTGAAGCAGCAAGATCAGATCTGATGAAGCGACTAGACAAAGAGCGCAAGAGCAAGAAGAAGCTTGACACGTGTATCACAAGGCAGGCCTCAGAGTGGATACAAAACAGGAAAACGGTGCTTCAACTTGAGGAAGAGGACAGATTTGACTCTGTAAGTATTCACTCTATGCTTTATGTATATATACATTTTGCCAGCTATACAATAGCACACACAATCAAACCCCATAATACACACAGTAGTAATACATACAGCCCCAAAATTTATACATACCCAAAATTTAATTCTGGAAGACAAATGGTCATATCCAACACAATCACCCTATATTGCACATTTATGTATTTCTAGGTCAATGCAGTACCTCCATTAGGGGCAGATAAGAGGACCTATGTGCACCCCACCCAGAAAAATGTCTACCAGCCTCGTAAAATGGTCCCAGTACAAGACTACAGCTCAGCCAACCAAGGCAACACTGATCACTGAGACAGTATCAATACTAGGGTGGTCCAAAATATGGCGAAAAACCAACTTTCTTTCGGATCATCTTCCTCATTTGACTTACTGTTGTCCATGACCTAAAACACCTGCACACCAAATTTTGAGACCCAAATCCCATGGGAAATTTACCCACGCTTCGACTGAAAAATTCGGTTATTTCATGATTTTTTGCTATTTTCGATAAATTGCTATCTCCTTTTTCCTGGTATAAAATGTTTCTATTTTTCATAATAAACATTTTTGTAGGACTCTTTATTACTTAATAATACTAGGAGCACAAACACCAAATTTTGAGACCCAAATCCAATGTGAAATTTATCCATGCTTTGATTGAAAAATTGTGATTTTCACAGTTTTGTCCGATTTTCAATAGATTACTGTCTCCATTTTCCTGGTATAATATGTTTCTATTTTTTCATAATAAATATTTTTGGATGACTCTTTATTACTTCATAATACTAGGAACCCATACACCAAATTTTGAGACCCAAATCCCATGGGAAATTTACCCATGGTTTGACTGAAAAATTGTGATTTTCACATTTTTCCCGATTTTCAATAAATTGCTGTCGCCATTTTCCTGGAAGATATGTTTTTATAATAAACATTTTTGAGGACTCTTTATTACTTCATAATACTAAAAACCCATACACCAAATATCCACCAAATTTTGAGACCCAAATCCACTGAGAACGTTACCCATGCTTTGACTGAAAACTGGTGCTTATGATAGCTTATGATGTCTGTTTTAGGGGCATAATATGTTAAGAAACATTATGGTAATTCCTTCTTAATCCAAAGAAACACCTAAATATCAAGACTTTAAGTCTTATTGAAAGGCGACAAATTCAGTAGTTTGGGGAAAATTTAGGATCTTTTACTTGTACATTTATATACTGTGTTTAATATTAAGAAGTGATGACTCGACAGCAACTCAAATGCCTTGAAGATTTGGTTTGTTGGTTTCAGTAGGGATACATCACAGGACTTTGTTTGGATTTGTGTGAGATGTCATATTCTTTCTCACATCTTTGCAGGGTAAGGTCAAATATCAAATCTGATTTTCTTTGGAGAAATGATTTTTTGATTGATCAATGTATCAATGGCATGGTCTCTGTTGTAACCAGTAAGCCTGTACCAAATCTTCAAGGGATTCGAGCTTCCACTGAGCTTTGTCATTTCTCTGAAAATGTTCATGCCCTGAAAGTACACAATGTAGAAGATGGGAAGAGCAATGAGAAACACTTAAGGTAATTCTGTATGTTCAGAAATTTTAAGTGGAGTCCAATGTTATTTCTGGAACTCATTCCATACTTGGTCAGCTCTTCTATAATGTACTATGTGCTATGTTTATACACTGTTTGTGCATCTGAATGGAATGAGTTATGTGTTCCTGAAAAAACACGGGGCTCCAATTAGGAAGCCATTGAAACTGAAAATAAGGAATTACCTTAAAGTACTATATAACCATCTTTCACGATGTAACGTATGTAAGGCCAAACAGGATAATTAAGACAACGTGTAATACAATTTATTACAAATTGCACATCACACAACAATGATATGGTGCTCTAAACGACAAAAATCAAAAGTATATGATCAAAGCAAACGTGAATTTCCCATGGGGTTCAGGTCTAAACATTTGGTACATATTAAATGTATGGGTTCCTAGTATTAAGAACGTATTAATGTCCTCCTAAAATGTTTAAAAACTAAATATACGATTAATGTTGATCTATTGAAAATAGGAGAAAATTCGCAGAAAATCACAAATTTTGGGTTGAAGCATGAATTAATTTCTCATGGGGCCAGGGTCATGAAAATCATGAAATAACCGAATTTTTCAGTCGAAGCGTGGGTAAATTTCCCATGGGATTTGGGTCTCAACATTTGGTGTATGGGTTTCTAGTATTATGAAGTAATAAAGAGTCTTACAAAAATGTTTATTATGAAAAAATAGAAACATATTATACCAGGAAAAGGGAGATGACAATTTATCGAAAATAGCAAAAAATCATGAAATAACCGAATTTTCAGTCGAAGCGTGGGTAAATTTCCCATGTGATTTGGGTCTTAAAATTTGGTGTGCAGGTGTTTTAGGTCATGGACAACAGTAAGTGAAATGAGGAAGATGATCTGAAACAAAGTTGGTTTTTCGCCATATTTTGGACCACCCTAATCAATACGTACAATATGTACTAGGGTGAACATTTATGATGGAATAAACAGAACAAATATTGTAAGATGGTGGGATATCAGTGAATCTCTAATGGAATCTCAGAGAGAGGATTGACAATACATGAACATGTTGATAAATGGGAAGATTTTGGACCATAATGTGCCTTGTTAGTCTAGCTCCAAGTCCTGTGTGAGAAGGTGTTTAGTCAAGTAGAGGAGGGTCAAAGAGGCGTATAGCTAGACTAGTGCCTTGTCTGAGGAAGATAAAAACTTCAACCCTGACTATGCAGTAACTCTAAGAATGTGTTTTTTCGATCTGAGGACACTTACAGTATTTGTATTTGCTCGTAGATCTATTTAATATATGTAAGATATCATGAGAGTTTGTAAAGATAAAGCCTTCTTTTTCACATTTTGAATGTGATTTATTTCACATGAGATTATTTTTAAAGTAGATATTAGTAACTTATTGAGATTGAATCTATAAAATCTTGTTTTAAGGAATCTCAATCCAAAACAACATTTTCATTTTATGGTATTTACTTATACAATGAAATGTGCGCATTGTTACCACTTGATAATCATAATAGTTGGATGAAAGTACCTGTATTTTCAAATTGTACATATTTAAATTATTTATGAAAATTCAGGAAGATTCCTTGATTATGGTTGAGAAATTTATTCTAAAATTAGAGGGCTACATTTTTGTGTCACCCTGTATTTGCCATAAATAGTAATAACTACAGTCAGTGTAAATATGTGAATCAGCATTGTTTTTTGTGTTGGCACACATGTACATTTAACTATATATCGATCACATATTGTGTTTACAAAAGCATAATAAAAATATGTACATAAAAATATTTTGCAATTTTTGTTTCCTTTAGAAAGTAAATACAACCGTGATACGGTTTGGTTTGAGTGTGCGCTTGGTGACCTTACTATCTTCTCCAAGGGTGACCTTTCTCATTCTCAAACAAGAGTATTGCGAGAGAGAATGGTAGGGGGAAACATACACGTGACTTGATATGCAATGCTGGTTTCATTGCATTGCCTAAAATCACCTGATTTCCATTGTGGGATCCACAGTCTCTACTGACTCACAAGATTGATAGATGAAGAGAGAAAGATACATGTACATCAGAATGCCTGGTTTCCATTATGGGATAGGAGAACGTCCAGCATTTTCCCGCCAAACATTATCATTTCAATGACTAATTATGTTTGACCAAAGAATGAAAATCACAACATATAAAATGAAGCAATAACATTATATTTGATCTGTATGAATAGGCTTATGGTTGTATATTACCATTTCCAAGAAAAAATGAAGAGTTTAAGGATTTAAGCTCTGGACTCAGTGCATCGTGGACTGAATATTCCTCTTACGTGGTCCTTACTTTAGGGTTATCAATCAAGAGACTCAATTATTTCAAATATAATATTAATATTATTGAAACCTATTTTCGTAGAATATCATAATTGTGATTATGAACCATATAAGTGACACTAACAATAAGGACCATTGAAGATTGACGTGGGATGATAACAATGTTATTGCTCATCATTTCATCATTAATTCATCATTTCTAGTGACGTCATTCATTTGACAATTGCTTTCTATTTCCTAGCACTCATTGCTTACATCATATGTTGATCGTTCCATTTAATAGATCCGTGTGGTTTTAAATAATTTGAAAACGAACAGACACAATTTAAAGTCTTATCTATAGAAAGGGATATTCTACATTTAGACCAAGACTACAACTCAACGTAACAAGATGGAGGTGGTTAAGTTTCCTAAAGCACACAGTCACACAATTTTCATTCTTGTAGTACTTTTACAAACGATTTTCATTTACGCAGATTTGTGTTTGTTTTATGTGTTTTACTTTTTTAATTTTCTAATTATCAAGATCGTGAACATAAAAAATGCATACTTTATTTGCTAAAGTTACATATTACACATGTTCCTCTAATCCTCTATTTGTCGCCGCCATCTTGTTTCAAAGACTCGTGCTCATGTATTCATAAACGCATATATATCCGAATAATATAGCAAATATAAGAGAATATTATCGTTAAAGTCAGTAATAAGATAAGTGGATATTTAAGTCATAGTCCCATTTCCAATTCGGCAATTACTACGAAATTGCCAATTAATTTGAAGGGATTTCGACAGCATTTACGACGAACTTTTGCATGTATTTTCGAGTTTATTTGAGTTTGTATTTCACACCGTGCTGACTTGATTGTAATTTTGTCTCGGAGAGCAGATGTTTTGGGTTTTTGGGTTGGTGCTTTGCACACAGGTTGGTATATATTTTACTATTTATCATAAATTAACTTTTAAAATAGCTCAACGCAATGCTTGATCTTAAATATACCAGAATTAAAATCTTAAGAGAACTTAACCATCTAGTTATGTGATTATTTTTCACAACTGTAATATCTACTGGAAAGAAGTTTTGTAGTGATGGTATACGTTTAAGTCAGATTTTTTTCAATTCTTTGGGGTGTCTTTTGGGGTGAGGTATAGGCCGCCATAGGCATGACTAACTGTAAAGGCTATGTGTAAAATGTATCCCACTTTGGCCTAAATATTGCAGTCTTACCGAAATGTGAAAAAAGATATGATTTTTGAACTTCTTGTTGTTCTAAAATTTCGAATTTATTTAGAGTAGAATTTTTGGTATCACGGACACCATATTAATAAGAAATAAATTCCTCATACACGTGAGCATACAGTATACATATTCTGTGTTATTTTTATCGTAGGGACTGTCGGTTTCAGAAGCTACAAGGGGGGGCACATTTTAAATCAGAAAATAAATTTTGAAATAATTCGGGCCCCTAATTGTGAAAATTGGGCCCAAATTTTTAAAGTTTAAGGCACATTTCATTTACAATTTGGCCCAAAAAGGCCAAAAAGAACCTCTAATTGAGTTTGAGGTTTTTGGGCCCAAACTATTTTCGCGGTCCACCCAAGGGGTGGGGGCGGGCCCGATAGATCCGCCAGTGCTAGGGTATATTTAGACTATTTTGATAACAGTTGTTTACATACGCGCAATGTTTTAACACTTTATGTACATCGAGCCTTTGACCCACCATGCAAATACCAGCTCTAGTGATATCGAGAACATAAAAGAGATAAAATTTTCACAAGTTCATTCAATATAAACAAATCAGGAACTATAACAAATAGCAAATATTAATTTTGATGATATACAAGTATTTATTTGTACTGATGTAAACAATGGATATGTCATATTTGTTTCGAAAGTTTTCCCATATATCACTGTTCCACAACTATAGTTACTTTAATGGAACGGTACGTCAATGTAACAAAATGGATAAAGTTCCTGGTTACGAGTTTTTTTGTTTTCTCGATTTAAGCTACTCACAAGTCAAGTTGCAGATTAGAATTTGGCACAAAACTAGAAAATATAGTCTAGTTTTAACTTTTCGATTTGGAATTTGGTTTGTAAATGAAGTTGCAATATATATATTGAGCCCCCTGCTCTTTTTTAACATTGACGAAAGTCCGTTATATTACTAATGTATACTACTTTGACGACGTACGTCAATGTAACAAAAGCGATGGTCTAAATGCATGCAGCTTTATTTAAAAATCAAATTCCAAACCGTGACCATTTCTAAGAACTAGACTATATTGGCTAACTTTGTGCCAAATGATAATCCGCAACATGACTAAATACGTAAGTTTAAATCGAGAAAACAAAAAAACTCGTATCCAGGAAGTTCATCCATTTTGTTACATTGACGTACCGTTCCATCAAAGTAACTATAGTTGTGGAACAGTGATATTATATGGGAAAACTTTCAAAACAAATATGACATATCCATTGTTTACATCAGTACAAATAAATACTTGTATATCATCAAAATTAATATTTGCTATTTGTTATAGTTCCTGATTTGTTTATATTGAACTAGTTGTTGAACGTAAAGAAGTATGATTTTTAGGTTTTATAATAAGAAACATGTACTTCTGCTAAGTGCAGGTAAACGACGTACATCTATTAAACAAAATTGGACTCCGCATAATTATATTATGCGTCCAACCAAGTAAAATTCAAATAAAACCGTTGTAATTAATGCACATTAATCAACGGTTTTATTTGTGATACAAAATTGATACGAAACTTTTGATTTTGCTACAAAAGCAACGAAATTCTAATTGAGTTAAACGATCAAATAGGACAACAAAGCAATTCATTCATAATAGTAGGTTTTCTCTAAGTACTACATAATTTCGCAAATAATATAAAATGCTAATCACACTCCATAATATTATTTTAACATTTGACATATTTTTTCAACGTTTATTTTCAAGACACAATTGTAGACATTTGAAAAGTAATTCTAACTTTTTTTCAAAAAAGCATCCCCTTGTCTAATTAATTTGACATATCTGCACCATACATCTTCAACTTTTGAATTGAATATTAGATACCTCTATCTTTTTTTAGGAAAATGAAATTAAGACTGTATTTAATTAGGTAGTATCTTATATTGTTCTCATTTGGTAGTTACTGTGGAGCAAAGCCAGTGTAGAATCGAACGCTGGGAATGTTGGAATGACAATCGATCAGGAAATTGCAGGAGCAGTCGAGATAGGTATGTTGTAAAAATTGAGTAGGGATACTATATATCAAGGAGGATTGGCTCCTAGGGACGCAACTCGATATTCGACCTTGACTTCGATCGAAATCAACATTGAAAATGTCCCCAATGTCGTTAGTTTCTAAACTGACTATAAATTGATAATCAGCGATCCAAAAGATGTGCACTAAATCTTGAACACTGATTTTGTAATTTCTTGTTTGGAAAAAAGACCCAAACTCGCTATTCAAATTCTGAAGTGAAAAAATAGCTGGGGTGTTGATATCGACTTTTGCAATCACGACATCATTCAAGATCGGATTTATTATTCGGAAAAATCAAGATGGCATTCTGGGAGCCAGTCATCCTCATGCTTGGCTATATATCGAGCACCTTTGTAATGTCAAGCTTGGTGAATTGAAATAAACAGGAATTCACTGTAATAAAGATAGGTGTTTGGACAAATTGTGGCCTTGTGACTTTCTTGATGATTTTTAAACGATTTTAATTGATTTTTGAATTTTCAATAGCGGTCCAAAATCATCCAGAAATGTCGTTGATATGACTACCAATTGGTGTATCTTGCTTTCAGGAGATGCGTTGAACGCGAGACAAGACGATGGACAAACAGTCCTCGTGGAACTGGACATGAAATTCAAACGCGAACAATGGCGGCAATTAAAAGCTCTGTAAGCTGGAAATCAAGTCTGTTTTCGTTCATCATTTTTATTAATACTCTCGCCCGGTTAACCTGGGGTCATTAACATAACTTCGTAAACAAACACAACGTTCACTGGTTTAAAATGAGATTTTTTTGTTCATTTTGGCCATTTCGTAGTCCAAATTAGTTCCTATGTTATAATTTACAGAAACAATTCTGGTATATCCAAGAGGAATGCAATACGTAATGTACGCCAAAGATGGACCGGGAAAACTGTTCCATATGAAATCTCCAGTTATATGAGTGAGTTCACGACATTTATTTTAAGTTTTATTTTGTTCATACGATCATCTCAGGGGTCCTACACTTCCCTTAAAGTTTTTAATATCGCATATACACTCCCCTCCATAAGTTTGGCAACCTTAGCTCCCCCACTGAACTAAGCCTACGTGTTAAAGCCTCTTTACGTTTGAATTTTTATTTACTTAACCGGCTATATAATATAATGTTGATATAATAATATTGATGGAAACTTGACTTAATTCCCAATACCTCCAAATTTTCTCAATTTTTTCCTCAATTACAATAGGTCGAAAATTGATGATAAATTTGATGAATTTTTGAAAATCGTCATTCCCATGTAATCCAATCGGAAATGGAGGGTTCGGGGCAAATCAGATATCAGGTTATCTTTTCAGTAAAAGATTCAGCAAAAAAATATTTTTATATAGAAAATTGAATTGTCTAACTTTTTTGTACACTAAGTGCTTGGTTTATTTGATGAATACTTAAGTTACAGCGCTTCAAAGTCATTTTTGAAAATAATTTTTCGCCTCCTGTGTTATTTCAATGGGAGAGTTTTTTTTACTTTAAAGCCCTATAACTTTGTTGAACCTGAAGAAACATATCAATTTTTTGTAAAATAAAGTTAGCAAATTCAATGCCTGCCTAACTCGTATTTTTTGCAAGGACTCGGATGGATGGATATTCTGTCATATGACTCGCGGCAAACCTACCATTTCCCATTGGTTAACCTGGGAATGTCGATTTTTAAAAATCTATCAAATTTACAATTTTCGACTTATTGTAATTGAGGAAAAAAAATTGAGAAAATTTGGAGGTATTGGAAATAAAGTCAAATTACGTTTCCATCAATAGTGTAAGTATTTTCATCGTAGGTTAAGTAAATAAAAATTCAAAGGTAAAGGGGCTTTAACACGTAGTTCAATTGGTAAGGTTGCCAAACTTATGGAGGGGATGGATATTCATATTCGTTTTTTTATTAAATATTAGGCCTAATAATGAATAACTAAATATTAGGTTTTTATATAGAGACAACTGCGTATTTCATACCACATTTTTCAAAAATATAAATTATCATCACATTGAAGGTTCAAGGGACCGAGTCCAGATAAATGCCGCCATTGCTGACTGGAATAGGTACACCTGTGTCAAGCTTAGACCCGCCACCTCTCGCGACAGAAACAAGATAGCCATACAAAATGGAGGCGGGTATGTACACCATCCTCCCAAAGGTTTTTCAAACTGAAGTCCTCCATTCTGAATATCAGAGTCACTCTTAATCTAATGCTTTCAAGAGAGTTTAACCAAGTGATATTAAAGGCTGTGGATGTTTTCCTTTTGATCACTAATTTCCAAGCTTAGGACTATTCACGTTTTCAAATAAAACGTATTCATCAAAGTCAGAAATTGCCCAGACGAATTATAACTGAGGAACAAAATCAAGATTCAAATATTAAAACGTAAACATAGAAACGCAGAACGAGAACTTTTGGTTGGAAAACTTTTAGAGGAATCGTTATCCCATTTATCTGAAATTTGATGCGAACTGGTTTATATAATTGATGTAATAATTTCATCACAGACGCACCAGATTTTTTTCAAACGAAGTTCCAAAATGATACGATTGAGTATTGAACAGTGTTTTTATTTTAAACTACATGTAGGTGTTCTTCATATGTTGGGATGACAGGTGGACGCCAGGCTGTATCTTTAGCCCCGAACTGTAGACATGTAAGTTGAATCGCATGGTAGGCACTGACCGCCAGTGAAACAGTTGCTGGAATTACACCATTTTAGAAGTGCGCCTAAAGGGTTTTAACCCGGCGATTGAGGTTTTATAAAGGCGCTTAGAACAGTAGTCAACGCCTAAATCGTTAGGCGCTTTTGTAAAACGACCCTTTATTGTAGATGTACACATCTGCTAGATATTCTCCATATCTACATCGTTAAAGCCGGGCGTCAAAAGTGCACGAAATGCGTTTTAGAAATGACCAGTGTAATTCCAAATAAAATTTCCTTGCGATATAAATGCGATATAGAAATGTTGGTGTAATCAGGATGGGGATTTTGTAAAGCGCTTTTCACTTTAAAGTGCTTTTAACGTTTTTTTCTGGACGTGTAATTCCAGCAATTGATATGACAGAAGGAAAAGTCCCAGTGTCGATTGTCCTACTTATATTGTCATTAAAATAGATCGCGTAAGATCACATTATTCTAAAAAACTGATATCTCAATAGACCAAATTGAAGAAACGTTCACTAAAATATGTCTACACTTCATTATGCATGCAAAAAAGTCGAAAATAAGCGTCTAAATGTTTCTAGTTGCTTAAAATCTCTGGAAAATGTTAAAAAACGCTATGGTAAAATGGTGGACAGGTACATCAGGGATAGGCATTTCAAAATTTGAACATATTTTCCAGAAACACATTGTCATCCACGAGCTGGGCCATGCACTTGGATTCCACCACGAGCAGACGAGGCCGGATAGGGATCAGTATGTCACCATTGCACGACAAAACATACCGTCCCACCTCTATTATAACTTTCAGAAATATACGACACGCGTTATCAATACATATGGCGTACCTTATGACTATTATAGTATCATGCATTACGGAGCTTATGTGAGTAGAATGTCATCAATTAATATGATTTAAGCACGGCACTTATCGTTGACTGTGATTCACATAAAAATAAAGACTTTTATTCCATAATAACATGTTTTCCCCGGGAAAATAACAGGGAATAAAATTGATATTCAAAAAATCCCGTATCAGCCAAAATTCCGTATCAGATCCCGTTTTGGATCCCGTATCAGCCAAAATCCCGTATCAGATCCCGTATCCGAACTATCAAAAAATTTCAGGAGACTAATATTGTGTTATTATGGTATATTATGATCCATAAATCCATAAAAGTTGAAAATGTCATTCGATAAAATAGATTGTATCATTTAATGCCACCATCATCATTGGGTGACGACATACAAAACAAGTTTCAGAAAAATTTAATGGAATAAGTAGGTTATTGATGGTCTTGATGGTCGGGAAATATCATATTTACACTCGGGCTGTCGCCCTCGGTCAAAATGATATTTTCCTTGGTCAATATCATATTTTCCCTCGAAATAAAATTCATATTCCATCCCTCCCATTAAATTACCTCTATTTATTCCATAATAACATGTTTTCCCTGGGAAATAAACAGGGAATAGAATTAATGTTCAAAAAATCCCGTATCAGATCCCGTATCAGCCAAAATCCCGTATCAGATCTCGTGTTGGTTCCCGTATCTGCCAAAATCCCGTATTAGATCCCGTAACAGAAATTATCACCATTGTCGTAAGGTTTAGCATGGTATATCCTTAATAAAAGTTGAGAAATGTGATATAATAAATCAAATTGTATCATGTTGTCACCATCATTGGGTGATGCTTGGTTTAGTGACAAATTGAACTTAAAAAATTAGAAAAATTATTATGGAATAAATAGGTTATTGATGGTCGTGATGTAATATGAATTTTCCCTCAAGAAAATATGATATTAGCCTTGGCCAATATCATATTTTCCTTCGGAATAAAATTCATATTTCATCCCTCCCATTGAATAACCTCTATATATTTCAAAAACATGATGTCACAAAAATCGTTTGCCCTAATCCTAAGTACTAGTAATATACAAATCATTGCTAATATGCTATAGCAAGGATTCATCTTTTACCAGTGTTTACCTACCTTTAAAGCCATTTGGTAAAGATTCTGCCCAAACAAAAATCTACAGTAAATAATTATTATGTCAGATAAAATAATTTTTCATGCACATTTTAGGCATTCTCTAGTAATGGCCGCCCTTCAATCATTACAAAAGACAGATCCAAGCAGAACGTCATTGGAAAAAGCAACAAGCTCAGTTTTACAGATGTCAAACTTATGAACCTTATGTACACGTGTAATTGTAAGTATTGGAAGAGGATTTCATCAAAGTTTTGACATTTTAAATACATATGACAATTGCATTATGTCCGAAGAAATACTCCAAGCTGATTGGATTGGAACGGTTTAAAAACGACCAATCAGAGTCCGTCATAGTAAAGTCTTTGACTCTGTATATGATACTTTTTTATGTTTTGATATAAGTAGGATTAGGGAAAGGACCATTTAACAATAAAAATATCTTGTAGCAAATTGTGCTGAGAAAAAGAAGTGTCCTGGAAGTGGCTTCCAAGGTAAAGACTGCAAATGCTACTGTCCTGGCAACCCAGTGAAAGAATGCTCCGGAGGGGGAGGCGGAGGAGGAGGCGGTGGCGGGGGAGGTGGAGGAGGTGGAGGCGGCGGTGGCGGTAAGTACAACTGTCATATCTGAGAATAGAGAATGTCAAGTCTGTCGACTTCATTTCATCATATTGTGCATTGAATAGATAAGGATAAGCAATGATGATTATTCTGTGCGTAAAACGTTATTTCTCTGTCGAATAATATTCTATATTTTTCAAATCGCTAGCATGTTATATTTCTAAATAGTTATCGTGCGTAATATACACCGGTACCTCCATTTAATACTTTCATTTTAGGTGGCGGCGGCGGCGGCGGCGGTGGCGGTGGTGGAGGTAAGACAGAGACATAGCTTTATAAAGGTTTATAAAAAACGAAAATCTCGTGCGTGCACCTCATATCATATTTTTAAAACAGTTACGACTTTAACTATGCATATAGTTATAAACAATAGGTTAATAGCCGATTTGAAATCACAAGCTTATAAATACGTACAATGTCAATTGTTTTTTAGGAAGTTCATGCACAGACAGTCATCAATCATGTTCGTATTGGGCCAGAATTGGTGAATGTCGAAAAAACCCTCGCTACATGTTGACCAGCTGTAAAAAATCTTGTCGACAATGTTCAGGAGGTGGCGGAGGTGGCGGTGGTGGCGGCGGCGGCGGAGGTTAGTAATTGTTTGAACTAGTACAAAGAGTCTTTACCTTGTACGCAAAGTATACGTACATATAAACTAAAATGAAGACGAAGCTCTATTTTAAGAAACGAAGTCGAACAAATCCAAAGGGTAAAAGTCTTTGGATAAAATAACAAAAACATCTCTCACTAGAATTTAATTTTTTAGTGTGTAATTTAAATACTTTTAAAGGGTTTATTTCTAAATGTCGATGGTATCTTCTGCTTTTTAAACTCCGTGACCTAAAACTTGTTTTAAATTGATGTCAATGATATTTTACATATGGTATTACATATATATAATACATATATATAATACCCAGCGAAGCAGCCGCCAAACCTTTTACCATGACAATCTTATGACGTCATCGGGACGTCATGTTTCATTTCTTCCTAATTTCACTCGCACACAGACACGTGGCGTCATTGATATAACGTAGCCATGATATAAAAGTCTGTCGTAATATAACCCTCGCAAGCTCGGGCTATATTGGTGACAGACCTTTGGCATATATTCAATGATAGGGACATAACTGCTAAATATGTCATACATTCATTTATTGTTATATTTAGGTGGCGGCGGAGGAGGCGGTGGTTCAGGTGAGATTTTGAATTCATTTAGTTGAATCAACTATACAAATCCATTCCCGTGTAAAATACTGGAGACGGTCTAAATTAGAATATCCCGAAGGTTTAAATGCATTATAGCAGGTGAAATGACCCAGTTCGGATTTGAAGCCGATGTATTTCTGTTTCAGCGACTTGCAGAGACTACAATGCTTACTGTCGTTCATGGGCCTCGAGGAGATATTGCAATAACAGTAGATATTCCTCCTACATGAATATGTATTGCAAACGTTCCTGTAATCGCTGTGGAGCTCAAAGTCCCGTTCAAGGTCAAGGTACAGTATGAGTTATGGGGGAGGCGTAGTTATACAACTTCGTAATCGATTGCAAATCTCATGGATTTCAATACAATATATACCATAAGGGATAAATGCGTCCATATTGAAACGCAACGCAAATATCAAGTATTTTTCAAATCCATTCTAAAGTCCATGACAATGTCCTGTGTGTATTTGCAGACCGCAGAGACTTGAGTCAAAAATGGGCAGTTACAATACGCCCTCAATTAGTTGGTCGCCCAGTTGGTCGTCCTCGGACTTCTAATAAAAAGTGGGGAATGTGATAGACAATTCAAATGATTAATAATAACAGAATGCTACAATCGACATTGTTAACTTTAAAGACCCTGGTAATCCGAAGTTTGGGCATCATAGGATTTAACAATGTGCCATTAGGGGATCTTTTCTCATAGAAAAGACTGACTTTCCAAATAGCGAAAATCTTTGGATACAAACCTTGTGGAATATCAAATATAAAGCAAGGAATTGTAGTTCTCAATGCTTATTTTATTTTTAAATAAAACATCAATGAAAGAAAACATTAATTATGCTTTGCTGAGCTACCAATCCCTGAGTTGACTTCTTAATTTGAGGCACACATATATCACGACAAGACAATTTTAATTCAAAGTATTAGAATCTCGGATACCCTTTTCCTTTGTCTTATATAAAATCTCTATTAAGTATGAATTTACTATAATGATTTGTGTGTAATTGGTGTATCAGAAACATTAATTATTGATTCTAAACTCATTATAGGTGGCTGTGTTGACTTCAATCGAAACTGTCCGTATTGGGCCAGCACAAACCAATGTCGATTGAACGCAGTATACATGAACCAACAATGCAGAAAATCCTGTGGTTTGTGCAGGGCTTAAAATTGGAGAACCCATCATATTGAAACAGTGGAGGAAAAAAGAAGACATTTCAGAAACACTATCCCCTCAACCTTTCTTGCGATCCTCTACTGATTCTGCCCCATTGCTCTATTCTTGACGATTTTCCACTCAGGTTGTATCATCATCACACATGTTGCCTATTCTTAAACCAGCTCATTTCATTCACACGCAAATGAATCACACATTATGATTCGACTTGAGTCGACTTTGTATACATCGATACGATAATCTGAGAATAAAATTTTGACTAAACTTTGAAATTAAAAATGAGTAATTTTCTTGCGATTTTCATTCATCATCAAAAGGTGTTACTTTTTGGATTCAGAGTTGTTCACCATGTCCCATCTGTTATGCCATCTACATGTATGCAATACGCTTCACATGGCATCATTAAGAGCCTATGTCGTCATTTATCAGCCAAATCACTTGCACGCATTTGCCTGTATGTCTGGGAAAACATAGAACCCATATGTCTTAGCTGGCATATTGATAAGTGTTCCTCTTGGTATGTTCAAAGCCTTTATAATGGGCAGAGTTTCATCGTTTAGCATTTGAACGTGGTGCCCATTAACAGCCACGTTTCTGGAAATAAAGTATTACTGTATGTACTTGTGGGGGAGACAACCCAAAATTGTTATTGAACATAGCAAGAAAAAGAAAATAAGACAAAGGAAACATCTTAATAAAAGTACACCAGTTCATCCTTAGTCAAATTACTATTTCGATTCTCTCCATAGCGGCTAAAGCAGTGGCATCCGATCGTGAATGATGACATCAGTCATTAGGAAAAAATCCCAATTACTAGTGTAGTATTCCAGACCATGATATCACGTGAAAGGAAACAATGTCGTATACCTCCTCCTAAGTCTCTCAGACTGGAGTTCCTCATTTCCCACCATTTACCACATTTTTTTAATCTACAGTACTTAGAGTAAATCAAGAAATATGTTTAAAAGGACTACTACAACAACAATGGCTTACTTGGAAAGTAATCCACCCGATCCGTAAGAGGTGATGAGATACTGATCTACACTGGACGAACCAACATAGCCCGCTGCCTTCCACGTGGCAGCACCATTGTTGAGATTAAGAGCAATTACAACAACCGACCCTGTATTGTATCCGCTCCTGTATCAATAGTTTAAGATTAGTACAGCAACGAATTGGGTCATTGGTAAATGCTCAGTCTGAGACAGAAAATACATTTCATTTCATGGTTTCATTAATTGCACCGTGGTATAAAAATTGAAACGATGAATATTATACATGTAGATTACTATCCAGCATCAAATGAAAAAACTACGGATGTAAGGATGAAACCTTTTGTTGGTGCAATGAGCGTAGACACGGAAATGTTTGCCATCGGATTCATTTCCGCTTGTTGAAGCTGATATATTGGTCACCCCTAATACACGTCCTCCTACTAGAGTTTTGTACAGATATGAGGTCCAATAATCCTTGAAATATATAGAACATCATGAAACAATAAAACTCATATAAAGCCCCGTTTACACTGGATAAAGGATCACTGGATCAAGACCGTTGAAGTCCGACGTAAAACATTCTGTTGCGACCTGCAAAAGACCGGCGGTCTTTTCTCCCATTGGAGACACACAGGGGGTCAAAAAAGACAGGTCATTGTACACGGGGCTTTAGACTGATAATTCAATCAAATATGATTAACTTTTGATTTACGTTACTGCTTGAAGCTGTTAAAATTGCAATACAATACGAAACACCAGGATTCACCACTTCAAAGGTATGGGAGAGGGTAACGTACAGGATTCGGATTGAGGTCTGGATCTAAGAGGGCATAGTTGGAGACTATGAGTGACCAACGTATCGCCACTTTATAGTTGTGTCTGGCCAATATTCCTAGCTTATCCAACCACCTGAATCATGGCATAACATTATTCAAATCAATCTCTGCTAACCTAATAATAATTCAAATATGACAACAGCAGTAATTGAACAATGCATTAACATGACAAAATGTCACACAATATAAGTTCAATCTTAGCAAGATTTGAACTTCTGAAAACTTGTAGATGATTTTGATAATGATTTTTGAAGCAAGTTGAAAAAAGACCTTTTGACCTTTTTACCTTGAGAAGGCCAGTGAAGTTCAAGTCTCAAATCTAAAATTATGCAGTTATTTGCTAAGTTATTGGAAATATTTAGAATTTGTTACAGACGCCGCGGACGCCAACCACCACCCATGAAACATGGGACGTGAATTGTAGATAATCCAGTCGAACATTAAAAAAGGATTTTGACTGTTCTCTTGTAAAGAAAGTAAAAGTTATAACATGGCTCCACCAAGCAATATCGATCGACTTACATAAATCCAGCCACGTATCTATCAGATATACCAGGGGCTCCTCCCCCATACGCAGAGCTGGTCTCACCAAGCCATACTGTAGTGTTTGGAGCATATCTACTGACAATATCTTCTACAACATCTATTTCACGCTGAAGGTTGTCTAAGAGCTCGGGATCTGTGAAATCTGCTAGCTTAGCTGTCTTTCCATTTGTATAGTAACTGAAGAATCACATCAGCTTTTTAGATATATTTTGGGGTTTCATTTTGAAAGATTTGCTCGGAAAAGGAAATGGATTATTTTTAAAACCAATTTAACAGAAGGGTTTGCATACGCATTAGTCAAACAAATAAGAAATTACTTTTGGTTTTACATAACAATTCTAACTTGCCAATCAATGGATATGTTTTAATAATGGTATAACGTTCACGAGCAGCGATATAACACTTACTGGTGCCATGTAACAGCATCAATGCGTGTGTTGTCCGAGTGTAAGGTTTTGAGGAAGCTGAAAATATTTACTTTTGAACATCGAAATGTATGATTCTAGGACTTTTAAGAAAATATGAGATTCAGTTGTCATTTTTACCATGATCACACTGTATGAATATTTTAAAAATCGTGATCGTAATGCATATAATTCAAACGATGTGCCATCAACCATGATGTTCTTTATTTTAAGCAAATATATACCTACTCGTCCGAACCTACCTAGCCATGTAGCTACTACTAAGGAAACTTGGGTTTGTTGTGTCTGGTCCAACAACAAGGCTCGAGGGAAATGACTTGGATCTCGTGTGACTTAGTGTTTCAAAGTCATGAGCTAGATGCTCTGCTGATATATCCATGTTTAGTGAAACACGATATAAGTCTGGCTCTGAAATAAAGAGAGGTTATTTAATGGGAGGGATAGAATATAAATTATTCCGAGGGAAAATATGGTTTTGGCCAAGGAAAATATCATATCGACCGAGGGCGATAGCTCGAGTGTCAATATGATATTTTTCGGGGGTTTATATGATCCGAGGATTGTATGGGAAATTTTGGAAAAGATTTGGATTTTACCCGGGATGATTATGATATCAATTTCATCTCCGACATCATCCCTCTAATCCCGATATTATCCCTGATATGGTCCCTGCCCCAAATATGTGATTTATCACTTTCAATTATATACATCTACCTGGTATTGCTCTGACAATGGTATAAGATGGAAATAGAATGTAAAAGGGGGATAACACCTCACCACAAGTCAAAGAATTGGCAGAAAATTTATCTTGGAAAGTATTTTGCAATAACTGACGGATAGAGGAGCTTACCATTGCCCAACTGCCAATCTATGTTGGGATATTTATTTTTTGCGTAAGTGAAGATTTCTTGAGAATTTGTTGGATCCCAAGCTGGACCTTTCCTGAGGAAGACATTTAGATCAAATAATAATCTTAATCCTGATTGTGCGGCAAAGTTGTTGATGTCATCAAAACGCTTTTCTGAAAGTAGATTAGTACATCAATATCAAGGCTTATATGGAACACTCTTTAATATCAACAAATGATCATGAAACATGCACTATTGCTTAACCCAAAAATATTTTTTGAAAGTGGATACATGTACATCCAAGAACTTCTTTCTGCTTTAAATGGTATCTTAGGATTTATCGAAAGGGAATACACAATTATTGTTTGTCATAATTCTACATTTCATACCGCTTAATGTATAATTGGATCTCGGTAAAGTAGGCAATGTGACATCTTTACTTAGTGACTCGTTGAACAAGAGGAAGTCACAACTTGTTCCTCCAATACGTAAATATGCTGGGGCCAATCCCTTTGCTAGCTGAAGTAGCTTGGTGGACCTGAAACGACAAATAATTAAAGCAGATCTGAAGTATCACATGCACATTAAAAACCAAATTCCCGCTGAGAAAATACAAATGCTCCCACAACAAACTTGGCCACGTCTCATTTAATTCCCTATATGTAGAGAAAATAATTTAAATGATATGTTTACTTCAAAATTTCTTAAAAATTGGAAGTGTCGCAAATATGCAGTAATTTTGTAATGATGGTCCTCTAGTACCGTTCTATATCGTGTCAGTGCCCGATAAATAGGGAGTTTAAGCTTGCAACGTTTTTACAACATTAACGTGAACGGAATATTTGGGCGATGTGCAAGCTTGAACTCCCAAATATGTACAAAGACGCCAAGAGGGAAGACTCAATAGTGCCACAATGCAGAGCAAAAAGAAAAAACATAGAGTACAATCAGTCACATGGAGAACAACCCAATATATCTCCAGGAGTGGCTAATAATCCAAAGGAGTAATAGACATTATAGTGCATATCGTTCCTAGTCATTTTTATGAGTTTACGTTGCATAGGTGTATAGCTATTGTAGCATAACATTTACCGAAAATCAAATCTGGTAGGGTCAGCCACATATTGTGACTCCAGACCAATACTGAGAAGTCGATCTCCTACATCATACATGTAATGTTCATCATCTATATATATCAACTCTGTGGAGACAGCAATTATACACATCGTCAGCCATTGTAACAACCGTATCGTCCTTGACATTTTGTTGATCATTAGGTTGGGTATCTTTATCGTATTGTTATACCTGACCTCCTGTCATACTACACATATATTGAACTGAAGTGACGTTTTTGACTTACATCTTGTGATAATATTTGTTAGCTCCACTGGCGGATCCAGAAGCTAACAATGGGAGGGGGGCAAATTTTAAATCAGGAAAAAATCAGGCCCCTATAACCAAAAATTGCCAAATCATGCCCAAAAAGACCCATTTTGAGGCCCTACAAATTGATGGGCCCAGATATTTTTGGGGCCCTAAACTTTTTTCTGGGCCAACAAAAAAGGGGGATGGGCCCCCTGGATCCGCCAGTGAGTTCATTTAACATATTTAAATGAATTCACATCTTCTCAAACATTATTCACATTGATGAACCAAAGTACATTTCGGCTTAATATTGATCTCTAGAAATGGTAAGAACCAGAACCATTAGTGATGAAGTCATTGCTAGTTAGTGCAATACTAACGATAAATATGAGATGGTGAAATAGTTTAAACTAAAAACGGCAACTCCGCGTAGTAGCAAATCCCAACGAACACTACAACATATATGAATCTGTATTTGTCACAAAAATACAAACATTAGACATACATCAGAATTTCTACAAATTTAAGCATTTTGAGTGACATGCATTTTGAGTTTCGAAGACACAAATCAGGAAAACAATACAATAATTGTGATCTACACCTTTGAGAATAATAAAGTCATACTTTGAAGAGATCAGAAAATTATTGTAAAATCACACACAAGGCAGTCATTTTGAATATTACGAGGCCCAAATCAGAAAAACGATACAATATTTGCAATCTATTCTAAATTGCCTTGCAAATTCCTGTTTTCCCGACTATTCAACAATATACATATTTCCACCAAATATGAAAAAAATCTGTCAACTAATATTCGAGTTATCTTCCGGACGGAGGGACGGACGGACGGGCGGATGTCTTTGGGCTGCTGCTTGTATTGTAAGCTTGAGAATTTCTTTATTCTTTTAACTCTTTGTTCTTCTTATTCGGTATTTATTTTATTCTTAGTCATGTGGTATACCTCACCAATGTGCAATATCAAACCACTGTGTCCCATGTTTGGCCAATTTAAGCGACACTTGCTTCCCTTGGAACACAGCCTCCAGGCTCAGAAGAGTTAACTAAAGGAGAATAGTTTGGTATGCTACATTAATAGCGACATGGCAATCGGACGGACTGGCTGACGGAGGGCTCCAATTCACTATATCCCGACCGAACTTCGCTCGTTGGGAGAATAAAATGCTACCAATACAGATGAATTTTGTTGATATCTCGGTTTTAGATTTATCCTTGAATTATTAAGCGCCATTTTAACTATTACAGGGGGAAACTAGTACCCAATGCCAAAGCAGTGTGAAGAAAAATGTTTATTGATAAAATACTTTGAATCTTTGTATCCTCTCGGCATGTGTCATTAAAGAAACTACTCTTAAAACCCAGGTTTGCAATTTATCAAAACAATTTATTATTCATAATCATTGTTGCTCAAATACATTCAAAGCTAACAAGTATACATGAACATCAACTATATTGTGAGGGTTACAAAGCATAATGACGGTATATATTACTTGAGTTCATGGTGTGGCTGAAAGCTTGTTGAAAATAGAAATAAACATATTGTTCATGTATTTAATGTTTCTTTCTTGAATTATTGCGAAATTATAAAAAATATATTTTAATGTGTATAAAGTAATATATTTGATAAAACATTAGGCCTATAGGGATAGTAAGTTGGATTTTCGCAAAACGTTGTTCACTTGAGCCTTTTACGAATCACAAAGTTTGTATACCATCTAGATAGCAGGTGCTTCCAATTTCCAGCAACATTACAATTCATATAGCAGAAGGTATTATTGTGTCTATTGTTAGTTTTCATTATCTTTTACAAATTACAGTACTTTATGGACTTAATTTTCGTAGCTAAATGATAAAATACGTGACGAATAAAGCCCGGCTGAATTAATGGCAGTCACAGTCAAATAATGACCAAGGGAGTTATCAATGGCATAAAGTGTGAAGGATGTCTCTTTTGTTTCAACCCATTTCATGATGTCACTTCCGCCAGGATTTGTACCAATAGTAAGCTCATAATAGATGTCGCTGTCAGATGTAAATACATCTGCCCATGTCAAGACGGCTGTCGTTCTATCCATCCAAGTAGCTGTCATTTTTACGTCTAAAATGAAATAAGAAAGAAATCAGCTCATATAAGTCCAATGCACTCAAATTAAATGCAAAAATAACTTGCTTTGCGCAATAATACCTGTAATATTAGGTGGTAATGTTTCTGTGGTAAAAAATACTTGAACGCCATCACTGGTTCTTCCAATCATATCGACGGCCTGGATCGTTGCCTATAGGTATAACACACGTATATATTATCATGTGTATATATTGACTAATGCTTTCAATCGTAACTAAGCTAATGCAGATCATTCAAACGTTTTTTTAAATCTATTGCGCTCATAAAAAATGTTAGTTATCACAATTAAATCTATTCCAAATATTGGAACTTTACCATACATGATAGTATTAGTATATCTGAGAGAGAAATTTTTGATTTCCAATTTTGTAGCTAAGATTGAAAGACCCAGGGCATTGTTTTACTGTTGCCTTTGTAATTGAATTATTGCGTACGAGATACGATTTTGCCATTAACATAAGCTTCATCAAATAAAGCATATGATAGCAAAAAGAACAACAATCTCAGGCATTCTAAATTACGAATTGTGATGTACCTTGTATTGTTGGTTCTGTTTGAAGGTCATGGGTTTTATTGTAGCTTGCTGTCGTCCATCATCTCCAAGTTCAAATAAGGAATTCATTCCATTTTCACTAGGTGACTCAATATTGAGCTTGAATATATATCAAAAAGAAGATACAAATATTATACTTGAAATGACTTGATTTTAGTAACTTGAGTAACGCTGTCCAATTACTAAACATCATTTTAGGGAATTTATTATATCGTACTAAGCTATTACTTTTAATTATGGCATGTTACACTACACAAAGTTACCGTGAAATGATGAATAGAATCATGATGCACCCGGAATCCATCCCATTTGATTCGTATCATATCGATTTCATTTTGTATTCCATCTTTGCAGGTAAAGTGTGAGTTTTTATTGGTCAATGTTTCAATTAGTGCATTTGTGATATCAGGAAGCTCATAAATGAGTGTGACTCCAGATGACGAGACTTCGCTCCAAAGGCCGCGAGTGTTGAAACAACGCACGGTTGCATAGATCGTCGACCCATGTGTGATAAAAACTTGTTTGGTAGATGTAAATACCATTGGATTTCCAACAAATGCAACGTTTGTAAAATCAAGAACGTCGTCTGAACCAGGCTTATGGCCTAAATTTTAAAAACAATTAATTATGAAAGTTATAATCATCAATGTTTAAAACACATGTATGTAAAAATCCTTCTTATAATATAATATAAAATGAATGAACATCAACCAATAAGATATTCTCAGAACTTCTATCTTTAAGTTTTGTGGAGTAATAAATACATGGGACGAGCTCAGAAAAATCCAGTTATTGAAAATAATTTGGATCACGTGAGAATGTCAAGTGTTACTATCAAACGGTTAAATGTAAAATACAGGCCTGGTGACAATATTAGATAATTACCAAATGCAACTTTGCAACGGCTTGTTCCTGTTTCAGCATCTTCAACTTCCCACTTGGCAGTTAAGTTGTGTGCTTTCTGATATAGAATATCTAAAACATTAAATTAATAACAGCATAAAAATGAGAGTATAAATTACTTGTTAAACTACGGGGTTAGACTACAAACACGGTGTTACACAGGTATTACATATACAAGTTACATGGAATAACATTTTGAAAATGACATCACCTTGATCCTGACTGTGCCATACGTGTTTGATGACAGGGGGTGTGTGGTCAATTACAATGGGATCAGCATATATGACGCTAGTCAAACCTGCGTTATTGCGCACCAACAGAGTCACGTGAACCACCATGCCATGAACGAGATGGAGATTTGTGTTGATCCCATATGATTTCAGCCCAACGCTGATATATGATTGCAGCTGGGTTCCGCCTTGTACGAGACCTGTAAAATATACGGCGCTTTAAACCATAGACATCTTGATTTTTCAGTCAACCACCGGGATAAGGGTGATTTGGGATGAATTATATTTTCCGGCTTGAGATCACAACTCATCAATTAACAAAGCTCAAAACTATTTTGTTGTATAGCAAGAGGCCTAAAAATGTCTTATTTGAAATTGATGTCACTGACTTAACTAAAAGCTAGAAAATATGAAGATAACTTATAATAATCTAACACAGAATGTGATTTAAGATGATGTACGTATTATATCAAAAACAGAGCGTCCTTTAATTGCTTTTCGAAAAAATAATTTTAGTGAGATTTATTCATTCTGCAAAACTCGAGTATAGATACGCTTGGCATAACTAATTTTGGTATTATTGTTTAAAATGATAATCATTGCAAAGACATTAAACATTATCACCAACCTATAGCCCACGATACATCATCGATATGACTTTCATAATCTAACACCTGCCAATGAGCATGTATTGATGACCATTCCCCAGCTTGCTGATGGGTAACTTCTATCTCCCCACCTGTCGATACGTGATTCATCAGTTCAACTCTAACGGCATCGACTAATAATCCAGCATTTCGCTCCACTGTTTCTATTCCTATCGTGGATGTATTATTTTTCGCAACAAATGTATACAGATGTTTATGCCAAGCTATTTGGGAGAATTCTTTCGATTTCAAATTTTGATGACCGTTGTTATTTTTAGTGACGTCTTGACGTGGGAAGATGTGGAATGTTTCCTCTGCGCCAGGAATGATAACTTTTCCAGTTTGCATCATATGTTTTATGGGAGGGTTTGGTGGGTGACTCACGGAGAACTGAACTGCGTATACACTTCCTATACCTGTCGCTATATTTTGAAAGATACCACCCAACAAAAGACACGCATTGTTGCCATCTCTTGCCTCGCCGTCTTTGCTGTTCACGACAGCAACCTTAGTACCAGGCGTTATTGTCCAATGAAGGGGAGCTGACTTGGTTGAGTTGAACCACAGTGGATGTTCATTGATATCAAACTTCGATTCGTCTTCCTCAAAGGACGGATTTTGAAGTAAGTTTGCGCCGGCCGTTGCTACATGCATTATGTCGGGTGGGGTTGTATCAACAGTTACCCCATCAGATGATACTAGCGTTGAACGATGTCCTCCAGCATCTACTGCCTGCACTTTTGTGTAATATTTACCTAATGAGACAAAAGTTATAATCTATTTATTAACACATTTCCAAATCGTTAATGATTTACAAAATAAAAATGCAATATTGATGTGCTATCCAATGGAAAATTTCAATCGATAAAATTATGAAAGGGATTGTACAAATGGAAAGGTACTGCTTGAGAACGTTAGGTAAAATGGCAGTACCAGGCTGCAAAGGACTGGTTGTGATCGATACAGTGGTCTGTAGTCCAACATTATGAGATGGAACCACATCACATGTTGGAGTGTCTGGTTCAGTCCCTATACAACAAGTATAGTGGTCTATCCCACTGTGACGGTCATAGAAGCCATGCCATTGTGCGTGAAGTACAGTCGTCTCGTTGGTGTAGTCAACATCATGTAGAACTGGAATAAGTGCCCTGTCCTCATTATAAAAATACTTTTTCTATTTTGAATGGAACACATCGTTATTATTGTATTGTGTTCAATTGATTTTTACATTCCATGGTTTTTCATATCCAAAATATATAAATCAATAATTTTTTCAATTAAATCACAATTGGATTAAAGGAGTATTATCTTTGTTCGGATAGGCACTGGTTATAACTTAAATTATATTTGCACCCCATTAAACCCAAATGTCTGGGAAATTGTCAATTAAAAAGTTTTGTGAGAGACACGTTGTAATTTTGTTCCTGTTTTAAGCTTTTAATTTCATCAATTAATCCCGATAGGCATGCATATCAATTTTAAGAATGGTTTTGAATGTATAGTTACAACAAGAATGCATATCCATATGGTTCAATATTAGTAACTCAAGCTACGTACATCTACCATCAAGTACAATTCCAGGAATTGGAGACTCTATATCTACAGTGAATCCATCTGAGACCTTGGATGTTTCTAATCCAGTGTTTGACACTGCAATAACCGTGGTGTAGTACTTCTGACCAGGTGTCAAAGACAACTCGGTCAGTCGTGCACTAGTTTTAGTCTGCCTCAAAAACTTTAAGGTATCGTCATCTAAAATGATAACCATTAATTGTGAACCAAACAAAAAGGAAAAATGTACAGCTATGGCCATTATTTAAGTATTAAAAATCCAATATCGTTCTACATTGGAAATTTAAATACATGACTGTATGCACTTCTCCATTCCTATAATGGACTGGGGAGCACATAACGATAAATTAATGCACTAAAATGCTCTAAACTGATTGCTGGCACATACATAGTATGTTTGAATCTGATTATAAACAACTCATTTTTACTGAAGATAAATAAATAAAAATCAACGAGAGCTCGTGAATTCTCTAATACAGAGGATTAAATCGTCAAATAGATTGAATTGTTAAACTAATATCACCAGGTTAAGGGGAGAAAGATAGTATACCTTACCTTGTAAAGCAGTTCCGATTCCCAACAGGTAATGAGAAATGCCAGATTCCTCATCAGAAAACACACCAGTCCAACTGACACCAATGCTATCAACATTGCTCGTGAAGTCTTTGTCAAACCTAACGATCGCATCATCACTTTCCTCCACCTTGAACCAACCGAAACGATAATAAAAAACAATAATAGAGCCGAACAGACATTAAAATGTTAAAATAAGGAATGCTCATACGTGATTTACATAAAATAAGGAATGTGTCTTGTACGTTATTTATATGAAAATTACGTACGTGTCTTATACGTGACACCATAGGTGGTGTAATATCAATTGTTATACCATCAGACTGGAACACAGCGTATGTGGAGTCATTATACCACGCTCGTACATAGAATATGTACTTTTGTCCTTGATATAGTCGACCTGAAACCATGCATAAATAAAAAAAAAACTTCGATCTTGCATTAGTTAAACGTGAATTTAATTCTTCAGTATTCAACATTTGACATTTACTATTAATTCATCGTCCATAACAAATGTAAATAAGAAATGCAACTTTTATATTATTTTAGATCGATTACTGCATTAACTTCACGCCATCAACAATGCATATAAAACATTTGCATACTTAAGGTGGGAGTTATAACTGCATGGTTGTAAAATCCAGCTTCAAACCAAATCCGGTCACGAGCTACATCGAATACACCACTTCCAACGTCATACCCATCTAGCCCTGCTGTATATTCGTATCTAAATACAAGAGCAGATATCATATTCAAGGTAAGAGGGAGGAAGGAAATTGATGAAGTACATCATTTAAACATGAACCTCTTTTTGTTTTTATATTCTACATTCGTAGATAACAGACCATGGTTTAGTAGTATTTACCACTAATTTTTACATAATTAAATCAAAACATAGGCAAGAGTACCGAACTGGCGTCTTTCCATTTCTTTCAGACAATGACCACCCTGCAGCCAAAAAGCAATCGGAATGGGTGAAGTCAATATCTTCGAGTATATGATCGGACTTCTCGAAGTAACCAATGGCCTGTGTATCATTTACCACAATGGCAGCGTAATCGCCTAATATAGATAATCAGAACATGTTTTAAGTAGCATTCTAATTCAATCAGCCAACTCTACGGTATACATAACGCATTTGGCGACACATGCACGAATAAATCAAAATATACCAAAATGACGAATTCGGGGTAATACGTTTAAAACATAGTATTTGAAATATTTTTTTCTAAGGTCATTACACTTTTTACCTGCAATCTTGTTTTTAGCCATGACATGGTAAAATGAGAGAAACGACTATTGTGAAAATACAATTTTCGAAACTACTTCCTTTATTAAATGAAGCAACAAAATATTTTGCAGTTAGTACCCTGTTTTGCTTCTGTGCATGTCTTGTTGATATTGTAGTCACATCTTTGATTCTGGGGAGCACATATACAATGTCCCTCACAACTATGTGTAATGCAGCGGCGGGTCAGGACAAGCACACCCTTACCAGGTGAGTTTACAATAACGTCAAATGAATTATGAGCGACTAAACTTGGCAACCCAACCTAAAATGATATTCATATATCAAGCAAGTTTTATCCACTAATGATGAAACGCAGTGGAATTTTCGAAACTAGGCAATGAGGAATGAATGGTGGCTTGCCGTATCAAAATACAATGAATAACAATTAATTGAATTGCCGAAAAAGTATATCTACCCCATTAACCGCCCATATCTTGACAAAGATCTTCTTGGAATCAACCAGCGTTCTGTCCAGAGTGATATCAGCAGATTGTATCACACCTTCCTTATGTCTATGTCCAGTTGTATTGTGGGTTATCATAATAGGACCATCCTGAAATAAAATAAATCATAATTTTAAGTTATTGTTACATTCCATGTTCCAACATGCCTTGTGAATAACACTTGGAAATAATGGCATACGAAGTATTTCATTATGTGAAGGGCATCTTTCAACAAAGAAAGACAACAACATCCATAATCGCAAAATCACAAAATAGCATTCATGAAATTACGGCAGTTTCGTTACTTGCGCCCTTTTCATTCAGTTTGGATTTTCAACTTTTGGGTATTTGATCTTTATCTTAACAACTGTTCCATTTGTTCAATGTACACCTTCACAATATCTTACACAATCTGTCAATTACCTTCCATCTGAAGCTAGCAACTGATGTCCCATTATTATGCTGGATAAGCCCACAGAGCAAACTATTTATCATAACCTTACGTTTAACACATTTGATCAATGATGAATGGATGCATATGTCTGTATCAATGTAAGTAGTACATGTAAACCTGTGATATCCCATTTTTAGATGCCTTGTTCCGTTCAAAATCTCCCTTTTGCATTTGGGCATACATCAAATATTTGCGATGTAGACGAGTTTATAATGCGATCATGATTTATAACTTAACTTAATTATCTACCACTCCATGAGTGATTTTACGTGATTTTAAGTTTGGTCTAACATAAGCAAACGTTAAAGCTACTCTTATTTTTGTAGCTCAATGACAAATTTAAAAACGAAATCTTGGAAGCTTTCGAGTTGGTGAGAACATTTACATATACACACCGGTGTATACTCATGTCCAGCAAACGTCTCCCCAACTGTAACTAAATAATGTGATATTCCAGAGTGGTGGTCCTCAAACCCTAGCCAATGTAGCGAAATATCAGCTCCATTCCAAGTCATGAATCCATCTTCATATCTTCCAACATTTGCAGCATGGTTTGTCCAACTAGCAAAGGTCCCGACACTCGGTCTCGATGAGTCAACCTTAACAAATCATTGGTCACTTTAACATCTAGTCAATTTTAAATTTGTACATTTCTCCATTGTTTGAATTCTTTTTACATTTTCAAACTTTAACTTTAAAATATGAAAAACACTTACCAGTAATTGCTGCGATGTGCTACTAGAGCACATTTGCGCTTTGTTGCAAGCGATGACAGTAGTGTAATATTGCGTACCATCTCGAAGTGTCAAATTACTAAATATATACCCAACACGAGTGCCTACCTAAATTTGAAACACGATAACAAAATTAATTTAATCAATAGGAAGAAATGTCCAGATGAAGTGAAATATTGAATTAATCATGAAATTACATATTTCCAGATCACCTTATAATTAATAGTTAGTATTCTATCGTACTAGAGGTAATTCTTTACCTCAACAGTAGGAATCTCAAGATCCCCATCCATGTGAGCAAAAATGCTAACATATTGTCTTTCAATTGAAGAGATATTGTCATCAAACTTCCATGTAACAGCCAAGGAACTTCTCCAGACCTGATCGAAACGTGTAAATTTCATGCAAATATTGAATAAGTATCAAGAAAAGTAGCAGTGCTCTATTATCAATTTATGTGGTGTAATTCGAACATCATTTTCCCCGTTAAACACTATATATCTAGAGCATCAAACAGAATTAATTTTACAACATATCCATAATATTTCTTACTGCAAATTTTGAACAAGTTTGAAAATACCTGCATATTTTCTTGAATTGATCCATGTTCCAGGTTTATTGAGGCTGGTTCAATAACAGTCGGCGATGTTGTATCTACCCTGAATCCATTACTAGATGCTTCGGCATATAGTCCTAGTCGATATTGATTTTATAAATGTTATATTTACAATTCGTGTTTTAACAACTATTTTGTTTAATTTCAGTACGTTCTCATTTCCACCAAAAACACCTATCTATTGTAGAGCAGTATGTAGAGAGCGTGTATCAAATGTCTCTGCCGGAAAATCGGCGAGCTTTGCATGTAATGTTGGTAATGAATAACTCAACACAACTATGATATATTGTGCATTTTGTATACTACCTTTTGTAAGTACAAGTATTTTCCACATGAGTTTGGTTATATTTCGTTACGTGAATGAAGATGGTTTGCATTTTATCACTTTAAAAAGTTACCTGCTAAATTATATGCCCTTATTGTTACATAAATCGTTTTATTCTCAGGCAAAGGAGTGCTTAGAGGTTTAAATGTAGACTCAGTAAGATGCATTTGTGTTGGGGGAATGATATCATCTGCTCCTACATTAGTACCGACGCGCATTTCATATCTAGATAGTCCACTATGGGCATCGTGAAACCCAACCCAATGAGCAGAGAGTACATCTCTGAAATAAAAAGAAAGGAAACTGTATTTATTTTATATTATATTTCACATGATTTAGACTGTTACAATTAATGCAACATATCTGAGTTTATGTGGATAGAGTTTATGTTGTTTATGTGGATGACGTTTCCCACCTTGATGCTTGAAACTCGATGTCGTCTGCCAAGGTTCCATCCTCAACGACACCAGCAACTGGTGGAGAGCTATCTATCGTGACACCATCTGTTGAACTAGATACACATAGACCAGCCTGGTTACATACAGTGATGGTTGAATAATATTTCTTTCCTTGTGCAAGCTTTAGTGAATCCATACATTCTTCTGAAAGAAAAGTACGATACCAAAAGGTAAAGCATTGTCAACCTTTATCCCTTCACATTAAAAGAAGATGTAGTCATTGATATATTAATTTGTGTTTTGATGATGCAGAAGAAAGAAGTATTACCTTCTTTTAGGCCGACATTATGTTCTGGTACAATGTCATCACAGGTAGGGCAGCTTCCTGCTTTCCAAAGATGTTCAATAAGTTCAGTATGTGGATCTGAAAACCCTTCCCAATGGGAGCACAGTCTGGTAGCATTGGTCTGGTAGTCAATATCTCGATGGTGGATATCCGTCTCTTCGATTGTGCCATCGTATATGTGGCCAACTATGGGAGGAGATGCATCTACTATGAAAGCGTGTGAACTTGTAGTTGTATGCAGCCCGACCCTATTGTACGCCTGGATAACGCAAAAGAAATGTTCTCATTATTAAAAATAATACTTTGGTGTGTCTCTAAATAAGTGTGTTAATACAAAACATATACGAAGATTATAAAATATAGCATGTGAAACACCATTGTACATATACTGTCCTATTACTGATAAACATTTGGTTTTATAATTGTGACTTACTTTGACTGTTACAAAGTACACATGCCCGTCCAACAGTTCAAGATTCTGAGGAATTGGATCTGATTTAGTTGACGTATATTTTGTCTGATATGGACCACTGATATCGGCAAACCCAGGTTCAGATCCAATGAACCAAGTGTAATGCATAATTCCGCTTTCTTCGTCAGCAAATACACCAAACCAACTTAATCGAACAAGTAACGTTTGATCAATGTATGTTAAAAAGTGATTCAACAGCGAAATAAATACAGTACATGTATACTGTCACGTATAGATAGATGTAAGCATCATAAGCATGACCTGAATAAACTTACTCAGCGTGGAATTCTTTGTTGGTTTGTCCAACCAGATTTCTGAGACGAACATGAGCTTTTTGCGTCAACCGTGGTGGGGTGGAATCTATTAAAACAGGTGAACTACAAACATCAGTTGATAGATCCACGTAGTTTATAGCTGAAAGTAACAAGAAAATGAAATATATTCTAGAGCACAACCAACATCCTAAAGTTCAAAAGAGCTTCATGGAGTAGTTTCAATGAATAAATAGTCTTGTTTTATTAATTTAAAAGTACATTCATTACATGTACATTCATTTATCAATCATACTACCTTTTATTGTAACAAAATATTCACGACCATTTGTAAGATTGAGTCCAGTGATAATATGGCGATTTCCAATTCCAATTGTTGTAAATCCGACTACATCAACTCCATACGAGTGCCCACCTAAAATTTTTGAATGGAAAGCAAACGTATACTAATATGAAATGTAATTGCAATTTTATAATTTTATTCATCATATCTATAATAAACTATAATGATGGACTGTGATTGGTCAGATCACGTCACATGACCAGTTTACTATTCGGTCTAACACATTTAGAGTCCCGGATGTCCCAAGTGATATTACAGATTTTAAGCTTCCGCTGTTTTTCAGTTCATAATCCTGAACGGAAAGTACATTCAATCAGTTTAGGCATGTAAGGGTTTTAGTCTACTTCAGATACCCGTTTAGTTTCAGACTCTCGTGTTTAGAACGTGGAATTTTAAATTTCATGTTGCCGTCAACGGGATCCATTATACACATTAAATACTATGTTGGCGATTTTTCATTCCGATGCACAGTATGATTCATTCTTTAGAAGGTAATGTATGCCATATATGTTTTAGCTCCAAATATCTTAGGAAATGAGCTTGTTTGAAACCTGGAGTTTGAAATGTGTATCAGAAAGCCAGCTCAAGGCCTATTACATGCCATGGTGTCAAGGCTGCCGTTGAAACTAATCATAACACCGGAGCTCAACGGGTAACGTATTTATGCGAGAAAACTACATGCAATGTATATGAGCGATTGATAGGTTATACGTTCCCAGTTCAATTTTATTTCCAAGCTTAAACTTCCTAATGTTAAAGTACCCGGATGAGCAATGTGATATTCCATCTCTGTTTTATTCTAAAAATATGTTTTGTTTCATCGATAAAACTAAAAATGCTTGATTGTTAGATCGGTAAATAAAACATGTTAAATGGAAGGCGATATCAATCAATCAAATATGCGTGATATTTTTTCCTTTGGGGATATTTCGATATATCACACTCTCCTAAATGTGATAATGCTCTAACATCCTATACTTACCAACCGCAAACTGGTAGTATTTAATGCCTGAATGTCGTTCGTCAGTTGAAGATGTTACATCATCTGTATCTGAGAATTGTGACCAGGAAACAGATATTAGACTTCTGGATGTCTGAAAACGTAAAAATGTCGACAATATCAAACAATTCTTTTAAATATAATATCAAAATTAAAGCTTCATAATTTTTCACTGCAGTTTTCATAAATAAATACCTGGTATCCCTGTGTACCAAGTGGATGTTTGTAGGCGTGTATATATACGCTCCCTGGGTCTGGTGGAGTCCAGTCTATTTTGACACCATCGCTACATGCTTTCATTTCAGGATGATGTTCCTCAAATCGTTCGTGATTAAGGACCGTCTCATTTGCAAATACACAAACAAAGTAAGTTTTTCCATGATAGAGAGTTAGGTTGTTGGCATTAACATACTCGTCTTCTGTTTCTCCACATGTTATAGCATCACGCATTTCACATAGTTTGATTGGAATAGCTTCGACATCTAATGTTCCCGTTGGTGGTTGTACAACTGCCCAGCTATATTTCCCATGGCGTAAGGATGGCCACACTGCTGATATTGTATCTCTACTAGACGAGTAATCGACATCGTCGTGCTCCAAACGCTGATTTTTGATCCAGGTGATAGGCCCTATCATTTCATAATTGTTAGTTTGTAGTTTTTAGTGAAATGGTGCGAGAAATCTCGGAAATATCATATCATTCTTACGTGGTGGCGGGGGGGGTACAAATTGAAAAAACGTATGCATACCAATCCACAATGTGTATATTGGTCTAAGCACCACGGTTAAAGATTAACAAGGTTATCAAAACCAATATAATGTGTGTATGTATGATAAACTTACCTTTTACATCGAATACAATAGTTTCAAGTATTTTATTTGTGGTTATGTCGCTGCAAGCCACAACTGCCTTACATGTTGTTGATGATAGTCCAGCAAAAGTCCATCCACGGACACAGAAGTGCCAACATTTATTTATTTTGTTTGAATCAAGCAGGTAAATTTTTACATTCAATGTAATAGAACCATTTATAGAATAGGTGTTGACTCTTTCCCAAGGCTTTGCAATGCCACTAGCAGAGTTATCCAAAGATAAGGTCCATTCGTAAAAGTCCATAACAGAATGACCACTGGAAGAATTGGACTTAAATTCATCAAATACAACTGTAACATTGCTTCCGTCTTTAGAACTATTGATATTCATTGCACCAGTTATTGGTGGCTGATTATGTATTGTTACACCATTAGTTGAACGTGGGAGAAAGCAGGATGCAGGTGTACAACACTTAACAACAGTTCTGTATGTGGATCCAGATGACAACTCTAAGTTGGTTAAAGTGAGGTTTTCACCAATAGGACGGATGTCAGTGTACGGACACTCCGGTATCCATGCCATTGTATCTTGAATTACAATATTAGAATATGGGATGCAAGCAAGAACAAAGTATTAAGGAGTTAAGATGACTATGCCCTTGGACTTAAAAGTAATACTGCGTATGTATGCACATTGGACAAATGTTAGAACATATGTTATATAATGATTACGCAATTTTACATCAACTAAATGTAAATAAATATCATAATTTATTCCATAGTTATCATGCTATTCATAGGATAACATGTCAAAATAAAAACGGTATTTTTGTAATCAGTGGTAAAATTTGATATTTTTGACAAATTTTCACTTAACCATAGCATACGGTGTTTTTTAAGCCATGGCATACGACGATTCTGATTTTGACTTTAACTATGTAATACTCGTGATATGATTTTAATCCACTCATGGATATTGATATCTGCACTCTCGCTACGCTCGCTCGTGCAGATATCATATCCTTTCGTGGATAAAAATCATATCACTCATAAATCATAGGATATCCTCTATTTATGCAATGACCTTTTCATGAAGACATACGTTCTTGTTCTATTATTGTGCCACCACTCACCTTCGTTATATCGTTCAATTCTGTAGAATCCATGACTTATGAAAGCCTTATACGTCTCTGGAATCTTCCAATGAGCTGAGAGATCTGTAACGCTGGCTTGGAATTGAATATCATTCCTGCATGGGAACTAAAACAAATTACATATCTTTGAAGATACCATAACATATTAATTATGAATGAATTGCAATTCACACATAGCTTGACAATGTGTGTCCGATTCCAGCCAATCCAAACACAGAAGATCGTATAACTGCAGTGCATTCAACCAATCACCGCATCCAAGGTCATTCTTCAAGTGGTTATAATGGTGACAACTTGACAGATTAAAATCGATACTTTTCCAACTTGACCTTGCAAAAGGTTTATTGAAAATAATATTACTAAATTACAGATTTCGTATCTTAAAGTGACATGGTAAAAAAAAATTTTGCAATGTCGGAAAAGAGTTTAAGCCAGGGACTCAATGTATCGTAAAATGATCATTTCTTTCAGGCGTTGTTTCCTTAAATTAACACTCGATGTTGTGCATCCCGTGCACATTTTTGAAAGCAACCCCTTAAAGGGCTTAACTCCTTAACCATCCCATTTTGGCGAATATTAATGCGCTGGTACTGCTTTCCTGCTTTATTTTAAATTGCATTTTTTAAGGTTAAGGTAAACTCATGAATTCTTTCAATTATGACACTTCAAGAATAAACGAGCTCCAGTCCACCTGCAGAGCCAACGAGGTTACCAATATTTCTTGGTTCCCAGTTCGTTTCTCGATTCAGACAAAAAAAATAATGCACTCACCATTATGATCTCCCCATGAAAAAAATAAGTCATCTGATTTTTCAAAACGAGTATACGCACACTAGTATCTTGTTAACCTATATTCAGGACTGTATTGATGTATTCGCTGGTGATCCTCTCGATTACGCTGGTTATCGAAACGGTTCGTTTCTGTAACAAAATGTCGGAACGTCGAAGGTGCGATTTTTCTTTTTTCCTGTTTCACGCATTGTAGGCAGAATCCCCACGACGTTTTTTCTCACAAATGTATATCAGTATCATATGTTTTAGACCACTTGAGTTACATAAACGGTATGGGTTAAAAGTGCAGATCTTAACTGTTTTTCGAAATACCGTTTAAGTAACTTAAGTGAGGAATGAAATCGATGATTCTGTTGTCTTCTGAACTATTTGTTCGCAAATATGTACATTTACTTAAACATATGATACTGATACACGTTTGTAATAATGTCGTGGGAATTCTCCCCACAACGTGTGAAATATGGAAAAAAGAAAAAATCATACCTTCGACGTTCCGACATTTTGTTACGGAAAATGATGAAAAAATGTACAATCTTTTATTTTAAAGTTAGACGTGAATCGATTGCAAACTTCATATACGCACATTTGATGAGATAACTTAGCTATTTGTGTCACATTGTCAAATTATCAACTTTGCAATCGATATAGGTCATAGTGTATTTTTGGTATTTTATGATAAAGAATGGAAAGCAATGGCCTCTTATGGGATACGCTGATATCCCTGTGTTAAGTCAATGATGCACAGCCTCTATCTCAGCCTATAGTGCCCAAGCACTTTAATATTTTTCAAAGAATTATATGACATTCTGTTCTTGATGCTACACCTAATTTTAATGCACCTCTTCCTTTGTTTGTGCGTAATATAATTCTGGTCTGAATATACCAGTTAGGTTTTGTTGGCCATCATAGGTTGTAAAAAATGCAATGCATTATTAAATCGTGTGATTTGATTGGCTGATTCAGTACCATGTAATCGGAAATATATTAGCGTATTTCACAGCTCCCTGAATTATTGGAATATAAAAGACGTACTGCCCGGCGTATTGGCTGCCCGGGGATTCTGACGACTGCACTGGACGAAAATAAAAGTGTACTTTATAATGCTACTTGTACGTAATTATGTTGATTGATGAGTTTATGATACATTTATTGATTCAAATAAATGTTCACGGTTTAAAACAAATATTCTATATTTCTTTAATATGCAAAATGATCGTAGACAATGTCTTGAAATAACAAAAGAAATATTTCATTCTATGTTGGGGCAAAACCCGTTACACTTTCAATGATTGCAACATATATTACCCTTACCTTCAGTCGATCGGTGCTCTCGTCAGGACATCCCAATCCATCATGGATATCAACATTGATTGTTCTATTCTGTGCCACAATTGTCACACCATCTGACGTGGAATTTACAGAACCAGTTGATGACTGCGCGATCACCGTGGTGTAATACGTCTGTATAACAAAGAATCAGTTATCATTACAATGAAACTCAATTTAAATTAATGCATGTTTCAATAATGAATCAAAAGTAAAGACCTAAAATTCTTGACTCATAATTCAACATACCTCGTGTGTTTTTAAGTCAAGTTGTGTTGCTTCATACTGCGTCCCATCCACATCTGTAAAGGAAAAGACGTCATCTTGTCCTTTTAATGTACCTATCCCCATCTTATATGTTACTTTGAGATGCGGGTGGATAAATCCACTCCATTTTCCCCGGATGGATGAAGAAGTAAGTTGATAATCTACATCGTTATCATTCATTAACTGAAATAAATGGGAACAAGATCCTCAAACTAAGACTTTTAAAACAGAAATGCGATTTTATGAAATACGAATATTAATTGGATATCAAATTATAGATGTAACAGGATCTTAAGAGGTTCTGGACAAATCATTTGATTCTGGACTTGTCATATTTTTTTTTCAACGAAATCACATCCAAGGGTTGAATTTTTATTAGCTATTTAGAGAGTGAGTCCTGCCTAGTATTAATTTCAATAAAAAAGTTAAAATAGAACCCTATTTGAGAGTCAATCTAATACTTACATTACATTGATAAATTAAGGCAAATCCTCAAATATTTTTAAAGTGCATTTTTTTATGAAATATTATCCAGCAAGTATTTAAATGAATCGGTCTTATTTAAATACAAATCATAACATGATATTTTTCATGAAACATTTTTCAATGAAATTCAATTGAAGGGTCAAGATAAAACGAGCTAATTTAGGTGAAAACCCTTACATGATGATGTGTTTTCATAACTTCTTTCATAAAATTCCATCAAGGGGTGAAGATAAAATGATCGAATTTAAGTGATTTAAGGATCACGAGAATATGTTTTCTTTGATATTTTCTATGAAATCCCATCCAATGGTCAAGGTAAAATTTTGATTTTGATTTTGATTTGGTCACGTGTTCGAAAGATCCATATAAGGCCCATAGAACCATATAGGAACGTCATTTTGAATGTCACGTGATAGATCCATATAAGGCTTTTAGAACCATTTATGGAAAGATGAGGGGAAGCCCCTGACACCTGTTTCACGATTTTTATGCACTTCATTATTGTACCGAAGTTTGCCGATTCGATTCGTCGTATTTCGGAATCCTGGTGACAATTTTATACTCCATTGCAGTATTTTTGACCTACTTCTTATGACGGAAATTCCCGAACCTTGTTCGGATTAATCCGGATTTTCTGACCTACCTTATCTACCGAGATTTCACGAGTTAACATTCGTCTCATTCCGGAATCCTGGTGACAATTTTATATTCCATTGGAGTATTTTTGATCTACTTTTTCTGGATTTTGCCCTACTTATTATATCTTGACAACAAGCAAATCAAAAAGTTCGACATGAACGGGTCTCGATCAACTAACCTAGACTATGGAAGCCAGGCACGCTAACCATTAGGCCAACGAGCTACCGATATGAAAGAACAAAAGTATTATATATTTATACCGAGCGTCAATTCAAAATGATCCTCACTTTTGTCTCCACTTAAATACGACTCGTCAGTTGTATCCAGAATAGTAGAACGCCTATGGCGCTAGTGAATAACCAAGTCCCAGGTGAGTGGTTCGTATCCCTCCGTGATATACTATTTTTGTTTTATTAAATACGACAGAAAGGAACAAGGTGTAGGTTGAAAACAAGACGTTAGTTTGTTTCAAAACAGTTTGGAAACATTAATCTCTGATAATTTAAGGTTTTCCACTCCTGAAGGGCCTCTAGATCTATGAAATTCAATAATCCACTCAGTAAAAATACGATTTCTCTGCAACCTGATGTCTAATCAAGATCATTCAAATATATATGTGTTCCTGACACGTTTGGGCGTCCGGGAATAAAATTGCTTGTGAAAACTACAGGTATTTACAAAAGTGTTCCAGAGACCCTTATCTACTTGGCTAAGGTTTTATTTGAAGATACATTGCCTTATTAGCAGGTAGAGGGGCATACAGAACACAGAAGCAAATGCTATGTTGAAAATTTTCTATATTTCAATTTGAACCTGTGTTTACATGTCACGTAGGCCAGTGTTTTATATGGGGATTATATGTACTTTCCTTGTTTACATGAACGTAAATCATTACATGAAATCTGCATTCTTCTGGGTTTAATCTGGGTTTGTACTGTCTTATTGGGGCTTTTCGACTTTAAAACAAACCCTACCTAAATGGATTGTGTCTCGGGAACGTTTTTGTAAATAGTTATTATAAACAATTCTGAAAGAATATCACATATTTTTGTCTTCCCGATTTCAGTCATGAATTACGTCAATTTCTCGTGCAAACATTGGGTAGACGTTGTCATAACCGGATGCCCGAACGTGTCAGGAACATATAGATACTCGAATGATGTTGATTGAACATCAGGGTTGAGAGAAATCGTAATTTTACTGAGTGGCTTCACGAAAAAATAAGCAGCACTTTAGGCCACCTAAATACAACTCGTCAGTTGTATCCAGTTGGAATCCCAGCGTAATGTTTTTAACTATATGGTTGTGCTTTGATTTTACGCTGAAAACATTTATAACTACGTCAACTTTATATTAAAACATTTATTATCTTTTCAGTTGTATTAAAATGTAAAATATGATATATGTCAGCTTATTGCTTTCTGGAGAACAGTCAAGGTTTAAATTTGGTACAATGAATGGGACACTCATGTAAATCGACATGGTTATAACATTGAACTCAATGCAGTAAATTTATTCTATGAATCACAGCGGGATTGGTTTCATTTTATATGATTGCCAACTCTGGCTGTTTTTTGTAAATGCTTTTGACCGCTGTAAATGTGAAAATGATACAGTATTATTCAATTGTTTTATGTCTTGGTCACATTTGCTCCGATTTTCACTCCGGCGCCCGGCCGATTGAGTATTGTGTTCAGAAATGTATTCAATTTTGAACAAAATACTCGCAGCAAATGTGATCCAGGCATTACACAGCGGTATTTCGAACATACTATTGTTGCTTAACCACGACATAGCCAATTTTAAAATCATACTCCTTATTTAAATCCAAGTAAACGATCAATGTCTAGGTATTTGGCGTTTGATGATACTATGGCCCTTGGCGAATTATGATTAGATGAACCGAGGTCAACATTAATGTTTCTTGTACAAGGTCATCCCAAGGTCTAAGATAAATATTTAGGTATTTTACGTTTCAAGACCTTTGGACAAATTCGATTCAACGATGTATTAAAGTTAAAATGTATACAGAGATAAAATAGGTTATCTCCTATCGTTTCCTTGTGTATACGTTTATGTCTCTGCGTAATAACGCAGATGCGAGCAGGTAGTTACCCATCTCACCACAAGGTGGCTCGTTCGGGTCAGATAGCATGGCGGGTATGGTAGAAAGTTCCCTTTAACTTAAAGTACATCTGTTTTCGTGGTTCAATTTTCATATCACCCTTAAAATGTATCTAATAGCAATGCAATTAAAATATGTCCAGTGAACGAAAATGCAATACAAGAATAGATATTTCACTTTTTGTGATTTTGTAACAATGGGGTTATTTTTTGTATATGTAACATGGTCATTTTCACATTTTATATTATTACTGTTCATATTAATCAATCCCTATTCATCTCAATATAACAGGTCCCTAAGTAGGTTGTTTGCAGTTTTACTCTTTTAATACCATGTTCACTTTTCACCTTGAGTTATTCAACTATGCAAACTGTGTCAGTTTTATATATCTATTGTTCCCCTATATGGTCTTTCTCACTCACATGTAGCTGAGTTTGCATTGGGTGTTGGCTTGTCAGTAGTTGCTGTAAGAGTTCATGTTGTACATTACAGAGCATTGTATTTTAAACATTGAAGTTTGAAATATACTATTTTATATATATTTTAATTTGAAGTTCGAGTTATTTTATTGCCACCCACGGGCCTTCCACACGCCCATTTACATATAACGCTTTGAAACAACTTTAAAAAGTGAGCAATGTCAGTGTTGTGATAATAGAGAATTTTCGTTATAAGTTGTTTCAAAAACTTATACGTATACTTATAGTTTAAAGGGTCTTGTCGAACTAAAATCAATTCAAATTGATTTTCATAATCTGTACCAAGTGGGGCATAACTATTCCCGATATAGTCAAGCTTCATCATCAACTAGGGACTTAGTTCAACGTCGTTAAACTCAATAACGGCGTTATTTATTATGAAGAATTTTCTTGGGGCCATTATTGAGTTTAACCTCTTTACTATTCTTTCCATTGATGCAAGTTTTGGATCCACCGAAACCATTTTTCCGCGATAACATGCAACTGATACTTGACAACAATATAAAAACACATAACATCAAGCGATTCAACACAATATTATTGTATTAAATGGTCATTTATACAAGTAAAATGAGGTTAAACTTACCAATCTCTAAAATGACATTTCCGCATGTCCGGCATTGTGTCTGTTCGTCCCGGGTTAAAATTTAAACTATTGAAACGAAATTGTTGTCAAATAGATTGATAATTATCACGCGATTACTCGGGATAAAATAACCATTTTTGAGGATAGCAGGTATCTTTGATTGATTTATATAGCGCTTGTATACACACAAAATCGTTATTAATTGCAAACCTACTGTTCGTTGATGCAGTGTCGCAATGACGGTTAATTCCTGATACGATTTGCAATTTCGATGTTACCGGAGCTGACCGATATTTTCGTAAAATTCCAAACCTGTCTCCAATATTTTCGTAATTATGCATCAATATGGTCTAAGGGGGGTACGGGATGGTGTGTATGTATTTATAAGGTATGTATGCATGCTTGAATCACATTCTTTATGTAATATTACCATGTTTTCGGAGCTTAATTAGTTCCGCATGTCGAAACCTGCTGAACGATTAAATGATCGCAACAAGGGCAAAATCATCATGGAAGTTAGACCTACAATCAAATTTTTTATTCTGTCAATCAGTTCATATGGTTAGAATAAGGAAAGAATGTGATGTAACCACGTGTCTACTTACTAGCTTGTTCTATGTCATCCATCGGACTAGGTTACATCGTGGAACGCAGCCGAACAGGACGCTGAAGGCAACAGCATATCTATCTTGATCTTAGCCGAATTTTTGGAAATTTAGATCGTCCATTTTGCAAGCTCACGTGACTGACACGTGACACATGTCTGATCACGTGACTAGTTACTGTATCGATCATGTGACTTAATCACGTGTCAATGACGTGTCACCCAATCATGTCTTCAAGGAAATCGGAAGTAAATATTTTGGAAAATGTTTTCCGAGCATTTGCTACTGATTATAGAAGGCCCAATTACGCAACGAACGAAACTGCTAAATTGTTTTCGTGCCTAACATGCGCAGTACGCAATGAAAGAAACTGCTAAATTGTATTTTTAGAGTTGTTTATTGATCTATTGATTCATAAAGACCTGTAATGATGCATTCAAATAAGACCGCCTCCTAAATAAAAACAGTACACATAAGGTGGTGAAAAAACAACGAACTAAAGTTGAAAGATCGCAACGTTCGCTACTTTGTTCAATTCCGGAAATCTCCAAGGGGCTGCAAATGGGAAATTATTTAGATTTAGATTTTATAACCTCAGAATACTGGCTTCATTGTCGTGTTTGGCTGCGTTCCACGATGTAACCTAGTCCGATGGATGACATAGAACAAGCTAGTAAGTAGACACGTGGTTACATCACATTCTTTCCTTATTCTAACCATATGAACTGATTGACAGAATAAAAAATTTGATTGTAGCCGGGGCCATAAGACATGTCAGATAAGAAACGAGGCCCAGGCTAGGTCTAATGTTGTTGGACTACTAGGGACTGCGAATACAATGTCCTTTGCTAGTGTCAATTATGAACACGATAAACTAAATTCTAGTTGACGGGTCCTTGTAGTGTACGATAAACAAGACCCTTTAAAGTGAATCACTACACGAACGAGTCGTTCATTTCAAAGTTCTCATGAAATTATAAGGTCAATTTTTAAGTTTTTACGTATAAAAGGGCCTTTATACGCAGATTATAAACTTACAGAGTTGGATCTCCGCATAGTATATGTGTGGACCTACTGACCAGAATGGCTTATTAAAATTAATCGGCTGAATAGGCATAGTATCTAATCAAATAGCTCGACTCATTCATTAGCTGAACTAATTCTCCCTTCGTTATTTCTACAAGGTGATTCAAAACGATCATCTACAAAAAATATATTTGAGAGTAGATAAATCTGTAAAACCCGTGTGCTATATCAGCCTATTTGATTCTAGAAAACACATATGACACAACTAAACATGCTTTACATCAAGGGGGTACGGATGGTATGCCATTGGCCCTTTTTATTACCGTCCTAGGAGATATTTCCCGACGAATTAGGAAATTATGAAACACCTTGTTTATTGGGTTTATAAGTATAAGTATACGTATAAGTTTTTAAAAAACTTATAACGAAAATTCTCTAATAACGCCCCTCATACCTATTTATTACAGGTCGTGTAGACCATTGTTGCCTGATTTATAGCAAAAACATTGACTTTTGCACGTTGATGATGATGATGATGATGCGCCTTTTATAATAGATCTCATATCTTAGAAGCGTATCAGTTCAAAAAGTACTAGAAGACCTTACATATTTTGCCATGCACTGCGCCTATTCATTTGGCAATTCAGTTGTAAATTTTATCTTGAAAAAAATAAATCTTCCAAATTTGTTGAGTTTTCTTGCAGAAATCGCCTACCCCCCCCCCTCCATCCATTTTGTATGATCACAAGGCGTGATTTAAGCTGCTGATATTCTTCTTTAAATCGGATTTTCAAAATCTATAAGTTGGACTCCCTTTATAGAAGCTTTGAACTGAATTTGCACTGCTTAATGCTGAAATTTTATTGTTTATCCATACATTTTAAGAAAAAATGTATAAAAAAAGATGTTAAAGCCAAATGTTGCCCTAAAAATTCAGAAAATGTAAAAAATTTCGAATTTTCTATGTACAGGCCTTGTTGCCCCTTTAAGAAGCTTAATATGTAAATTATCTAATCAAACACTTCGTCCACCATTTTGAAACACTAATCAATCCAATCTGTGCTAGCGATTCATAGGGCGAGCCAGTGGGATATTTCCAGGGTTCGTACACACCTGGAAATGTCAGGGAAATTGACTTGATTTTCCAAGTGCTGGAAATGTCAGGTAATTTTAAAATTAGGTCAAAAGGGCCAAAGATGACCGGGAATTTTGAAACGGTAGACATGTCAGGGAAATGTCAGGGAAATTTGTATCAGTGTTGAAAAAATAATGTTCCAGAGATTAATGTTTCCAAACTGTTTTGAAACAAACTAACGTCTTGTTTTCAACCTACACCTTGCTCCTTTCTGTCGTATTTAATAAAACAAAAATAGTATATCACGGAGGGATACGAACCACTCACCTGGGACTTTGTTATTCACTAGCGCCATAGGCGTTCTACTATTCTGGATACAACTGTGGTCGTATTTAAGTGGAGACAAAAGTGAGGATCATTTTGAATTGACGCTCGGTATAAATATTTAATACTTTTGTTCTTTCATATCGGTAGCTCGTTGGCCTAATGGTTAGCGTGCCTGGCTTCCATAGTCTAGGTTAGTTGATCGAGACCCGTTCATGTCGAACTTTTTGATTTGCTTGTTGTCAAGATATAATAAGTAGGGCAAAATCCAGAAAAAGTAGATCAAAAATACTCCAATGGAGTATAAAATTGTCACCAGGATTCCGGAATGAGACGAATGTTAACTCGTGAAATCTCGGTAGATAAGGTAGGTCAGAAAATCCGGATTAATCCGAACAAGGTTCGGGAATTTCCGTCATAAGAAGTAGGTCAAAAATACTCCAATGGAGTATAAAATTGTCACCAGGATTCCGAAATACGACGAATCGAATCGGCAAACTTCGGTACAATAATGAAGTGCATAAAAATCGTGAAACAGGTGTCAGGGGCTTCCCCTCATCTTTCCATAAATGGTTCTAAAAGCCTTATATGGATCTATCACGTGACATTCAAAATGACGTTCCTATATGGTTCAATGGGCCTTATATGGATCTTTCGAACACGTGACCAAATCAAAATCAAAATCAAAATTTTACCTTGACCATTGGATGGGATTTCATAGAAAATATCAAAGAAAACATATTCTCGTGATCCTTAAATCACTTAAATTCGATCATTTTATCTTCACCCCTTGATGGAATTTTATGAAAGAAGTTATGAAAACACATCATCATGTAAGGGTTTTCACCTAAATTAGCTCGTTTTATCTTGACCCTTCAATTGAATTTCATTGAAAAAGGTTTCATGAAAAATATCATGTTATGATTTGTATTTAAATAAGACCGTTTCATTTAAATACTTGCTGGATAATATTTCATTAAAAAACGCACTTTAAAAATATTTCAGGATTTGCCTTAATTTATCAATGTAATGTAAGCATTAGATTGACTCTCAAATAGGGATCTATTTTACTTTTTTTATTGAAATTAATACTAGGCAGGACTCACTCTCTAAATAGCTAATAAAAATTCAACCCTTGGATGTGATTTCGTTGAAAAAAAAATATGACAAGTCCAGAATCAAATGATTTGTCCAGAACCTCTTAAGATCCTGTTATGAAAACAACTCTCTTAACCTGCTCATTGTAATATATTGTATACCTCATTTTCCACTTCTCTGTGTGGCAGGATATCTTTTACAATCCCAACATACGGCAAAGTTGTGTAATGTACGTATGGTTCCGACGAGGCAATTGTTGACAAACCAGCTGCATTGGTTACTTTAATGGACGCTACCAGTGCTTGCGGATGGGCAGAGTGAATATTCAACTTAGTAAGAAGAACTGCTGTGCAGTTATTGTAGGACACATTACAGGAACCCCCGGCCGTAAGTTGAGAAAAGCCAAGCATGTCTTTGTGGTAACTGTCTTGTCCTACAACGATAATGATATTATGCATGATTAACTATAAATGAATGATGAGGGGTGCACATAGTATGTTATGCTATTGTATGATCAACTATTGCTTTAAAATATGTTTCAAAGAAAAATACGGTTTTACCAATGGCGATCAAATACTGCAATTTCTCTGCATCTTCAGCATCATATACTTTGGAAGAATCCCAATCCACTCGTAAATATTCCCTTTCTACATACACTTTTATTTCACTTTCAAATTTGGGTGCAGTGACATCAATGATCAAGGGCCCAAATACCTATAAAGTTCATTAAATAGATTAATTCACATGTTTTCTAACACAGAAGAATCTGGTTTGTTCCATATTGGAATGCCTTGAAGTTTCAACAACACTGGTCTTACCTTTGATGTTGTCATCCTGGCCCTGTTCGTTGCTTTAATTATAATCCAGATCAACTGACCCTCAGATAGTGGTGGATGATAGAGGTTCCATGACGGTCTCTGGTTCGTCGATTTAAATGGCATTATGTCAGGGGCAAGTGGCGAATCTGTGCTGCTTAATCCTAGCTCAAAGTCAAATATTTCCGATTCAACATCAAATCCTGTCCAGTTCACATTTAGCTACAAAATGCACACAGGATGATGCATTGGGGAAGTTAAGTAAATGTACCATAGAAGTTTCAAATATGACATTAAAATTAGAATAAGTACAACTACAAAATAATACAAATACAATAGAATAGAATACGTTGAATAAAGTATTAGATTAAACTATTTATAATATTTATGGTAGATGGGCATTTTTAATTTAAGCAATGAAATGATTAACCTGTCTTTCCTGTGTCAGATAGAGGCGGTTTATGAATGCACCATTCTCACACCCTATGCTGTACTCACTATATTTGGTTTCAGCGAATACACTTATATCGGGGACCTCTACTTCTCTAAAACTAGAAACCACATGCATGCACGGATTTATCATCAATATAAGACCCTACAACTGCACATCATCATTTACTATTCTCATAAAACGTATTACCTGCAACGTGATTCATTCAATCGTTGTTTATAGCCATGCCGTGTTATGAGCCATGTAGAATTGCCATGTCTTACAACCCCAGGTCTAGTGTGTATATGGTCAACAATGATGGAATGTACATCTGGAGGAGTAATGTCTATCGTGACACCATCTGAGCAAACAGGTTCGGAAGGTTCCATTGCACCATTGAAGGCAACCACAGTGCAAAAATATTTTCCAGGTCCAGAAGCAGTCGTACTCACTTCAGTTAAAGTTGTATTCTCTACCTGTTTAAAGGAACACAAGGATATAAAACAATTCAAAGTCTTCATTGACATGCATGGAAGTATGCTAAACACGCTAGATTTTTTAAACATACTTACCATTGACGTTTTATTGATGCCAGTGAAGGCATCTGCTTCAAGGCAGCTATTACTAAACCCATATCTGTAAAACATGATGCCACTTTCTCTGTCGAAGAACTGAGACCAATGCGCATGTAATGTATAATCCTGCTGGAAATCAACTTCCACACTACCAGAACGTCCATCGTGTACAACACCAGGGTGGGGTGGAGATGTGTCGATTGTAATCTAAATAAAAAAGCGATGGCATGCATATAAGTGACAAAAGGAAACGATGCACATGTACTTTATATTTAACAGAAAATCAAGTCTCGTGCGCAATATGCATCCGGACTAATGATGATAATTAGTTAACTCACTTTTAGAGTAAGAGTTGTGACTAGTCGAGCAACGTTGGTGACCGTTATTATCAGGAAATAGTCGTGTTCGTGTGTCCCTCCAGGCTTAGAAAAGTCATTTCGATCTGGTTTGATATCATACTGTATTCCATAGCATTGTCCTGCTGGTACACAATAACTTGATGCATCCTGTGTAGTGTTGTCTATCTTTATTACATGTGTATGCCCCTCTCCTAGTGTCTCTTCAATATCGGTATAGTTGTCATATAGTTTCCAATGTACATTGTAAAGCCCGCTGTGAATATCGAATGCTTTGAACCGGAATCTAAAATGTATTTTAGCTCAGAGTGTTTAAAAAATAAAGGTACAGTAGTATGCGCAATTTGTATGTTTGTATAAGCGAGATTACAAATCAGGTGTCAAATAAAAAATCAAGCGTACACTGAATTCAAAACTGGTACAATGACCCAAAATGAAGACAGACAAAGGTATAGTTTTAGATTCTATCTTATTCTTAGTATTTTAGAATCACTGCCCTTTCTGTACAACATTATTCACGCAATCTATATGAATATGTATGCGCAAGTCGCAATCGGAAAGTATAAAATAATGGTTTCAGAACACAGCAAGAAAAATAAGACATATATTAAGAGCACATTAGTCATTTTATTCATCCCGAAGTCATTACAATACGTGTTGAAGAATAAATTTAAAAGTGATAGCCAACACTCATAAAATAAAAAACTTACTTTATGACATACTTACCGCATCTCATAAAGATCTCTCACATTGTGGACTGCAAGTTGTTCTCTGTCATTATCAACAAGCCAGATGTCCTCTATGACTGGTGGTGATGAGTCAAAATGAACACATACGCTATCGTTAACATAAGTTCCCATCACATCTATGGCTCTTACCCAGAGTCGTACTGTGTCACCATCTTCTCTCGGTATGTCTAACCGTTGGCCTTGATCGAGTACATTGTCTGTAGGATTCCAGTTGTCTTCGGGCATTGTCGTTATGTTTCTTCCCCCACTGTGGTCTTTGAGGAAAGTGTAGTTAAATCTTACTATTGCATTAGCATTTTGAATTTCCGACCGTGTTCTCTCGCCTTCATCAAAGTCATCATATTCAGGCAGAATTTCTCTTTCCTGGTAATTATCTACTGCTCCAAGAATCTTATTCATATGGTGATAACGGTTTATAAACCTATCAGTCCATTCAAATACTACACTCTCGCCTTTTCCACTTTCATCCTGTAAGTTATGCTGCCAGTGACACATTTTATTTGATGTAGAGTTACCTGATGTAAAATTCTGAGAAGCAGATATCGGTTTTAATGGTTTATGTTGTACTGTATCTACAACAGAGTTGTTGTCATAAATGAACAGTCGTCTAGCTGTCTCTACATTACCGCTAGATCCACCATGACCTGTGTTATCTACTGCTGTGAGAACAATTGAGTATGTACCAGCTATCTCAGGTGTAAAACTTGGAATTGGATCTCCCAATGTCCACTTCTGAAAAGTTTTCTTGGCCGGATGGTTTTCTCTGAGACTGCTGCGATTTTGTTGAGTCAAATAAATATCAATGTCGTACTCCCTTATTCCAGAAAGATCGTCTTTCCATCCAGTCCAGCTAATGTTAACACCGACCTTCAAGACAAAATCAAAAGACATTTGATTAGAATTCCGTTGTCATTAATTGAGAAAACATTATTAAAATTAGTTTGTCCATCAGCTTCGTGTATCCCAGTGCGTTATTCCAAAATCTGTAATCAGTTATCCCAACCCCAAATTAACCCAGTTCATTTCACCCAATTCCCTTTTCAACTGAACCCTTATTTCATAATTACTCTTAGTTATTGATTTTTTAAAGATATTGTTAATTATCTCATTTATTATAATTTTGAATATTTAAACAGATAATAACTAATAATCCTTTATTCCCTAATTAATTAATTTACTAATTTCTGATCAACATTTACCTTTCTTATGTCTTTGCCGAATTCCATTAAAGCATCGCTACAAGATGATGTACTTGAACAATGATAGGGATTGACAGTATCAAATATAAACAGGGCGTCGTTGTTCCTCGAATTACCACTGTAATATTTTCTTTGAGTTTCATTTACCGAAGGTTCAGGATTGAAATAACCAAGGTACCCGCCATTTGTCGCAGAAACTGTGAATTGTACCCTAGTAATAAATCAAGCATTGGTGTATTATACATTAATATTCATATCAAACAAGCATCAAATATGAATTTACAAATAATAATCCTGGTTTCTAATACGATTACACCATCCCGATCGAAAAATCAAAATACTTGAGCAGCGATCGTGCCTTAGTTAAAGAACTGGTTGAAACCAATGCTAAATAAAAATGAGCTAGTGCAACTTAAAATTGCGCAAATAATTCTTCTGAGAGCTATCTTTTGGAGAAGAATTATGGTATGACCTCTCACTTATGACGAGCAGATCCGATAGGTTGCAAAGAAACGCATTAAAGTGCTGTGAATCAATGACCATTACACAACAGATCGTGTTTTAACAGAATGTTTTCAACAATTGGTTTAAGACAAAAACAATGTTGAATTCAGTTCACAATATTTGTGAAATATAGGGAAACATTTGATTTTGATTGGTCTATAATCAAAATTTTCCATTTTGTGCAACAAATGCAACATTTTGACGTTATTAATAAAACTCCAAGTTATAAATGACAGACACAATATGCTGTCTCTAATCTTATTGAAATAACTATCACTATTTATTTTTTACCAATCATCCGATCATGCATTGGAAATGCACCTCAATGAGAAATGCATTCATTGATTGTGGCAAGTAGTGAATTGTCAAAAGAATGTTGGAGTCGTATCAATATTTTGCTGCATTTTGGTGCTTCTTTTTCCATTTAAGGTCGTTTTGGTTACATTCTGATGTCATAATGTATAATTTGATGTCATAATATGGGTACCAAACTGGAGCGCACATTGCAAGCTTTAAGATGATACCAAATATGTCATCATTCTTTTGATTAAAATGGTAACTGGAATAAGCTCAAAAGATATACCACACCCTACCCCATCCTTTTTTTCGGGTCATTGAAACATGCCCAAATCTCAAATAATGCAGGCATCATCATGGGTCGTTTTTGGCCCCGTTTTAGTTAAAATATCATGTTTCTGCATACCACTTTTTCTCGGAAATGTCTCAACTACCTAAAACAGTTACATTTGTGCTGAATAAGAAAAGATTTAGTCATTTTGGAGTTATTACACCAAAAGTAGAAACTTTTATTAATTTCGTCAAAATGTTGCATTTGTTACAAAATGGCAAATTTTGGTTATAGACCAATCAAAATTAAATGTTTCCCTATTTTTAACAAATAAATTATAATCAAAACCAATGAAATTCTATGTTAGGATTTCTCCAAGGAATGTGCATGCAAAATGTGGTGACTTAACTCTTCAAAGTGTAGAAATGAGAGTAAATATACAGACTTGGGACTTGTGTTGTCTCGGCTACTAGTTAAAGGGCAATTAAGTCTTAAGGCTTGGCAGCACCATGTTCAATTAATTTCAGTAACAAAAACTTGAACCATAGTTCACCTATATTTTGAGAAAAAAGATTGAATCGTTCTGGATTTTAATACATTCATGGAGATTGTGGTACAGGCAGATTTTTTAAAAAATGTCCAAACTCCCGGTAATTAGGTGTGAGCAACTAGACAGTATTTTGCCTTCGTCGTCTTAATTCTATGATAGTCTTGATTTCTGGAGGAAAAATCAAATGAAATATCCTGATGTGGCGATCTTGGCCCAAAATTATCATCCGATCCCAGCATTGAGCGTCTGGGTGAACGCCATTTAAGTGCTGCAGGTAACACTATAACTTTCAAACGAGTCCGACTAGATTGAATTCGAAGTAGGCAAGGTATTACCATACGTTTTAGAGGAATAATAAATATATACTTTGAGTAGGCTGCAAAATCGGCCTATTAAGTCGTATCAAACAATTGCGTTAGTGTAATCAATATTGGGCCAATGGTATTTGAGTGCGGACTCGCGTACGGACAGACTCGCGGACAGACGGACAGAGTGCTTTATTATATTCCTGTCGAACTTCGTTCGGTACGATAACTATACCTGTCATTGTGCTTGAATTGTCCCCAAGGTAAGGCCTCTGTGAAGTTACAAGTTACGGTGTCTTGTCTTGGTGAATCATCTGGCTCGATTTCGCACGCCATTGAAACATCTGATGGATGCGTCATTCCATCTATGATTTAAAACATTAATTAACGAAATATTAAGCTATCATCAAGTGATAATTTTAAGGTTACCTGATAGGTAGACCAGAATTATTTCACATCATTTCTAATATAAACTATGTAGAATATCCATCTCATTAATCTCTGACACATGTACAAAAAATATGATAACGAGTATACACGTTCATGTATTTATGATGACGCTATGGACAATTAAAATCAGATCAATATGGTGAAAACTAATTTTGATTATCAGCGTGTTAATCTGATCAAAGCTTTATTGAGTTTTCTCCTGGCGAAGGGCCAATTTGATGAAAAATTGAGCAAAATGGCATGTTTTCATATTAGCATGAAATGGACTGAATCAACGCCTTCACTGCTATTAGTTGTATGCCATCTCTGTTATGTTGTATGCCATTGGGAAGCCAATGACAATAATATTAATTTCAATAAGATGCTTTCTATATAGCTTGATAAGCAAATGAAAACTAGTGCTGTTGTCTTTTATTCAGCTTTTTATTTTGGCCAGACTGCCATAGACTACCCTTTGCATTCGTTTGACTTCACTTCTTAAAAGAGAGCTTTGTAGTTTAACTAGACTCTGCACGCAGGGTAGCCATAGACTTAATGTGTTAAGTTCTTGAAATAGTGACTTAATTTCATGATTTATCAAAATGCGTTTGTTAAATATGTCTAAAACTTGAATGGTATACAATATGACATCCTCCGATCACAGGGCTTCAAAATCCAGAATATATTCTTTCTTTTTACTCCCTTAAGAACATTTCCCCGATTAAGAACTCGCAATCTGATTGGCTGTCGCAACACTGCGACAGAAATCATGTATAAGTCATTGCGCATAATTAGATCACGTGATTCAGCTTAACCGAATTGGTTATAGCAGGGGGGAAGAAGGAGGTACGGATTCTGGATACCTGCTTAGGAGGATGACAATATGATGACCTCGTTAATATATAGTGTGTCTAATCATCAAAATTAAGGTTGATAAACTTATACACCAAGGTTTTTAGAAAATTTAAACATTGCATCAATGGAGTTATTTCAGAAAAGTCATGGAAAATGATTTAAATAACATAACTGTAGAAATCAAAGAAAATATTTCACTGTAACTCAAATATGCCATTTAACAGAAGGAAAAGTAAGTGAATAGAAACTGTTTATTGCACCCAACCATTGTTCCCCTAGTATATCGACCCCTGCAATATTTGATAAGATTGTTGGTACAAGTAATAAAAAGTTATTATTTTTATCTCATGGATGCAAGGATAAACATCGAATACCACGTGAAGATATATTTGATATGTGGATCAAGAAATCATATTTGACTAAAATAAATGTATATTAAAAAAGATATTATATTTTAGCAAATGAATTCCAAACCATCGAATATCACTTCTTAAAAAGTCATATTCGATGGTTTAGATTTTTCCGAAAACGCTTGTTTTTAACCTTTTTTCGCTGATGATGATTTTGGAAAAACGGACAATCCCATTGTTTTTCAAAGAAATCAATTGTATTTCATACTTGAGTGGGTTTGGGGTAGATATCACCCGGGAATATATATCATATCTGAGGAGCGGGCAGGATATATTGTTTATGTCCCGCTCCAGGACAAATGCGGGCAGATATAATATATCCATCCCGCTCCCGGGAATTTTTCAAAAGTTTAAAAAAATTTAAAATTTAAATTTCAGAAGTTTAAAATTTTTCAAAAAGTTTAAATGTTACAATTCTATTGTATTGAGCTGAAGGAATATTATGAAAATGTTAAATATAAATTGTGCTTTTACAGTATAGGCCTATCTTGTCATTTGAAAAAGGTGGTAAAGGTTATATCTACCCCAAACCCACTCAAGTATGAGATACACCAGTTATGTACGGTCGGTTTTGGATACAGTGTTTATCCCGCGGGAAATATGTGTATCTCCCTCGGTCCCTGCGGTCCCTCGTGAGATACACATATTTCCCTTGGGATAAACCCTGTATCCAAAACCTCCCAGAACATAACCCTTATATATCTACCCATGGATATAAATGATATTTTTTCAAAACCATTATCACTGTTCCACAACTGGATGACTCTAACTGCAGTTAGCTTCATTCAAGATGGTGGATAAAATTCGTTCGTTTTCGATAAATCTCCAATTACAGCCAAACCAAGCTGAATCTTGATCCCAAAAATTTCGCCATGCAAACTAATAAAGATATAATTGTAAACAACCACAAATAAAGGCTCAAGCACCCGCGATATTAGAGAAATTGAAAGAAAACGGCTTCACTTAGAATGACTCTAACTGAGGTTGATAATGAAGCTAACTCCAACATAGATTTCACCATTGATGACTCTAACTGAATGGAGATTTATAATGGGCTATACAAATTACCAATAAGCAGTTCCGTAACCAGGGGAAGCTGGAGGTTCGGTAGTTTCCCCCTCCCTGGCCAGAAATTATTTCAAATTCCCGCAGGTTTTCACCACTCTGAGGACTTTTCGCACGATTTTCTAAACAAAACTATCAAAAAGCACCCCCCCCCCCCGATTCGAATAGCACCGGAGAATATTATCATTCTAAATTGTAAGCGAATGATGGATAAAAAGGGTTTCTTTTATCGTGAAGCAACAATATTGTATACAATGATGTAACAACCTGAATATTGAAGACATGCAGTTAAAGGCAATGTTCATTTTTATTTGTTCAATGCATTATCAAAATAATATACGGTTTACTAAATTATTGCCTATGACAGAATTCACCTTCTTATTCTCCCTTTTTTAAACTTCGAACACATTTCCTTAATTAATTAGGATATTTGTGAGAGACTGTGTTTTGTCATACCCACTGGGCTTTGTCTTGTTATGTAACCACGTGACCACAGATGATGCCTTCCCATGATACTGGTGGTTAATTGTTCTGTGTAAATATTAAGTAGTTGGTGCGTACATGTCAGGGTTAAAGAAAACATTAACCGCACTCGTTCCCCCACAGGCTGTGCATTCCAAGGGATAGTACAGTAGTTAAGAATACTACAGATCACACTGGCAATGGATCACACAATGGATAATACGAGATAAACAGCTACTAATAAGTTAAGACACGGATATATCCTAGGATGTAAATCTAACTGGACCACTACAGTTGGTATTAGTATGAGTAGTGAGTCGTGACGGGAAACTGAACTAAACTGAAATGGCAGGTTCGTTTTGATTTTCTTCTATAAGCCATACCACTGGTGATCCACTCGATTACGCTGGTTACAAAAACGGTTCGTTTTGGTAACAAAATGTCGGAACATCCGGAAGGTACGATTTTTCTCGTTTCCTTATTTTACACGTTGTAGGCAGAATTCCCACGACATTTTTTAACACAAACGTGTATCAGTATCATATGTTTAAGAAAGTGTACATATTTGCGAACAAATAGTCCAGAAGACAACAGAATCGTCGATTTACTTCCTCACTTAAGTTACATAAACGGTTTGGCTTAAAAGTGCAGATCTTAACTGTTTTTCGAAAAACCGTTTATGTAACTTAAGTGAGGAAGTAAATCGACGATTCTGTTTTTCTCTGAGCTATTTTTTCGCAAACATGTAAATTTTCTAGAACATATGATACTGATGTACGTTGTGAGAAAAAACGTCGTGGAGATTCTGCCTACAACGCGTGAAATAAGGAAAAAAGAAAAATCGTGCCTTCGACGTTCCGACATTTTGTTACCAAAACGGTTCGTTTTGGTAACCAGCGTAATCGAGTGGATCACCAGTGCATACACCATGGATATTTCAATGAGGAACTAGGTTTTACATTATTTTACCTGGTTACCATCGGTCAACAGTGCATACACCATGGATATTTCAATGAGGAACTAGGTTTTACATTATGTTACCTGGTTACCATCGGTCAAAGTTTGTCTATTGAAAGCCCATGATTGCGCATACGAGTATTGTCATGCAGAATATAATGTTGTAAAAACCTTTTTGGTCAATGTATATTACTTATCAATTCCAGCTCAATACATGTGCTATTATTGCCCGAGACAAGATGATGAAATTGACGCAATTCTCAGCCATTGTTTGAACAATCACATCACTGAAAATTTTAGTAAACGTGAACATATGATCGACCCCGCCAGTGGTAGACACAAATACGCATCAAGACATTTCAATGTATCGTTAGTGAAAGTCAAAGAACTACAAGCAAAGGGAAACAAAGTAATCGCTGACCCGACTTCTATGAAACTGGACTTAAAGGGTGACGCATATCGTTTAGCAAATCGAACGCTCGTTTCTGGTGTTGCTCACCGTTTAGTATAAAAGGCCCGATCCCGGAATAATACTCAAGGGTTCACAGGTTCGAGGTCGTTGTGTCAACACCTCTAACTGTTATATAGCATAAGTATATTATAGATCGTCACACATTTATAAAAGGGTGATTTTTATTTTGACAAATCAATTCCACATTTATGGGTGAAGGATCTTCTATTTGTGTATAATAAGGAAAAATTGGCATCTAAATTTCCCCATAACGTAATAGCACACAGCTTGGCATATGAAATATCCTACAAATGAAACAAAGCAAGACAAACCGGTTTCTAATACAAGAATTTATATTGGCTGTTGTACATGTATTATTTGAACGCAATCACTCTTTGGATAACGTTTTCAAAATCATTATAAATGGATTACTTTATCTCAAAGACAATTTCAATAAACTGGATTTTACAGAACTCCCCTTATTTCTTAAAAATGGACTGATCCAGTTGATTCGCCTGGAGCCGCCATATTGTTTTTATACGGGATGCTAATCGGTTATCCCGTTCCCGGACTATAGTCCTGCACTGATCGCATTCATTTGCCTGTACGATTACCCGGGTACGATTACAACTTGGGAGAATTATCTACGCCCCTTACACTTAAGATACCTACCTCAATGCATTATAGAACTCAAGATGTAACTTCTAATATATTGGAACCGCCGATTGTCTGGGTATATCGGCAGAACGGGAACATTTTCTCTTTTTCATCGAGAGAGATTCCATCACTTTTCAAAATGGCGGTTGGATTTAAAAGGGGAATCCCCCGTTTGGCTGTCCCGGATGTAGCCCGGAAGTACCAATATGGAGGAATTTGACGGTTGAAATGTTACACGCAAATATTGCGATCAAAAACGAAAATGTCTTCGTTCTGCCGATAAACCCAGACAATTGTGGATTCAACTACACGAAAAGAATGCTAAATTACCAAGGAATCTATTGAAGTAGGTATCTGAAGTGTAAGATCAGTAAAAAATTCTCCCATGTTGTAATCGCACAGGCAAAAGATTGAGATGTTCACAGGACCATAGTCCGGGAACGGGATAACTAATCGGAACCCTTTAAAAGACAAGCACATGGTATTCAAGGTAAGCTATATAGATGTTTTAATAACTCCAGTGAAACCTCTCCATTGAAACATCTCATAAAATATGAAAATTTGTCAAAGTTGAATACTACAAGTCCCTATTAACCATGAAGCTATAGTGAATTGCTTCTTTCACAAGAATACGTCTCGTGTTGTGTTCTATAGAACATAGGTAATCAAGTCTACTTCTATCACTAGAACACGCCTCGTGGTTGTCCATAGTTTGCAAGATGGGGCAAAATCCCACGGAGTCCCATGGAGTCCCACTGACTTCATGGGGCAAAATCCCAAAAGGTCCCACGAGGTCCCACGCAATGTTAAGTCTATGGAGGTCCCAACTTGCCCCATTGGTGTATACCGGACTTTAGGGCTATATACGAAATTGAGGTTCTTCTTTCACTAGAACACGTCTCGTGATGGCCCTAAAGCCCGGTATACACCAATGGGGCAAGTTGGGACCTCCATAGACTTAACATTGCGTGGGACCTTTTGGGATTTTGCCCCATATTTGCCCCATCTTGCCCCATCGAGTCCCACGAGGTCCCATGAGGTCCCATGAAGTCCCATGAAGTCCCACGTGGGACTCGGTGGGACTCGATGGGGCAAGATGGGGCAAAATCCCACGAAGTCCCATGGAGTCCCATTGAGAATGAACATGTTCATTCTTTCCATGGGGCATCGTGGGATTTTCGATCATATGACGTGTTGTGTGAAGCCCGACATACACCAATGGGGCACGGTGGGATTTGATGGGACTCCATGGGGCTTGATGGGACTCCATGGGGCACGATGGGGCAAAGTCATCAAGGTCCCATGGGACTTTGTGGGATTCGATGGGGCAAATTTGGATTCGATGGGGCAAGATGGGACTCGATGGGGCAAGTGGGATTTTGCCCCATTGGTGTATACCGGGCTTTATAAAGGTACTAAATGGGGTTCTTCTTTCACTAGAACACGTCGTGTCCATTTGCAAGTAATTTTGGGTCGAAATGGTCAAATGTAAACCCCTTGGAGTAAAGTAAAGGACGACTATGAGTCTGTATCGTGGTGGGTCATTGGACAAAATATAGAATGCTTCTTCTTTCACTAAATATGTCTCATAGTATGTCAAATGGCTTATTTTACTTTGATTGTGAAACAGCAACTTCGAAAGGCCTACAGTATACCCCGGGATATATAATGTGTATCATGTGTGTGCAAAATAAAAATAATGTCAAAAATGTAGTTTATCATACGTCAATATACAGATATAGACTCTGAATAAGAGATATACGCATTCATTCATGTCATTTTATACTCGTAATTGACATACTTATTTTATTTATATTTTACATAGTTGAAGAACAGGCACAATCTCCCATCGATCGAGCAGATAAACAGATTGCTTTGGATCTGGATGAGACAGAAGGTGAGTTGTCTTTAAATAATTTGACGCCGTAACTACGTACTTAATGACTTTTTTTTATCCCACCGAACGAAGTTCTTAGGGAAATAGAGAAGCCGACCGTCCGTCTGTGTGTAAGGGCGATAACTAATTAAAATGCCCGTTTAATTCAAAATGGTCACCACTCCATAAAAATGTAACATCTGATAACTCAAATAATAATTTGGTTCAAATTTTATACGTATAAATTCACTTATCTTACAGGAACTGACGAAGAGAGAATCGAAGATGTCAAAAGTGATATTACAGGTAATGAGAGACACTTGATAAAAATAGGGTAATTGGGAAGCACCCTTCAAACAAAATATAATTTGGCCAACACCCTCTGCTTTCACATTTCGTTAACATACGTATGCCTCATCCCCCAAGTCTGCCAATGGGAATTGTGAAATTCGATTAATTAAGACATGTTGGTTGTTTGAGTACTCTTAAACAATTTTAATTTAATCAGTCTTTAACAAAATAATTATCTACGGGTAAAAATGGAAATGCTGTCGCTATTTTCCTCTTTTTTATTTTAAGAAATTACTCACTGATATTTGGCACATTTGTCCATCATTCAATTTTCTAACACATTTGATAACCATCGGACTGATAGTCACAATGTTAATGTTCATCCTCCTGTGGTATAGCCAAAAGATATGAGTAAAATGCATGGTTTCGAATTACGTTAACCCTGTAGTACAAATAGCTGTTTGCGAATGCTCCTATAACATTTAATACAATTGATCAAGATATAATAATGGATTATTTGAAGCACAATCGTGTAAATGTTGGTAATTTAATTTGATTTATTGCAGAAACTGAACTTGAAGGGGTAATGAAAAGAGTGCTGGAAATAATGAAGAAGATGGATAGATGTGACAGCGGCATTACACGATTTATTTTCGTCTAGTGCAGAAAATATGCCTTTACTTTACCCGGGAGATGACACTCACATTCTGCAACTCCGTATACACGGATACATAAATGATTGATGGTCATGAAACCAGTTACATAAACTAAATATAATTACTATTTAAGTATATTTCAAATTAAAATCATTTAGCTTGTTGATAGAATAACACAAAAGCACAATATTTGTCCAATTTATGGAAAGTTTGGTTTTACACTAGACTACCGTAAATAACAATAAAGAGTACGTCATTAGCCTACATTTGCTACTTTATCTTAACGAAGTCACTCAAGTCTTGAAGTATCATGCAGCCTACCCCTTTTGTTGAATTATTTGTATGCTGGTATGCATGTTATCAGTACATGTATACGCCTAGCCTGGTACCGCCAAGAAGGGGACGGGTGAATTAATGGAGGGACATGTTCAGTAACTGACTAATGTCTAATAGTCCCAGGGGGAACATGATCCTGTATATATTGTCGCACAGTCGATTGGAACGCAATCGGTTTTCCTACTTCATTTAGTCTACTTGAAAAAATGTGACGATTATCTGTGATGGATAAGTCATTTATTTATTGAGCATCGGGGAGCATTTATGTATATCAGACATGACAAGAGATGTTTCTAGACTTGAAGTCATATAACTTAAAATTCCCCATTTTTCATTCTTCAGAGCTGTAAAATCCAGCTTCATATTACATTGTACGTTTTATGAGTTCATTTTGAAATACAAGAATTTTGGTGAAGTTGTAATAGAAATAAAAATAGTAATAGAAGAATAATAGAAATATTGCCCCCCCCCCTCCGCCCCTTCAATTATTTTTTATATTACGTATGGGAACTTAATTACTCAGCAATGACATTAATTTTGTGACGATAATGTCACTTACAAGTTTTTTAATTACAGGTCGTGTAGACCATTCTTGCTTGACTAGCAAAACATTGACTTTCGGACGTTTGCGGCATTTCGCCTTTTACATCATATACTTTAATCCGGAATACTTACAATATTTTACCATACCGTAAGCCTATTCATTTGGCCATTCAATCGTAAACTAAATTTTGTCTTGAAAAAGTAAATTTTCCAGATTTGTTGACATTTCTACCAGAATTTGTCTGCTCCCCTCCGTCCAATTTCTACGATCACCGGCCATGGGATTGAATAGAAACTCACTCCATGTCAAAATACAAATGGCTACAACCAATAACAACAGTCAATGACATTTAGATATCTTATAACAACAGACAGGGCCGTCCATATATTCATCCCATTGAGTTAGCTTCATTCCCCGTTTCAGTTAGCTTCATTCCTACGTCATCACTAACTTCAGTTAGAGTCATTCTAAGTGAAGCCGTTTTCTTTCAATTTCTCTAATATCGCGGGTGCGTGAGCCTTTATTTGTGGTTGTTTACAATAATATCTTTATGAGTTTGCATGGCGAAACTTTTGGGATCAAGATTCAGCTTGGTTTGGCTGTAATTGGAGATTTATCGGAAACGAACGAATTTTGTCCACCATCTTGAATGAAGCTAACTGCAGTTAGAGTCATCCAGTTGTGGAACAGTGATTATATGATCTTCGGCCCCCGGTTTACGGCAACCCTATTAATGCTAGTATGCGCAATCCTTATCAACTTACCCCTTTCTAGGAACAGACGGCCTGAAGATGCAGTAATCCCTAACCTAAAAGTCTCTATCTTATAGTTGTCAGGAAACGTAGGTCGCGGAAAATTTTGAAAGATCGTCTTCCATTCCACATCGATTCTGTTTATGCTGTAGATCAAAATATGAAGCTGATAATCATTACACTTGATTAATTAATAATGTAAAATCGACTGTAACAAGCTTAACAAATGGACAAACATAAGTTATCACTCATAATACAAGCTGATGAGGGGGTCTCGCCTCGGTTTCCTTTACCCGGACTGTCTTAATCTTTGCCGTATTAGTTCATTTAACACATTAGGCAAAGCAATGAATGTTTGAGAACATATTTAATATAGGCTATCACTTTGAAGAGAAAAACATTTCAATTTCGGAATGTATCTGAAAAACACTAATGGATTTAGAAGTGTATATCATTACTGGTCAGTATCAAGCGAAGCTTACGGCCATCACCTTCGCATTTAAGATGGCGGACGGTAATAGTCTACATGCGAGTAGAAATAATCTTGATTTACGTCATTAATATTCAAAATTCAGTCAAAGCGATGTCATATTTGAAATCTGCATGTAAATGTACATCTAGAAATATGGTTTCGAAAATTGTCTATCATCTTTGAAAATTTAATTTTTTTGAAAATGTGACTTCTTGTTCGGGTTGATTCCTCATAGACCCCATGTTAGAAAATCACAAAACGTGAATTATCTTTTCTTGTATTGGACGGATAACATTTTCTTTTACTGGACATATTTTAATTTGCCTAACTATTAGATACATAAGGGTGAAATGAAAATTGAACCACGCAAATAGATGTAATTTAAGTTAAAGGGAACTTTCTACTATACTCGCCATGCTATCTGACCCGAACGAGCCACCTGGTGGTGAATCTGGTAACTACCTACTCGCATCTGCGTTATTGTCGATTTCGATATTTTTAGTTTTCATTGAATTAAACTACTTAATAGTTGACGCAATTATTTGATAACCAGGCTTATATGACATTGAAACTGTGGAATATTTCCTGTATCACATAAGCTGAAACGTGTGATGACGATTTTATCACATGTCTAGGAATTTTGAAGCATTTTGATTTGGTCAGTTATGATTGTGTTCGGTACTTCTCAGACGTCATATTGTTTTCCTTAGCTAGAAGTGATATAATCAGTGACGTCACATCGTTGCTATTGATCATCACTGGTTGCCTCTAGTAACGTGTGAGACGGCCGTGTGAGACGGGAAAACTCACACGGTAATCAACCAATCAGATTACTGGAATTTTACAGAGCATGTGATAATATCAGTTATCACACGTTTCAGCATGTGATACAGGAAATATTCCACGAAAGGTAATACTGTATCATCCACGAAAGCGAAGCTTGAGTGGTGATACATTGTTACCCGAGTGGAATATTTCCTGTATCACATAAGCTGAAACGTGTGATGACGATTTTATCACATGTCTAGGAATTTTGAATCATTTTGATTTGGTCAGTTATGATTGTGTTCAGTACTTCTGGTAACTACTATAATTTTTGATTTCGCTTTGAAACAATATGACGTCATACCGTTGTATTCGTACTTGTTTGTGAAATAGTATGACGTCATATTGTTTTCCTTAGCTAGAAGTGATATAATCAGTGACGTCACATCGTTGCTATTGATCATCACTGGTTGCCTCTAGTAACGTGTGAGACGGCCGTGTGAGACGGGAAAACTCACACGGTAATCAACCAATCAGATTACTGGAATTTTACAGAGCATGTGATAAGATCAATTGTTCATATATTGAGCGCCACGATTCATGACCTTTACCGTATCATATATTTCCAGTTACCTTTCCTTAAAGAGGCTCTATGCCATATGATAGCACAATCAAGACCACTCTGGACTTTTTTGCATATCGAGTTTCACCAAATATATACCCATCGACTTACCAAAGAAGAAGTCCAAAATCCCCCTCTTTCAGTGTTAATTTTGCGATTGTGCTGGCCGATCTAATTATTTTCGAAGAAATTAATTCAATTTGAAGTTTGACTATTCCGGGAAAGTCCTCCTGTTATCTGATTGGTCGTTCAATTTGTTTATCATCAACCTGATTGGCTCCCTGGTTCAAGGCGCTTGTGGGCACTTGTGTGACAAATTGGGGATTCCCCTCGATAGCCGGGGAATCGATTGTGTTTAATTCTGGTTGTTCTGTTGATTATTTCCGATATTTCGGCAATAATATACCCAAAAGTCATTCTCAAGATATATCCATGGTATGTGAGATATTATTAGACTCCAGATGAAATCTGGAGTCTATTGTTTTCGTCAGTTTTCTTATTCTTCTTCTTCTTCTTTTTCTAAACCAGTTTTCTCAATAACCATAAGGTCTTCAGTGAAGTCAATCATTTGGTCAATTTAGGTCCAGTATCTAGTTCCTCGGAAATTGGGTCAAATTTTTATCTAGGTCAAAGGTCAAGAACTAGGTCAAATCCAGTACTTTGTCACTTTTTTCGATTTTCTCGGTCGTCCTTCAATATTTTCGATCCGGGTTTTTTTCATTGTGTTCCTTATAAAAAAGTAGGAAACCTAGGGTCGATTTAGTTTTTTGATATCTCAAACCGATTTCGAGATATCAGTGTCCGAAAACGAGGTCCAAAAATAAGTTCTTCGAATCAAATATCCGTTTTTGTACCGTTCGTAGTAACGAACGTTCGTAAGTCCATTGTTTAATTTGCGAATTTCGCAAAGTTGCATTTTCGTAAGATTCGTAAAGTTACGAACGATTCGTAAATTTACGAAAATAGTGACGTCATGCCTGTTTTCGTTCGTAGATTTAATACCACCTCTGACCCTTTCGTAACTTTGCGAACGGCCTCTTATTTATTCATTTATATTGTGATTTGTGACGTTTTGTCATTCTAAATCAGAGAACACAAAGGGCAACACCGTTATCAACGCATTATCAACCTATTTCTATATCTATTTTAGTACTTTTCAAGGAATCTTTATTTTAATAAAGTTCTTATTGTATGACTTTGGTTTTATTATTTTGATCAACCCTGTTTGTTGTACTATCTGTCCTGACAACTGTGGAATATGACGTCAACCTATTCGTTAATCTTACTCTAAACAATTGGAAAGTTACGAATGACTTACGAAAGCGTACAAAAATGATCCATTCGCAACTTTACGAATTCGTAACTCATTCGTAACTTTTTAAATATTTACGAATTTACGAATTGCGAACGTTCGTTACTACGAACGGTACAAAAACGGGGCCCAGGATATTAGTCTTATGGGAAATTTTCTCAGAATTCTGAATCTGAAAACCAAAACCGAATCAGACTTCCTGTTAGGAAGTTACTGTTAGGAAGTTATGTCGTTTTGAAATCTCAAAAATCGCTAAATTTGGTGCCCATGTTAAGTCAATGGGAAAAAAGATTTTTTTGAAGTGAAAAATACGAAATATAGACTGAGTTCAGCTAAATATAATGAAAGCTTTTAAAAGAATGGGACCTCAAAAGCCATCTAGCTTTAAAATTTGGACATCAAAATGCCTAGGTCAGAATCTAGGTCAAATTCAAAGTTTTTTCTTATTTTTGCGATTCTGACACTACAGATTAATTATATTCTTCGAAATTTTGTATACATGTAGCCAACAGTGTGCTAATAGTGTTAGCCTTTTGCCGTCAGAAAGTATTTTGCCCCACTTTTGAGATAGGGTGTCCGAAAAGTAGGTCAAAATAAAAAATTCTCCAAATTTGACGTTTGAGTTATGAATTAAGTATAGAATTTTCTCGGGAATCCGAATCTGCAAACTAAATTTCAATCCGACTTCTGGTTCGGAAGTTATGACATTTTGAAAGCTCAAAAATCGCTAAATTTGGTCCCCCCTGTTATGTCTGTTATGTTTTTCCCATTGACATGTTATGTCAATGGGAAAAAAGATTTTTTTGAAGTGTAAAATACAAGATATGGACTAATTACAGCTTAAAATAATGAAAGCCTATGAAAGAAGGGAACCTCGAAGGCTACCTAATTTTTCAAAATTTGGACACCAAAATCCCTAGGTCAAAATCTAGGTCAAATTCATAGTTTATCCTTATTTTTGCGATTCTGACACTACACTTTAATTATATTCCTCGAAATTGTGTATACATGTAGCCAAGAGTGTGCTAATAGCGTAAGCCTTTTGCCGTCAGAAAGTATTTTGACCCACTTTTGAGATATGGTGTCCGAAAAGTAGGTCAATTTAAAAAGTTCTCCAAATTTAACGTTTGAGTTATGAATTAAGAATAGAATTTTCCCAGAAAACCAAATCTGCTAACCAAATTTCGATTCGACTTCCGGTTCCGAAGTTATGGCGTGTCCGAAAAGTAGGTCAAAATAAAAATTCGCCAAATTTAACGTATGAGTTATGAATTAGGAGTAGAATTTTGTCAGGAATCCGAATCTGCAAATCAAATTTCGATCCGACTTCGGGTTCGGAAGTTATGGCGTTTTGAAATTTCAAGAAAAATCGATCTGATGGTATCCTGATAGAAAGTCAAAAGTGGAGAAGAAAATATTGAAAAATGCATCCATCCTTCCTTTCTGATCCTATCCTATCCTTCCTATCTACCCTTGCTTCGTATCCTCTCCTTCCTATCCTTCCTATTCTATCCCTTCTTTCTATTCTATTCTATCCTTCTTTCCTATTCTATCCTATCGTTCCTTCCTATTCTATCCTATCCTTCCTTCCTTTTTCATCCATCCATCCATCCATCCATCCATCTTTTGCTGGATGACTTAGCTTATTTTGGATGACTTGGCTTATTCTGGATGACTCGGCTAAAAAAAGTCTAGATCTGGAGTCTGAAATTGAACTCGTTCAATTTCCAAAATCTAGTTATATGAGCAATAACAATAAGAAATCATTGATTGTCTGGGGGAGAAACCTATGGCATAATGCATCTTTAAGCGGTGGAAGATATCGTTGAACTGTGTCGCCCACGCACGATATATGATAAAATTGTCATACTACAGAGTTTCCATGTCATATATGCCTGATATAGTTCAAATATCAAAGCATTAGCACTGTGTACTACTTACCTCAACATGTTTGTGTATATAGCTGTGATAGGTAGAGTGTCGTTGCATTGCGTTAATACTTTGTTGTCGTTTTCAACCATAACCAATGTCGCCTCGCACTTTGGAAAATCAGGTTTTGCTTCAACTAATCAACGAAAACTTTGATTTGTAATTTAAAATAAATATGATATAACACGGACCTGCAGAAAGTCCGTGGATATAAGAACGAAATGCTTCAATTTTTATTCACCTTTGATTTTGTAAATATATATATGTCGTGATATTTTAGTTAATTTCAGTTTCTTTAAATAAGACCTCCATAATCATTCTTTCTTTGAATATATTCAAGATCTCTTGAAGTACAATATATGAAAATGTACGTAATAAAAAGAAAGAAGACATCAAAATCCAAGAATGCCACAAATTAACGCAATTTAATAACATGGTTTGCTGAGAGTTTGACGCATTTGGGGTTTAAAGAAATATTTCACAATCATGCAGAACAGTGTGTTTGAATCTCGAATACTCACTTGTAGTGCAATGGTAGCCAGAAAATCCATCTGAACAGGTACATATGAGCCCCGCTTCACATGTTCCCGGGTAACACAAATTACTTCTCCATGAACACAATTCTTGAAATGTAAAAATTCAATGCATAGAACAAAAACTTTTGGTTTATATTACATGCCAATGAGGTGTGTATTAATGATTAACTTTCCTGTTATCTCCTCAAAATCTGCTTGGAACTATGAAACATGAATTGAGACGAAAAATTAAAGAATGACGGCGAAAATTGGAAAAAATAGGATTTAACCTAGGTCTTGATCTTTGACCTAGATAAACATTTGACCCAATTTCCGAGCATCCTTGACCCAACCCAAAAGTAACCATGTAAGCAGATTTAGGTTAACTCTTCTAGTTTGGTAGAAAACGTGTGTAGACATTTTTCTGAAAAACGTCCGATGGAAAGCAATAATTAAGACAGATGAATCTGGAGTCCTAATAATACTGATGCGACCAGGCATACGTGAACTTCAAAAGCTTATAACTCGAGAAGTAATGGGATGATTTCAATTCGGTTTGCAGTTCTGAAGTGCTTATGATGCCCGCCTCTGAAGCAGATAGAAAACATGTTCGAATATTCAACGGAGGCCCCAGAAGACAAAATAGCGACGATCCGTCATACGTGAACTTTAAACGCTTATAACTCGAGAAGTAATTGGCCATCTTAATTTGGTTTTCAATTTTGAAATGCTTACGATGTCCGCTTTTGAGGCAGATAGTAGATCTTCGAATTGATGTTTTAAGGAGGCCCTTGAAGTTAAAAAGTGAAACCTTGAAATGCCATTGCTTACATTAAAATATTAAAACTCGAGCCAGAAGTACAAAGATCCGTTGCTAACGCTTACTTCACCTCTTACCTCAATTCAAAGCTAACCTTAAGTCTCGCTCTAACTCTAGCACTGACTCTAACCTTAACCCCAACCCTAATTGTGGCTCCAACCCTAGGAAGGAAATGATAGGAAGGAAGGAGAGATAGAAATGATAGGATAGAATAGGAAGGAATGATAGGAAAGAAGGTAGGGAGGGAGGGAGGGAGGGAGGAAGGAAGGGAAGGAAGGAAGGAAGGAAGGAAGGAAGGAAGGAAGGAAGGAAGGAAGGAAGGAAGGAAGGAAGGAAGGAAGGAAGGAAGGAACGGGGAACGGGGATAATCAATAGAAGGTTAAAATGTAAAATTTGACCTAGTTATTGACCAAGATAAAAATTTGTTGGCTATAGGATATTACTTACCAGCACATGTACTACCTCTATTTTCATACGCTCTCCCATGCGTTCCATAGTCATGTTCACATCTTTCACAATTCGCACTGCAATTACCGTCGACGTTACGACATATGGTATGGTTACAGCCATCTATGGGGTATTCTGGAATAGAAAAAGAACACATTAAATTTTCATAAACGCTCTTTGGTAACTGATCTATTTTCTGAATTATGGCAACATATCCATTTGTTAGCATCCGGGTCATCTTGGATGTCCACATAAATTAAGGGTTAAATTACTCTGGGAAAGACATGGCTGAAATTGTTTCCCCCTAAAACATAGTCACAGACACCAAAACCACTACACCCTACCTGAATTATGGCGTAACATACATGTATATGAGCCAGGTCACAGGAAAGGGGTCTTTTCAATATTCTGATTGTTTGTTTATCTTCAAAAGCAGAAGGAGATCTTTTAAATAAGCCATGGCTTATGTCTTATTATTTTTTCCTTAATAAACTGATTAAAAGTGAAGTTAACGTTGTAGAATGATGTGAAGGACATAATCTAAGAGACTGTAGGTTAGAGACACGATTCGACAGAGACAGTACGGGTGAGGTTTGAGTTTTATATTTTGATTTTCTAATTCAGTGAAGGATTTGTAGAAAAAACCGGGTACCGGGTAGTAAATCCTCCATGCTGGGTTCAAACTTGGTACCCGGTACCCGGTCGAAAAAAACGGGTACCCAAAAAACGAATATATAACATAATAAGATCATTAGAAAACGTGTAAGATTTGTTTTGAATTTACAAAAATGTATGTAACTTCCTTCAAAATTGAGCCAGACGCTTCAAAAAAGCATTTGAATGCTCTTTTCTTCCTCTATCATCATGGTCATATTTTCATTGGTTATGGGGGGTGCGATCGCACCAACGACTCCCCTCCTGGCTACGCCTATGACATTGTAAGACGATTTGAAAAACATGACAAATCAATCTTACTCTATCTTTAATAGTTCGTATGTTGGTACGTGAATTGTTTTGATTATGATTTAAATCTGTAAATAGCTATCGTTACTTCAGCAGAGAGGTGACGTGTGTTAATTTACATGATGCAACGTGTACGATTTTGATTATTAATCATAATTTAAGTTATCCCAATTTTCGACGAAACGTCCACTGAAGTGTAAATTGTTACGTCTTGCAATGTCATAGGCGTAGCCCCTCCCCCCCCCCCCAAAAAAAAAGAAACCAATGAAAATATGACCATGATGATAGAGAAAGAAAAGAGCCTTAAAATGCTTTTTATTTGAAGCTTCTAGCTCAATTTTGAAGGAAGTTACATACATTTTTGTAAATTCAAAACAAATCTTACACGTTTTCTAATGATTTAATTATATTATATATTCTTATTTTTCGTTTTTTGGGTACCCGTTTTTTTCGACCGGGTACCAAGTTTGAACCCAGCACCGAGGATTTACTACCCGGTAACCGGTACCCGTTTTTTTTACAAACCCTTCAGTGATCCCGATTTGGAACCTATATGTAGATCAGTTGTGATAAAGCATCATTTTTGAAGGGTGCTTATGTTTTGTTATGTGCTAGCTGTTTTAATTGCATCTTGACAATTTCTAGTTGTTCTACAGGATGTCAAATAAATACAGAGTGGTCGAATAAAACGGCATCCCTGCCGCTATTTTCCCCATATCGTTGTCATTTTAGAAAAATTCTCCCTGATATTTGGTACATGTGTACATCATTCAATCTCCTACCAGCCTACAGTATTTCATGATCATCAGAGAGATAGTTACATTCCTTGGCCAATATTGCGCTGTGGGCAAACCTCACACCGGAATAGCCTGACAACGGTAAAGTCAGATACAGTTGTCACAAATGGCGGACATAACCGTCACTTCAACTCTTTAATCACTTGGTCCTCATTTCAAGGGATTTTATCGTCGCTATTCTGTGCATGTATTAAGCTCTTGTAATTATGTATCATAGTAGCCCGGACAGAATTGTTCAATGGTCACTTTTTCTTTAATAACTTTGCTAGTTTTCAGTATTATCAAAATCTAATTACATATTTGAAAACTAGAGTAGAATTCTGACATAGAAAAAAATATTTAAGGAACATCTCTTAATTTATTGGTATTATAGGCGTTCATAGTATGAGTGACGCAAATGCATAATTCACCATTTTGTCTCATATTTGTTCAAAAATGGTGGTATGCATTGTGGATTTGTATGTTCAGTTGAAAGTTAATCTTACTGTAGTTTTCAGATTAAGTATTTCAGATTTTGGTAAAACTGAAAATAAAAAAAGTTATTAAAGAAAAAGTGACCCTTGAACAATTCTGTCCGGGCTACTATAAAGTCCCAATTTCGACTTAGATATCGGCGAAAGGAGTTTCAGTTTCGTTCAACTCAGAGCAAAATTGAAGCTGAGCTAAACGGTTTTCGTTTGTCGTAGAATTGACCTCCTTTCACTACGCCATCTGGCGAATTGATCATTGTTTTCTTGTCATTTGATTCGTTGTTTTGCGTCACGTGACCTACCTTTAGACCTTTTGCCACCTATCGTAAATTAATCGAATTAAAATGAAAGTTTCGATCCAAGAAGAAAATTTGCAAAAATTATGAACTCCGCTTGACATAATCCTTGTCACTCTATTATCTTCTTCATGAGACACATCGGAACTTGGGATTCATAGCCATTCAACCAAGCCACAAAAAGTATGTATATTAGTTGTTCAACATGTTCAATTGTGTAATATTTCCGGGCACTCGACCTTTAATTGTTGAAAGGAACGCGTTTGTCAGATGATAAATCGGAGACTTAATAAGAAAGCATTAAAACGTTTTTCTTGGAACGATTTACCTCTACATCTACTAGGACTGATGGAATAGCATTTCATATACTCTTTATCATCGTTCATGTTATAACAATTTTGTCCTCCATATCTCGGTGATGGATCATTACAACGACGTTCCCTTTTTGAATAACAGTCGTCGCTACAACTCTGCCCATATTGGCCCCATTCTGACCATGCACCATTAACTGAAAAACAAAATGAATCAAAGAAAATCTGTAACATCGATCGAATGTTGTATATTTCAACGGGCTATATTTCATTGTGTATAACCCAAACGCTCGTACATTCACACTGGAGCGTTTCATTACTGAATCCAAACAAGGAATTAGAAACGCCCCAGGATAAAAATTGCGAGTGGAAATAACCATCCGTCCAACGATTTCGATAATAGGGAGATTAAGCTTGCAATGTTTTTCACAACCTAAACGTCAACGGAAAATATTTAAGCGATGCATCTGTATGGGCGATTGGTAATACGTATGGGTTGGCGTTTCGATTTTTATATGCAAGCTTAAACTCCCTATTAATGGGAATAAAAGGTATGTGCTACTTGTTTCGTGTATTCTATGGGTGTGATATTCATGTTTTACTTGGCTTATTGTTGATGTTTGCAACAATTTGGAAGAGGTTTATGAAGGAATTATCAAAATTAGTAAAAGCATTTGCTGATTCATATGATTAGTTGAGTCAAAATAAGAGCATCGAATAACTAGTCAAATCACAAAGATATACCATCTGTCCGAAAATCCAGTCTAAAAATGATGACATTCTCATTTTCAAGAATCGCTGCGGTCGAGTTTACATGTGTAGACGGAAACACTGCGGTATTCTAGGTATGTGGAGGGAGTACATTGAATTAATTTTCCTTTTTCTATAAAGTAAAGTGGTAAGTGTTCGGGTTGCGCGGCATTTGTGATACGGGTGAATATGTCATACAATACTCACCTGCGGTATATGGCATATTCCGCAGGTGAGTATGCGATATTCCGCAGTGAATAGGCGATACATTGATTTCAGTGAATACCCGATACTCACCTGCGGAATATGTCATACTCACTTGCAGAATATGCCATACACCACAGGTGAGTATGGCATATTCACCCGTATCACTACCCTGCGTGCAGAGTCTAGTTAAACTACACTCTGCCTAGTAGAGACCATATTACAGTTTAGTAGCCCCGCCCCAACGACGGGTACCGGTGACAGTTTGAGTAATAAATCACTTCTGACCTACGCGCTGACCTTTCTTCCACCATTCAGCGAGTTTGAAGAAACACACGCCAAATGCGTTCTTTAATATGCATATTTAATGCGTTCTAATTAAATATGCTCATGTCATTGGTCAATTCCGGGCTCAACGATGACATCAGAAGGAATGACCATATATAGAACGTCTGTGAAGGCCCAAGTATTCTTGGCTACCCATCTATTCTGATTCTTGCCGAAGTATACTGACCTGACCCAAGTATTCTGGGTTTACTTATTTTTTCGAATACACTCAATAGATGTCTGCGTTAGTTTTTTAATCATTTGTCAATGGATTCCACGTATATTCAAAAGATGGCTCCTGAAATTAATTTGGAAACCACTCATGTTTTTATAAATGATATAAATGACTACCTCCGCTCGGTATGTAAAACATACTATCATTGATTTAAGAAAAATAACAAGGGCGGAGGACCCTATTATTAAATATGCGTGTTGTATCATACATAAGGTAAAACGCAATGGTCGATCTGGTGGAGGACAGGGGCCCGGCCCTCCCCTTTGGAGGGCCCCAAACAGTGAGGGCCAAAAAACGTATAGGGCAAAAAATCTTCCCTCTCCACATAAATTAAGCAATTAAGGTAACAACTCGGCATTACTGAGCATGATTTATTTTATTTTTGAGCCTGTTTTTATAAACTGGGCTCAAATTTTCAGATTTAGGACCCCCTACTCTTGATTTTCAGATCCGTCCCTGGAACGTAAGTATTTTTTACAGCCACTGTATATCTTCTGTGCGCTTTTTACTTTTTATGTAAATTTGGACCAAAGGATCTAGTGCACTTTCCATTATGATTTCCCCATGAACAAAATTATTCATTTTAGGTGTAACATAAAGAACACAATGTCACATAATACTTCGGAAAATATCTAAGCATTTGGACCCACATGGGCTGAGGTTGAGGTCATTGAGTTCAGCAAGGGTGTATGTGTTTCATCGAGATGTTGATATCATCAGATTCCAATGAAGGTCATTGGTTTCTATTGATTTTCACAAAAATACTTAAAATACACTATGACCTGAATCGATTGCAAATTAAATAATTTCACAATATGACACAACTGGTATATCACATCAGATGTGCAAATATAAAGTTTGCAATCGATTCAGGTGATACTTCAAATGAAAAGATTATACATTTTTTCATCATTTTTTCTTACAAAATGGCTATAGAAAAATGCTTCAAAAGCAACTTTTACACTTATGAAATGCCATATAACTTTGTAAATCCAAAGATTATACTGTTATGTTTCATTAATTCATAACATATTTGGATAAGATGTAGGGATGTGTAGGATGCAAATGGATTTTGACAGACACAAAAATACTTCCTGATTTGGCATCTCTACCCCTGTACACTTTATGATTGAATATTGGCCCTAATAAGTGGCCCATTCATCAATACAGTGCTGAATATAGGTCAACAGGATACTAATGTACATATAAATGTAATAATAAAAGCAGTATATTCATTTCGAAAATTCAGATGAATTTATTTTTGTTCATGGGGAGATCATAATGGAGGGCGCACTAGATCCTTTATTCGTGTAAATAAACATGAGAGTATTCCTGAAAACAAAAATCCAATAGTAATAAAATGATTTCCTCGTTACGATTTTATGACATCTTTGCTAGTGACAGTGACAGCAATTTATTTTAACAAGGCATTAACATGCAAAATGTCGTCCCTGGCATTTGTTACAGGCGCCGAACGCCAAGCACAGAATGCCGTCCACAAAAAGTTAGAGACTATAACAATATGTCACCACTTGTAGACTCCCACTCCTTGATGCGTATCAATTAAATCTTTAACCATAACGTGCACCTATTCGCTGGCATTTAGCAAATACATATGTAATTCGTAAACTTTCTAGGAGAAGTCGGCTGAGCTTGACAAAAACATCAAACCTGAGAAGGTCAGAGTCGACAAAAAAATATTCAATTAGCGTTGAATTTATCAGATAAAATATGTTTGAATTTCAGTAAATGTAGCTACATGAATTTTCAATATTTAAATCTTGGTCACTATATCAGCCTGCTCAGCGCTCTTTATGTAGTTTATTTTCCCATACACCCAATGAATTCATCTGTATCTATGTTAGAAGTCTCTTATTAGTCTATAAACACAAACATGCCGAGATTAGAAGTAAGCTTAATACTATAATCTATATTAGTACATTAACACTTCTAAAACATAGTTGAAAACATTTTTATGTCTGTTTAATAGATCAAGATTTTTTGCAACTGGAAACATGAGACACAAGATCTAAGGTCATGTGTAATATGAGAAACCTGTGCTGCAAAGCAAGACCGAGGAGGCTGATTGTACAAAGTTACAAACCACAATAAAAAACAAGACATCTATCGAGTGTATTTGAAAAAATTAGCAAACTCGGAATACTTGGGTCAGGTAAGAGTCAGAATAGTTGGGTAGCCAAGTATACTTGGGCTTCCACAAACGTCGGTCAAATTTGGCCGACGAACACTGATTGGCGCGGTGAGTTCACAGGTTTATTTTAGTTTGAAAGAGTGAAAACGAAGCTCTCTTTTAAGAAGTGAAGTCAAACGAATGCAAAGGGTACCGTATCACAAATGCGAATGTTAGATTTATCTTGATATTGTTGATTAGATCCAGTTATTTTTGTTTGGATGCGTTCCTATGGCAACGGAAATCTTGACCTGGATGTGAAAGCTAAATTACATAAGTACATACACGGGGAGTGGCTGTGCATTTCAAAGATTGTTATAAATGAATTATTTTTGACAGCTTTTTAACTCTCAGTCAACAGTCTAATTATATTATTATGTCTCACTTGGGATTTTAGAAACCATTCAAAATTTGAACTGAGGGCATCACATTGAATTTGATCTAGCTGGTCGAAGAGCATCCTTTTCGAAACGAAAAACAGCGACATATCTAATAAATATGCAGTGAATGATCATATGAATTTAGGTTTGTTTATTAAAAAGACTGCGATAGGATGCATAAGTGACGCGAGATTCAACTTAGTATATACAAGGGCCGAGCAATATATTCGCTAATTTTTGCTTTATTTTCTTTTATATTTGTTTATTTCCATTGAAATTTGGTACAGACATAGAGTGAAGAATTGCGCATCTTTTGCCCATTGCCAAATATGGCAAAAAATTATGGTTGTCATAGCAACGGGAGGAATGAGCCACCGGAGCTGCCCATAATTTTACTGCAATTGCACATGCAACAATATCTTTATATGCCCATTTCTCATAACAAAAACATTCAGTTTGGGTAATTTTTATAAACATTGTTTACTGGACATTGATCCAATATTCAGAACAATGGTTGCGATGTCATAGATGTTCTTTTCAAACAATAAAGAGGTCACAATTGATCTGCATATGCATCACAAAAGGGAGACTCTGCTTCCTGAGTTGCATCAAGAAGCAAGCATGGTAAATGCAAATCTAAAAGAACAGAGGCTTTGTATAAAAATATCAGTGAAAAAGGGACAAACATTAAAAAAAGCTGTGGAGGACTGTAGAACTACATATGGGGAAGCTTGTGGGAGCAATTACTTTATTAGACATTGGTTTAAAAGGTTTGAACTGGGACGCAACTCAGTTGATGATGACATTTTCGGCAAACTGAAGAATGAGCTACGCGGGCAGAGGTTTGGTGACCGTGAAGAAGTGGTGGAGGCCGTCCATAAGGCCCTAAAAGACCTATATGGAAATGGAAACGGACTGCAACAGGCCTATCAAGACTGGCTTTCCCGATGTAGAAAATGCATAGCTGCAGATGGACACTATTTTGAGAATGAGGCGTGGAATGAGGAGTAACTGTCTTAATTAACAAAAAGGACATTTTGTATAAAAGTTGTTTTCTGAAACATTGTCACAAATGTCAGCTCCGGTGGTCACTATCAACCAATATTCAATGCCATGTAAAATATTACGGATGTAACCAAATAAATGCACATTTGGTGATATTACAGAAAAATGTTTTTTCTATTATTTTGGAAAATTTCAGGTAAGATACTTTATTATTAACAATTTGAGAGCAAAAAGTAGCGAATATATTGCTCGGCCCTTGTATATGATATTTATCGTTTTTATGGCTTAAACGAAAAAACTTACACTTTGAACGAGGGAAATCAACTGTGAAGGTCACGTGACAACTATCCTCCGTGCAAACGGTAGATAGATAAATCAGCTTATAAATAGAGGATATCCTATGATTTACGAGTGATATGATTTTTATCCACGAATGGATATGATATGTGCACGAGCGAGCGTAGCGAGAGAGTGCAGATATCAATATCCATGAGTGGATTAAAACCATATCACGAGTAAATCATAGGATGTTCTTTTTATTCCATAGTTAAAGTCATCATCAGAATTGTCGGAAATTAAGTTATTTAATTCGAATTTTCCAAACGATCCGGCGATGTTTTAAATTCTAGTAAAATTCCAACATGGATTCAGGTCAAAGCACTCATGTGAAACACAACTTGTCAATACAATAGAGAATATAGCCCGGGCCCTCGACAACAATAAACAAACAGACATGTTGGTATTAGACTTTTCCAAAGCGTTTGACACGGTGGCTCACGAACGCCTCTTGCTCAAACTCGACTATTATGGAATTCGCAATAATAACTTGAACTGGTTCAGATCCTGGCTTGTGGGAAGATCACAACAGGTAGTGCTCGATGGTGAATCAAGTTCAAAAACTCCAGTAAAATCAGGAGTTCCTCAAGGAACAGTTCTTGGACCACTCTGTTTCCTTGTTTATATCAATGATATGGGCAATAACCTATCATCCTCAGCCAGTCTTAAGCTTTTTGCCGACGACAGCCTTTTATTCATGACAGTCGAAAGCAAGCAAGATGCATTAACACTACAGGAGAATCTTGATAAACTGGTCTCCTGGGCATCAACATGGCAAATGAAATTCCATCCATCAAAATGCTATGTGCTAAATATTCACAAAGGTAAATCCCCTATCATGCACAATTACACCATGCTAGGGGAAAACCTTAAGTCGGTAACACACATCCCATACCTAGGAATTGACATCACAAATAACTTACGCTGGACTACACATATTCAAACTATTGTATCCAAAGCCAATAAGGTGCTTGGATTTCTCAGGCGCAACCTCCATCAATGCCCTGAAAAAGTGAAGGCTCAGGCGTATAAGTCACTAGTCCGGCCTAATTTAGAGTATGCCAGCTCGGCATGGGATCCATACCGACAAAAAGATATTGATATGTTGGAACAGGTACAGAGAAGAGCAGCCAGGTTTGTAACCAAATGTCACTCAAGGGAACCAGGCTGCGTCACCAAAGCTCTTCAAGACCTACAGTGGGAGCCACTGAAGGAGCGTCGAGAGGCTGCTAGAGTTTTCCTTTTCTACAAAGGAAAGCAGAACCTAGCAGCCATCGACGTGCCTCCATACTTCCGCCAACAGATCAATACCAACACTAGGTTGTATCATCCTTCTAAGTTCATACAACCATCAGCTAGAACGGATGCATACAAATTTAGCTATTTCCCTAGGACAATAGCTAAATGGAACACTCTACCTGGTGACATCTTAGACTGTGACAGTCTAAGTAGTTTTAAATCATCATACTATGCCTATGTCAATAATTGCAATTAAATAGGTGTGTTTTTAATATAGATCTATGTTTTAATGTAAAGGGTCCCCAGTGCACAGCAACAAGCCTGCACTACTGGTAAAAGGGGTGATGTCAACGCGGTTAGCCTGACAGTCTCCCCAGGTAAAATGAGTTGTAAACCATAGATCTATTTTTAAATGTTAAGGTTTTAAATCATATTCTATTCAAATTCTATCACTGTTAAATTATATATCTGCTTTATATGGGCTTATTAGCCTTTTGCAGATTATTGACATAGACATAGACATAGACATGTTGACACTTAGCCTCGTTTTGAGTCTGAAGTAGCAAAAATCCATTAACCATCGCATACGGCGTCGTATGTCATGGCTAAAAAACCGTACGCTATGGTTAAGTGAAAATTTGTCAAAAATATCATATTTTACCACTGATTACAAAAATACCGTTTTTATTTTCACATGTTATCCAATGAATATCATGCTAACTGTGGAATAATACATTTTTAACATTACCTGAAAATCTAAATGATCTTTTGTCTCCTGGGTCAAACCAATATTCTTCGTTCATCTCAAGCCTAACGTCAGTATTTCTGTCCGTAATATCAAACTAAAATACATAAAAGTACAACAAGCTGTGTAAAGTAAATGGCGTTTAGTCCGGTTTCTGTAAAGGAATGCACCCTTTACGAAGAAACAGAACATTCCTGAATTAAATATAAGATCAATTTCTACCACAAGTTTTGTGTTGTTACATGTATAACCATAGAGGAGGTATATAGAAAGTTATGTATTATTTATTGATCTTAAACCACGCATGCATTGTGTTTTTCATTGAATTAATTCTGTGCGAAAGTGATGAAATTCTCAAGTAAAGCTAAACTTTATATCCTCCATACAAAATCACGACCTATTATTGTCAAATACTCATTAATTCTTCATCATTGATGCATGTGCATTGGTATTGCCTTGGTCACATAGGCTCCGATTTTCACTACAGCGCCCGGCCGATGGTTATTTTGTTCGAAATCGGCCGGCGAGCCCGGGCATCGTACGGGCGCCGGGCGATGATCGCCACTCATCGGCCGATTTTTAGACATCGTATGGGCGCCGGCAGAGTTTTATCGCGGTCATCGTACGATTATCTTACGGCGCCCGGTGGCATCGCACGGTCATCTTGGGATTTCGCGTGCTGATTTGTTTGATAAATCTTAATAATGATTACTTAAAAAGTGATATGAAGGTTTTAAAATAATGAGGTAAGGAATTATAATCACTACACACTGTAAGATATTTTTTATAAAACATAAATGGAACGATTAGGCTTCCTGTAAAACAATATGACACACATTTGAATGGCTGGGTGGGTGGGTGGTTGATCTAGTTTTTATTATATTGACATTAATCGTGTATGTCTGTCATAGATAGAGTGATCCATTTTTATGCGTATATTCACTCATGCATATACCATTACAAATCATTTATTTTAAAAACCTTCTGAATGTTTTTGTGGGTACAGTATTTTCAAGGGTCACAATTTTAATACGAAAGTTCACTACGTCTCAATTACAACGTAGTATGCCAAAGGCTAAGGATAGAGGGGATAAGGCCAATGGGACATATATGAGGAAGGTCTTGGGAAGACAGGTCGAAAAGACAATAACAATTCTAGTGAGCTGGTGAATGATGAAGATTTAGATGTGTCTAGGGAAGAGGGTGTACCACTTGAAATAGAAGAAAAAATTGCCAATTTCTTTAAAGATAGGCCATCTTTTTTATGACCAAACTAATTCTCTTTGCGAGAACAGACAAAAGAAAGATGCAGAAATAGGGAATTTTGCTAATAGCATCGGATAGACATAGTATCTGTTTATATGAAAGATCTAAAAATGAATTAAGGTCACAGTGCACTTTGATGAAGAGACCATGTGCAGTATGGCAAGTGATTTTAGACGGTCATATCTTTCACCATGAGTACTTTCAGGGCATAAATACAGTGTTTTTTATTAAAACAATATGTTTTCTTTCAATTGAAGTACCCATGATGATAAAAAATATCAATCAAACAATTCGAAAAATTATGTCAGCATTTTTCTAAATATTGAACCTATTTACTCAAAAGAGGATCTTCTTTTTCTGATTTTTATTGCATGAAAACATTATTATCCTCGAAGTCCTGTCAATCGAAGTATTTCGTTTTCAAATCTTGCATTCACGCCATGTTGAACAGTCATACTGGGTCATACAGGAATTGAATCTAGAGGACCGATGTCCTGGCTGGTGCTGCACGGCCATCGGCAGATAGCCTTGCGATACCCGTACGATGTCTTTCAGATTCAATTGATTGCGGGCGCCGTACGATGCCTGTACTAATGTGACCATACTCACGATTAGATCAAGACATCGGTGAAAAGTCACCGGCGCCCGGTCGATTTAGAAATCGGCCGATGACTACGCATCGGCCGGCGCCCGGCGGCTATGTGACCTAGGCATATATGTGCAACAACAGCATCGATAGTTATTTTTTCGAAGTTAACCTCATGTGTTGTTTGCGATCAGAATTCAGGAATTTTGTTTATGGATACTGTTGTCATGTATTTCGTCTTATTGGTATGACGTCATATAGAAATGATATTAGACATGATGGAATCACGAAATGGCGGACACGTGGCAGTTTTGAGCTAAAAATATTGTCGTTTCTTATATAAAAACCATGGGTCGGATATTTACCAGGTATGCCTATTTGACTAGATCATGAGTATGTCTATATATATGCGAAGTTTGGGTGAAATTCATACTAAACATCGATGCCTATAAGCGCCCCCCGTTTTTGTCAAAATCGGGGGGCGCTAAACCGCTATCTAAATCATGTCAGTAAGACCTTAGACTTGGTATGTGCTTGGCATGAATGTTGATCTAGTCAAATAGAACGCTTTCGTGAAAAATAAATCAATAAAGCACGAAATATAGAAGATAATCTCTCAAAATCAAGCATCTAAAGCTGGGTGACCTAATTGTGACGTCACTAAAAGACAGAATCCATTCGGTGATCGCAAATCATCAATTGAGCACAAGACAGGTTGTGATAAGGAGAGCCTGTAATGCCTGGGTCACATTTGCTCCGATCCATCGGCCGGCGCCCGGTCGATTGAGTGTTTTCCTCGGCATAGCGGTTTTATAAGGTTTAAGTCCGCTTGAATGAGCTGTTATTGTTGATAACATGTGAGCGTTTAATTTGCATCGCGGCGGAGCTTTTTGTTCTTTTTCGTGATACCTGCTGATAAGACTCATTAAGTGCTGTGCGGGTGGATTGCGCCCGTTGGCAGCCGAAATGCACCCTTTATAAGAACTGTGAAATTATTCACTCGTTCGTGTAATGAACCACGTTAAATGGTCTTGTTTGGAGAACACCACGCCACACGAGCTAGATATTAGCTTAAGTTGACAATGTACAGATTACAACGATGCAGCAGCTATTACATTTGCAGTGACTAAATGATGAATATGCTTTACAACACGGAAAATATTTATATCAAATGAGAAGAATTCAAGAAAATCAATTTCAAATTGATTTTAGTGTGACACGACCCTTTAAAGAACAAGTTTACGTATACGTTTAAGACTGGGTCCCATTTGCTCCGATCCATCGGCCGGCGCCCGGCCGATTGAGTGTTTTGATCTATATTGTATTCAATTTTGAACAAAATACTCAATTGATCGGGCGCCGTAGTGAAAATCGGAGCAAATGTGACCAAGGCATTACAAAACAACTTTTATCGAAAGCTCTCCAATATCTCTCAGTTAACTTACTCTCTCCAAATGCCAGTCAGGTCTAAAGCCACAATTACTGCCATCTTCCAAATATATATCTGCTTCGTGTATATATCCATAATCCTCCCAAACGGTTTTTTGAATCCACCTGGAAGCATATCATTGGATAACTAACACTTTTGTGGGTATCGTTTTAGTATTCGACCAAGACTGCACCCTTTCTATAAACTGTGAACAAAGTTGATATTTCACTCGGTATTAATTCGTCGATACAATACCTTATCCGTGTTTTGTTCAGAGCTAAACGCTAAACCAGAAGTAGTAATGAAGTGACGATTTTGCAAAATTTTGGTGAGTTTTCATGTTCGAATCATAATATAGATCTCAGATCGAGTATAATATCCAGTAAAAAAATATATTTATATTTCTGAACTATATTTCATCATAAGAAAAGGCTATCAATTTAGGTAAAGATCGAACATATTCAGAATATCTGTAAAACAGAATTACGTGTTTAAAAATTTTTCGCCTGATACATGTATTTTTCCAGAACTCCCTTTGTGTCCATGGAGATATATGTTGACGTTGCAACCAGTTGCAGCCCACATATGCTTTGACGTTTTTATATTAAAATCGTACGAACAGCTCACTACAAGAAAAATTTACGTACGTTAGAAAGGATAAATTTATATATGCTGGGTTATAAATATATAAAGATCGGCATGATATACATGTATCTCATTCAGGCCAATCATAACACAACTATTCGA